ATTGTCTTTGAACTATATTTGTTCACTACCATTAATAATGTTGTGTATGGTTTAAAGCATGCATCATACATTTATCAATTTGTTATCTTCCCAAGGTGCTTATTAAGTCGAATACGGTAGCTACGTACTCATCTTCCCAAGGCAAGGGAGTTAACTGACTGTAGTGGAAACTAGATTTTTAAAAGTCAGTCCCTTGCCTCGGGAAGATGATTTCTTACACACCTGTGGGTGAGAAACCCATTTGAGATAACTGGTATCAAACCACTCTCCTACCCAGAGTTCCATGCGGCCGGCAGCCAGCTAGCATAGTACCTCTGCCACAGGCCAGCGCCATGTGACGATTCGTCACATCTTTCACAGTTCACACTCCGTCGCAGTGGTGACTCAGCATAACACCACTGCCACAGGCTAATTTGCATATCACGTGACCGGACTTTTCTCTTGTTTGTAAACAAACGCGCTTTTTCAGAAATCAGTATAGAACGGACTAATGCAAGTATTTGGGGGCGCTTTACATATTGTTTTGCATAACTATATAGATATGCTACTACAACTGCGACAGTGAGTTGCATGACAATATATATTTATGCATCAAAGTGACCGTGTCGCTAGCTCTCCGTTGGGCTTCGATGACAGCACGTGGAGCCGTACAACCAATGTAAACATAGGATAACTACGCAAAACAAGTAGATTTTTACGTATTTGCATACTTTCTCAATGAAAGTTAACCATTCTTTGACATTTGTTTATGAAAATGTGTAGACTTGTCAAACATGAAACGGATGAAAAGCATATGCAATATCTTGAATGGACTGTGAAAGATGTGACGAATCGTCACATGGCGCTGGCCTGTGGCAGAGGTACTATGCTAGCTGGCTGCCGGCCGCATGGAACTCTGGGTAGGAGAGTGGGAGTGTGGTATCAAACATATGCGTGAGATCGAATTCCAGGCCCGTGATTGGCTACTCCATGGTGATGACCTGGGGTCAGATGATGACGGACTACTTTCCTGAGTGTAAGTCATTCATAAGTTGCTCGTGCTTCAGTCGAATGTTCACCTACGTCTGTATTGAACAACAGGACCGTGTAATAAATAATAAAAATAAACAAACTCGTCCTCGTCTGCGAGTTTGTTTGTTATTATTATTATCAGTTACATTATATCTGTTGTTATGTCAACATTATCGTTTTTCAGAGCGTAAACCCCCTGGCTGCCACAGCGACACATGTCCCTTCTCTTCAACCCTCACTTCGAAATCGAATAAAGTTCAAAATACATCACGCAGACACTTCACAGTTTTGAATCCCCCCTTCTGTTTATCATTTACTGTCATTTTAGGCAATTCAAAATTACTGAAAGTGACTGAAAGTTAGGTACATTGTAAATCTCGCCAAATCACAATTCACGGCGTTATATAAATATTTACTGTGTGTTTAGAAATCTAAATATCGGATATTTACTCGAATAATTAAAGTAGAAAAATAGCATATTAGCGATCACGGTTATCAAATCACTAATGATAACTCTGAAACGTCGCTGATAAGACTAGAATAGTTTAGAATGTTTTGGAAAATATGCACACGCGAACGCCGAAGTGTACGTTCCGCCATATTGGATTGTGTTTACAAAATGTCGATTATGAGACGCCTATATTCGATCAGGTATATTTCAAACTCAGCTGCTATACATGCATCCCTGAATTCCTCATACATTTTCGAAACAATGGATAAATGGTCTTTGTCACCAATGCAAATTATCTAGATGAAATCATGCGAAATAAATTAGGTATGGAAACGAAAACTGCTCGGAAAATTGTACTTGTTGAAATGTAAACAAAGCAAAATTCAGATTTTACACTTTGTAGCATTAAAGAGGTACTTTCGTCTAATTGTTGCATACATTGGCTCGATCACGCGATTGAGAATATTCATGGGAAGAGTATCGTTGCACTAATTATGGAATTACACATATATACATTACAATGGTGTGGTAAATTCAACAGAAGCCGTAAAAGTTCCGTCCTGTGTGACGACATGACTGACGCTAAATCACGCACAACGATGACGGTAGTTATCTGCATTTAAAATTCTCTTTGTTACATTGGAAAACATGGTAAACAAATAACAGTACGCAGATTGTCAGAATGTTTCTGATTACTTACGTGACACATTTATGTGTATACGATCCCTCAATCAACGAAAATCTCCTTGGGAAATCCCGCGTACTGTTGTCAGTGAACACGCCATTTTGTAAAAGTCGGTCACCGGTAGTGATGTCATACTGAAGTAAACATTGTTGTACATATTTGGTAATTTCTTTGAGGTGTAAACTTTCAACTTGGCACCCAGCGTGTTCTTGGTTTTTGTCTAGTTTGCATTTTCATCATCGCCTTGATAATCCACAGATAGGACGGAAACCTTTTTGTGTAGGGTCACATTATTTGTGAGTTGTAAGCAGCACATAGGATGACGTCACTTATGACAATGGTGTTACATGTATTAATGCGCTACTGCAATCATGAGAATAGACAAAATTCATCGGTTTCGCTCGTTAGATACGTTTTGAAACAACTCGTTATAAGATCAATGGTATCTGACAGACACTCGTGTAGTAATCTCTATTTCTTACACACCTGTGGGTGAGAAACCCATTTGAGATAACTGGTATCAAACATATGTGTGAGATCGAATTCCAGGCCCGTGATTGGCTACTCCATGGTGATGACCTAGGGTCAGATGATGACGGACTACTTTCCTGAGTGTAAGTCATTCATAAGTTGCTCGTGCTTCAGTCGAATGTTCACCTACGTCTGTATTGAAAAACAGGACCGTGTAATTAATAATAAAAATAAACAAACTCTTCCTCGTCTGCGAGTTTGTTTGTTATTATTATCAGTTACATTATCTGTTGTTATGTCAACATTATCGTGTTTTCAGAGTGTAAACCCCCTGGCTGCCACAGCGACACACATGTCCCTTCTCTTTAACCCTCACTTCGAAATCGAATAAAATTCAAAATACATCACGCAAACACTGCACAGTTTTGAATTCCCCCTTCTGTTTATCATTTACTGTCATTTTAGGCAATTCAAAATTACTGAAAGTTAGGTACATTGTAAATCTCGCCAAATCACAATTCACGGCGTTATATATAAATATTTACTGTGTGTTTAGAAATGTAAATATCGGATATTTACTCGAATAATTAAAGTAGAAAAATACCATATTAGCGATCACGGGTATCAAATCACTAATGATAATTCTGAAACGTCGCTAATAAGCCTAGAATCGTCTAGAATGTTTTGGAAAATATGCATACACGAACGCCGAAGCGTTCCGCCATATTGGATTGTGTTTACAAAATGCCAGTTATGAGACGCCTATACTCGATCAGGTATATTTCAAACTCCGCTGCTATACATGCATCCCTGAATTCCTCATACATTTTCGAAACAATGGATAAATGGTCTTTGTCACCAATGCAAATTATCTAGATGAAATCATGCGAAATAAATTAGGTATGGAAACGAAAACTGCTCGGAAAATTGTACTTGTTGAAATGTAAACAAAGCAAAATTCAGATTTTACACTTTGTAGCATTAAAGAGGTACTTTCGTCTAATTGTTGCATACATTGGCTCGATCACGCGATTGAGAATATTCATGGGAAGAGTATCGTTGCACTAATTATGGAATTACACATATATACATTACAATGGTGTGGTAAATTCAACAGAAGCCGTAAAAGTTCCGTCCTGTGTGACGACATGACTGACGCTAAATCACGCACAACGATGACGGTAGTTATCTGCATTTAAAATTCTCTTTGTTACATTGGAAAACATGGTAAACAAATAACAGTACGCAGATTGTCAGAATGTTTCTGATTACTTACGTGACACATTTATGTGTATACGATCCCTCAATCAACGAAAATCTCCTTGGGAAATCCCGCGTACTGTTGTCAGTGAACACGCCATTTTGTAAAAGTCGGTCACCGGTAGTGATGTCATACGGAAGTAAACATTGTTGTACATATTTGGTAATTTCTTTGAGGTGTAAACTTTCAACTTGGCACCCAGCGTGTTCTTGGTTTTTGTCTAGTTTGCATTTTCATCATCGCCTTGATAATCCACAGATAGGACGGAAACCTTTTTGTGTAGGGTCACATTATTTATGTGTAGTAAGCAGCACATAGGATGACGTCACTTATGACAGTGGTATTATGTATTAATGCGCTACTGCAATCATGAGACAAAATTCATCGGTTCGATGCTAAAAAGGTGCGATTTTAGGGTGTGTAAGAAACAGATTACTGCACTCGTGTCTGTCAGATACCATTGATCTTACAACTCGTTGTTACAAAGCGTATCTAACTCGCTTTCGCTCGTTAGATACGTTTTGAAACAACTCGTTGTAAGATCAATGGTATCTGACAGACACTCGTGTGGTAATCTCTATTTATCATCCAAAACTAGTAGGCTATAGCTCCCACAGGAGATATCGCTTGGATGAGATCAAGCGATATCTACACTGTAGATATCGCTGCAATGAAATTACATCACAATGCTTTGCAGACCATTGTGACGCCACTGGTTACCGTGACGTCACAATCAAATGACATCACTAATGGCTCTCCTACTGAAGCTGTAAGCAGTTCTTTTTTACACTGAAGACACTGCTAATTACTGTCAACAAATTGGAAAAACTCTTTGACAAAAGTGGCAAAAATCCTCGGCAAGCATCGGAATTTTTCCACTTTTATCAACTCGTGTTGATATATTTGATATCAAAAGACACCCGGGTGAGATTCTCTATATACACACTGCGCCTTTCAGTGGATGTCTAACAACGTCTGTGGACATGCGTTTGGCCTATAGACGTATGTACGTAGTAAAACGGATATAGCGTAATGTTAGTTTTATTACTATGTCCTTTTTGAAGACAATCGTTTGTAAAAGTTGATTTGTCGGGGTTTGAACTTACACCCAAAGCAATGAACGACTGAAGAACCTCTGGACATTGAAGCTGGTGGAGTGGTGTCCCTTTGACGTTCGTCATTACTCGTTCGATCCGATCCGGAACAACAAACGATACAATGTCAGGTCTCAAAGATTATTAGGTCTGAGTCCACTTGACCCGTGATGGAGCAAAAATGTAGGCAGTCTGCAGAATATCGGGAAGCAGAACGTGAAATGTTGAAAGTAATTTGAAAGGTGGGTTTTCTGTGAAGAAGCGAACACAAGGCCTAGACATGAAAAACGTTTCTACAATAAAATCGCACTGCACAATCACTAAATCAGCGCAACATTATTGTTGGGGAGACGAAAATGTCTAAATGGATGCTAGTGAACTATTTGACAATAGATTCTATCCTTGGCAAAAACTGAAGTTCAACGGGCTCAGTTCTTTAGGCTAGCAAGCTCCGACTTGGTATGGCTTAGTTACGCATTACCGATCTCGCGTGGCTCCTTGCCTAGTCTGCGGGGTGCAGCCTTCTTTCGACTACCGTAAATTTCGTCTACAGTCAGTTCGACGAAAGTATTTGTGGTAAGGGGGAGTGATTCGACTACACTCACTAAATCTCGTCCCTCACTTGATACTGGACAGGTCTAAACTCCATAATACTGGAGACAAAACCCTTAATCAACTCAAACTTGAAATATAGCCCAAAAATGAAAAATATCTGCTCAGGGTAGATCTAGCTTAAATTAGCAGTAAATAGGGGGAAGCACTCTGTGACTGACAAAACATATATTAACAAGCTTAGCTCCCCCTTCTCTTGTGTCGTCTCTCATATGTCTTTCAGTTATTTTTAGGGCAACAATGCAGTTTACCGGGCACAGCCCGAGCTCTACCATCCGCTCAAGTACTGCGCTATAGTGCCACCGCTGTCTCCTTATACCGTTACCGTGCCTCTGGTGACTCTCGCTTCACGATCCAACACCCGTTTTCGGTCTTAGGGAAACTTACACATCTTTACAATCAAACACCCGTTCTCGGTCTTAGGGAAACTTACACGTCTTTACGATCCAACACCCGTTTTTCGGTCCTAGGGAAACTTACACGTCTTTACGATCCAACGCCCGTTTACAGTCTTAGGGAAACTTACACGTCTTTACGATCCAAAACCCCTTTTTGGTCATTAGGGTTAGCTTGCTTTGGGCAAGGGTTAGCCATAAATTCTTACCTTTTCAAGCGTTAATCCAGTTAATCCCATTGGTGGGTCATGTTGACATAAACAATTGCGGGTGTGGTTTCAAGAAAAGATGAATGGGAGAGCGGACCGTGACGTCACACGCATGCGCAATTCATTGTTTACTGAATTACGCATGCATGTCAATGGGGATTCTAATGACCTGTTAAACGAGATCTGATTACATGTGATAGCGCCTGTGGTCCAGTGGTAGAGCGTCGGCTAATTAACGCATTAATTAGCAGAGCCGGTGAGCCGTCGAAGCGTGTTCGAGCCCCCACAGCACTAATTGGATCGGAAAAAGTGCGCCCGGTAAAGTGCACTACTCCCATTTTTAGTATAACAGAATTAGAACAGAACAAAAGTTTATTCAAGGAAAAGGCTTGGTTCATTGCACCCTTCGTTTACATAGAGAATCTCACCCGAGTGTCTTTTTATATCAAATATATCGACACCAGTTGATAAAAGTGGAAAAATTGCGAGGCTTGCCGAGCATTTTTTCCACTTTTATCAATGAGTGTCTTAAGTGTAAAAAGTACTGCTAACAGCTTCAGTAGCAGAGCTATTAGTGATGTCATTTGATTGTCACGTCATGGTAACCAATGACGTCACAATGGTCTGCAAAGCATTGTGATGCAATTTCATTGCAGCGATATCTACAGTATAGATATTGCTTGATCTCACCCAAGCGATATCTCCGGTGGGAGTCAGTTTTGGATGATAAATTATTATCCCCACGTCACACCACAGGACCATGTAACAGTAAAAATATAAAAAAGTCGCAAAAAAAATCAGAGACGATTTGGCCTTGTCAATGAATTTGTTTGCGACTTTTTAATATTTTTATTGTTACAAGGTCCTGTGGTCACATGTATTCAAACCTCACCTTTTTTCAAGCACCTTAACCTGACCAAACGCTTAATGATGTAATTAAGGTAGACACTTCAAAGCCAAATGAAGACACCAAAGTGTTCCACAATTGCTGCAGAAGTCATGTTGCGAATAGGGGGCACGATTGGCCCAGTCGTCTAAGGTGCCGCAATTCGCTGTGCAGAGTTGCATCCCTTGGGCATGCCAGAAACCTATGATTGTGGGTTCGAATCCCGATTCGCCCCGATTATGTTTCTAGGCTCATGGGTTTCACCGAAGTGGTAAACGTCTGAGACCTGCATCACTTGGGGCTTTCCTCCCACATTAAGCTGACATGCCGTGATATGACTGGAATACTGTTAAAAGCAGCGTTAAACCCAACTCACTCACTCACTCACTCACTCACTGTCCTTGAACAACAATGGTGCACCATTCCTGTACCTTCCAACTGATGTCGACTTTAGCCCAGTACAGATGGTTCAGCCTTTGTTGCTAAGCCAATAGTATGCTAATTAAGGGAGACAATTGGGAGCACTTTAACTTTTGCAATAGTATTTTTGAGAAAATGTTATTGTGATACTATTGCAATATAGATACAACTGTTACCATAGTATTGTGACAGTTTGATCTGTACCATCCTCCAACAGGAATTTCTTGCATTATTTGCCATGGTGACAAAGCTTTACACATCTGCCGAGTCCTAGATCCATCGGATTGTTTTGGAATTTGTCAGGGAATAAGGAAGGAAGCCTAATCATTGTATGCTATATACTTAGGAACTTCAGAATGAATGCTCCATGTGTCTCTCACAGCATGGTGTGTTGTTGACCAAAGCGAATGCAAAGTAAATGATGAACAGCATTTTTGTTCATTTTTGTATAAATTCTATTGATATAGTATACAATAGCATAGCACCCCATCAATATTAAGTGACCCGTGAATATTCCGGGGTAGAATAGGTCGTAAAAAGTAAAAGGCGACTATGCTTGTCGTAAAAGGTGACTAACGGGATCGGGTGGTCAGGCTCACTGACTTGGTTGATACATGTCATCGATCCCAATTGCGTGGAACAACAAACCAACCATACATCAATATTAAGTATTGACTTTTTAAATACCATTGATGTATTTCTTCTTTGATAGGCATTTCGAAGTTGGAGTTCTAAGTAAGGATAGGATTTATGGATGAACAACTTCTTTATTAATTAATTAATAATTAAGAGCAAGGGTAGTAACACGGTCACTTGCTTGATAACGGTGTTAGAACCTTCACTGAAATGTCGCTCTTAATCATTAATTGATAAATAAAGAAGTTGTTCATCCATAAACCCAATCCTTACTCACACTGAGGTATTGTCATCAAGTCTTGGACGGTTATGATGCATCCATAGTTTGAGCCATCATTAATGCCCTACTGCAGATGCATGGTGTCTAGGATTTAACACCTTCAGATCCTTGACAAAGCCGATTATGTACTGTTTGTATTGACGTGCATACAACAGTGGCGTTATGGAAACCTGTTTCATACTCTGTGAAACTGAAACATTGGTTCAATGCCCTGCAGATCACCCATTAAGGACATTTCTCTCATTTGTCCAATTTCCAACATACTGGTGCCTCTGACTTCTGACTTCGATGATGTAGATCAGGCATTTCAATGTACAAATGTTGTGATCTGTAGTCATTTGAGATTTTGATGTGCAACAGAAAAACATGAAAAAAGGGTCCTTGTCTACATGCACACATTGTGATCAGGAGTGAGTGAGTGAGTTGGGTTTAACACCGCTTTTAACAGTATTCCAGTCATATCACAGCGTGTCAGCTTAATGTGGGAGGAAAGCCCGAAGTGCATCTTCCCGAGGCAAGAGAGTTAACTGACTATAAAAGTCCAGTTTCCACCCTTGCCGAACTAGGCTGGTATTATGGAGTTACATTTTGGCTGGACTAACAAGTCTATGCATAGTCCAATCAAAATCGCGCTCCGAAATTGAAATCTGGTTCGTAAACTGTCGTGCAGATTTCGGTCGATTGCAGGATTTGCAAAGCATGTGCACCGCCAACTCGTTGTCAGCAGATATATTCCAAATCTTTTCATTTTTTTAATCAAGATGCTCACATGATTTTATGCATTTCGCTATGTAAGACCCGTTTTATCATAATATAGATCTTGATTATCGATCAGATCGTCCTGACTCGGCGCCATCGTTTTTACGCAAGTGATGAGAGAGGTGGAATCTGATTGGCCCATAGGAGAGGCTTAAAAGGGACATAACTGGTAATAGCCACTGGTGGCGCTACGATCGTGCCCAGTAATTCCAGCCTAGTTTGGCAAGGGTGGAAACTGGACTTTTAAAGTCAGTTAACTCTCTTGCCTCGGGAAGATGCCCGAAGTGATGCAGGTCTCAGACGTTTACCACTTCAGTGAAACCCACGAGCATGGGTATGGTGCTGAAAAACCTAGAAACATAATCGAGGCGAACCGGGATTCGAACCCACAATCATAGGTTTCTGGCGTGCCCAAGGGACGCAACTGTGCACAGTGAATCGCAGCACCTTAGACGACTGGGCCACCAGTGCCCCCTTGTGATCAGGAGGACATTTGGAATGGGGACTATTTTCAGCCTATTATTACTGTTTTGCTAAGTTTGTGAGTGAGTGAGTTAAGATTTAACGTCACATCGGCAGTATTTCAGCCATATCGTGATGATTGCTAAGTTAGGGTTTCAGGTAAGTTTGTATGGCACTGGCTGTAATATTAATGTTGTGGTTCAATTTAGTAATGGCAAGATCAATATGACCAAAGAATAGAAATCAGATTTTAATTTTCCTTTTCAGATTTGTGTCAGTTTGACAGTTGTAGCCTGTTCCTCTGAAAACATCTGCAGATGATTCTTGAGAGAAGGTATTTTTGTACCTGTTATCGTTCACATGCATGACTTTATCATGGAAGAAAGAGACTTACAGATAAGTAACCGAGACACCAAAACAGACGCTGAATGTGAGAGAATATTTATGGCGACAAGTGATGTCGAGAAACCTGATGAGGATGAAAGAAGAGTCAAGCCATATCAGTGTGGTGAATGTGGGAGGGTTTTTAAGCATTCAAGTAGCCTACAGGCACACATGAGATCTCACAGTGGAGTCAAGCCATACGAATGTGGGGAGTGTGGGAAAACATTTACAATATCGAGTGACTTGCAGAGACACATGAGAAGTCACACTGGAGTCCGGCCGTACCAGTGTAATGAGTGTGGGAAGGCTTTCGCAACATCCAGTCAACTAACTACACACAAGAGATCTCACAGTGGCATCAGACCTTATGAGTGTACTGAGTGTGGGAGGGCATTTACCCGATCAGGCCATCTGCAGAGGCACAAGAGCTGTCACAGTGACGTCAAGCCGTTTCAATGTAACAAGTGCGAGAAAACATTCTCACGGTCATGTGACTTGCAGAGACACATGAAGTGTCACAGTGACCTCAAACCATATGTTTGTAAGGAATGTGGAAAAGCGTTTGCCAGATCGGGCTACCTGTTGATACACATGAAATATCACAGCGGAGTCAAGCCATATCAGTGTGGCCAGTGTGGTAAAACTTTTACAGAAACAGGTAACCTCAGGCTGCACATGAAATATCACAGCGGAGTCAAGCCACACCAGTGTAGCCAGTGTGGGAAAGCATTTACAAGATCTGTTGAGCTGCAAAGACATATGAAGAGTCATTTTAATGTTCAGACTTATAATTGCAGTGAGTGTGACTTGGTGTTCACACGATCGGCTGAACTGCAGAAGCACATGACTTCTCACAGAGGTGTCAGGCCTTATGAATGTAGTGAGTGTGGGAAAGCCTTTGCTCATTCAAGTACCCTGCAAAGCCACATGAGCTGTCACAGTGAAGTTAAGCCTTATAAATGTAGCTCTAAAGTCAGCCAAACTCTTTTGAACCTTTTAGGCGACCGGGCATGTAAAAAGTAATGCCAGCACCTGGTTGGTTGGTTTGTTGTTTAACACGGCACTCAGCATTATACTCAGTAAAAGGCGACTAACGGGATCAGGTGGTCAGGCTCGCTGACTTGGTTGATGCATGTCATCGATCCAAATTGCGTGGATCGATGCTCATGATATTAATCACTTGATTGTCTGGTCCAGACTCGATTATTTACAGACCACCGTCATATAGCTGGAATATTGCTGATTGCGGCGTTAAACAACAAACCAACCAACCAAACTGACATACCACACACTCAATAGGCTGAAACAACCAGAATCAGGCATCAGTAATGAATCCTTCTCTTCAGAGCCACCCATGTGCACCATGCCAACAGTGTCTCATATCAGTAATAGGGGCGGTCGGGTAGCCTAGTGGTTAAAGCCTTAGCTCGTCACGCCGAAGACCTGGGTTTGAATCCCGACATGGGTACAATGTGTGAAGCCCATTTCTGGTGTCCCCCGCCGTGATATTGCTGGAATATTGCTAAAAGCGGCGTAAAACCATATTCATTCACTCATATCAGTAATAGAGCTGGGACAATTCATCCAAAAATTGTACCACAATATTAATTTCATATGAGACCTAAATTGAATGTAGGAATATAGTATTGAAAAAATATTTATTACTACTTTCTGACAGTACACTCGTATGTGCACGAGTATATAAGCTGTTGCTTGTCATGTTTTGGCCAGAGGAATCGTTATGAGTGACATACACGTGCTAATGGCATTTATTTACTCTTTTTTTAATCCTAAGCCTTGCATGACTACATCTATACCCTACAGCTTTATGACTTGTTCTGTATTAAAGCTTGATGTCAGTCTTTGTATATGGTACACACAGCTTTATAAATATTGTGACTCAGCATGGTAAAAAAATAAAGAATTACAAATGTTTTCTTATTGTTTCTTGTCGCAGGACATTTATGACTGCAAGCTACAAGTTTGCAGTTTTAACCTTTTCTCTTTTATTTACTGGACTTTCTATGGTTATCATGGTCTGTGGTCATATGACCTGGTGATGGGTATGCAAGCCTACATGCATACCCTAAAACAATGTGCACTGCAATAAATACATTAAGAAACCAAGGCAATTGAGTGTAAAATGTTTTCCTTGAGCGCCAGGCAGGGTAACAAGTACCATCTTTTAACATCTTTTTGCTTGATGCACCCGGGGATTACACCGCCAACCTTCCGTCACCTAGGAGACGCTCTATTCCCTACACCATGGAGGTGATCCATGCGAATGAAGCTGAAATTTGCAATCTTGTTCAGAAATGATTGGGATTGTAAAATATAGTCATTCTTGCAAATTTAGTTACTTGTTTCATATCTGTTAATAGTTTTACCCTCAGTATTTAATTTTATATATATCAATACTGACTGCAACTTTGTTAGCTGCTGTCTTTGTTGACATTTATGCTGTTAACTACACATATCCAGGTGAGCTAGAGGATGGCGGCACTATTTTGTTTGACACATAAAGCATAACTTTCATTCTTTGATTCTCAGCTGCAGTATCTTGGTGATCAAACCGCTTAAAATATGTTAAGCGACTTCTGATATATTACATTTTGAGTAGTAAACACAATGACACGTCGCTCAATATTTTTCTGCTCACCGAATACGGCAACTAAAGTCACCATAACTGATAATGTTGAATATGCTGGTATGAATAAGATCATCTGTAGACTAAGTGTCATGATACAGCATGACAAACTTGTTTGAAAATCTAAGGTCCAAACTGATGAAGGCGACGTGTGGCAACTTATTAATGACAGCCTCTCGGACAGAGGAGTCTGGATCAGAGATGTGTTTCTTGTAGTTCAGGAAGCTTTGCTTGAATTCATATGTATTAGCTGCATCTGGAGCTGGTTGTATGTAAAAGGAGGATCCTTTTAGTATATGTTTCTGTATTCTCCCATTTAGGTGATACAGTGGAAGATGTGCGCGAGCAGTGATTCATGCCAATGGGGTACAATGACACGCAATAAGCCACCAAGCCTCAGCTTCTGACAAGCATCTACTTGTGACATGCTGGAACCCCCAAAAGTGCAGTTTGGTTTTACTTGGCTTCAATACATTTGTGAATGTTTTAGGATTATTGTAGAAGTTGTGCTTCATCATAAAAATGTATTCATGTTAGAAACAACAATTTTGTGAAGAGGAGCATATCCTTCCCTCAAATGCCTTCTTGGAACACAAGGGGTGGTCGGGTAGCCTAGTGGTTAAAGCGTTCGCTCGTCACGCCGAAGACCCGGGTTCGAATCCCGACATGGGTATACTGTGTGAAGCCCATTTATGGTGTCCCCCGCCGTGATATTGCTGGAATATTGCTAAAAGCGGCGTAAAACCAAACTCACTCACTCACTCACGGAACACAACTGACGATTGTAAACAATTTTTTCAGAAAAAGAGCCAAGTGAATATTGTAACAAATTTATTCCAAATGAACAAGTTGTCACACAGTGAGTCATGATGAAGCATGAGACACACAACAATCTGTTACTCAACATGTTTCTTCTAAGACAACCCTTTCATTTGACGATCACAGATTTCTTCCGAAAAAGATCTCTAGACGGAGGTAGAAAAAGATTGAACTTTTTCAATTTCTATCACCACTTACAGATACTTTCAGATGAAAATGCTAAAAATGGGCACAAAAGTAACAGGTACATAAACAGTTGGGCTTTCCATGTTAAATAGAGAAAAAACTGAAAAAATAAAGAATACAAATTGGTACAATTAATTCGACAAGAATTGAAGGCAATTTGTATTCCATTGCACACATAGTGTTCAGAGTATTCCATCTTCTGCTGCTTGCTTTTGTAATTCTTCCATATAATTGTAATATTACAAAGAATCTTATTTTGGTGTCCATAAAAGTCAGTGGACTGAAAATATGATAGAGTCTGATGAGATTTATTTAGACCAAAATATCAGTAGAACAAACACATTTTCATGAATTCATAAATGAAGACCTCATTTCTCACAAAGTACAAAGTAATTTTCTCATCCTCCACATTGTTTCTCTAAAAGTGAATGACAACAAACAGCCACTTTTTGTTCAGGATTTTCTTTTCTTTGTTTTATTTCTAAACCTCTTAAATGTCACTTCTTGCAGAACTTGTATCAGCATTCAAATGTATAAACTTCATAAGTTAACCTAAAATCATGAAAACAATTGCTACAGGCGCAATCATTTCAATAACTTCAGGGACAAAGGGATTCATCCTTGGCAAACATTTCTGGTGCACAGCTAAAAGGTGTTCTTAAATCACATGGGTACATGTTAATTACCCACTAAATGGCATCAGTTTGTCCAATACCAATCTTTTGCAGGTTGGTGTCGGACTCATTAATATAAGATCTTTCCTCCAATACGATACCTCTCTTTGACACCTGACTAACCCATCAGAAGAGGTCATGTCTAGTGACCTCCAAGTAAAACTTGGACTGCTCAGTAAATGAAATATGTCTAGGTTCTTAACACAATCAATTATCAGCTTCTTAAGCTGATTCAAGTTCATTTCTTTACCAAATCCATAGAAAACCAACACACAACACAAGTACACTATCAATAGTACATCCTTTTGGAAAGATGGAATTACATGTCCACAACAATATAATAGCACATCCTTTCTTATTTTCTGATCATGTTCGTTTTTGAAATAGAGAAGTCTGCTATGGTGCTCTGAATACTGAGCTTGCTTGTACCAAGTGAGTGAGTGAGTATGGTTTTACTCCGCTTTTAGCAATATTCCAGCAATATCACGGCAGAGGACACTAGAAATGGGCTTCACACATTGTACCCATGTCGGGAATCGAACCCGGGTCTTCGGCGTGACGAGAAACGCTTTAACCACTAGGCTACCCGACCGCCTCGCTTGTACCAAGAATTTAGATGCCTGATGTAACCTAAGGACAGAGGATGGTCAGGTTTTCAAGGAGGAATCATACTGGAGCATCAGGTCTTATTTTTAGATGAGATTGAGGTAAGTGTATACAGTATATTTCAATCACTGTGGCAAAAATACTTCCCCAGCTAGGGATCTAATTACAGAGTCTGAGAAGACATACCAGGGGAGAACTGTATACATTCAGACCTGTCCAGGGGCATAGGCTATGACTGCTAGAGAACATTCTCTGTCAATTGAGTATTTCCCTTGAAATCCTTGACCACTCAACCAACAAACTGAATAAGAGCTTCCACTGAGAAACTGCAACGCCAGAATTAGAAACACTCAAAAAAATATATCCATTTTTCTTGATCATAGGGATGGTTACAGGTATGACGGCCCTCGGTAGTGTCTATTTAACTCAATGTAATATTGACTAAAAGGATAAGGGGGGGAAAGACATATGTGCGTAAGGCTTTTAGAGGCTGCATGCAAATATAATTTCAGATTATTTGGGGGGTATATTAACCATGGTTCATCCCTTAAGTTAGTTAAAGTGGTTTATGCTGATGATGGCGATATTCCAGCCGTATCACTAAGAATAGGCAGCACACATTGTACCCATACAGGGAATGGAACCTGGGTCTTTGGTTTGATGAGTAAAAGACATAACAATACTTCCCCACAAGCAATTAATAACAGTTACAGTAAAGAGACACGGGGTGCAATGAATACTCGGAAAGCAGATCGACAACAGCGGACTAGGATTAGTAACTCCACACCTTTGAACACACATCTCAGAACATTCTGTAACATTTGGGCTCTCGCAAATATCACCCTTAATTTAGGTATTCTCTTAAATTTACATGTCAAATTGTACATTTTATTAAGACTCCCTAAAGCATGTTAAGTAAATGGCCCTGAACACACTTGATGAGATCACAGATGTACCTATCACATTACATAACAGCTTGTTTTTGTAGGCAATGTCTCAGTATTGAGGGGAAACCCATCTTCCCGAGGCAAGTGAGTTAACTGACTATAAAAGTCCAGTTTCCACCCTTGCCGAACTAGGCTGGTATTATGGAGTTACAATTTGGCTGGACTGACGAGTTTATGCATATTCCAATGAAAATCGTGCAACGTAATCGAAATCCGGTTCGTAAACTGTCATGCAGATTTCGGTCGATTGCAGGATTTGCAAAGCATGTGCACCGCCAACTCGTCAACAGATATTTTCAAAATCTTTTCATGTTTTTAATCAAGGCGCTCACGTGACCTGATCCATTTCGCTATGTAAGACCCGTTTTATCACAATGTAGATCTTGATTATCAAGCAAATAGTCCTTACTTGGCGCTGCCATTTTGTTTGAAGCAAATGCAAGTGATACGAAAGGTGGAATCTGATTGGTCTATAGGAGAGGCTTAGAAGAGACATAACTGGTAATAGCCACTGGTGGCGCTATGATCGAGCCCAGGAATTCCAGCCAAGTTCGGCAAGGGTGGAAACTGGACTTTTAAAGTCAGTTAACTCTCTTGCCTCGGGAAGATGGGGGAAACCTAAACTAGGATGCACCTTAACTGAACCATTTACTAGCCGGAATGAAGACACCCCTACAAAGCCTGAAATATTACTAGATCTACTAGATTTCACTGGATAGATCAAACCGACTCAGGCTAACGGACCAGTGCCACGTTGCATCCTGCTTAAGTTACAATTCTGATTACATAGCTTTTGGTATTTTAGATCAAAATAAGAATTATTTGAAAAAATACTACAAAAATTTAGTTCCAGTTTTTTATACAGATTTTGTAATGAACGTTTTTCTCAAACATTGAGGTGAACTGTGTTGAAAAGTCTAATTTGTCATGTATTAATAGGAATGTCAATGAAACTATTTGGGTCAATAAATTAGATTGACTTGGGTAAACAGCAACATAACAAATGTTTATGCCTTACGAATCACATCAATCCACGTCAGAAGTTGATAATAGACAATGCAAATATGCTCATAAACTACTCTTGAAGTATTAATACAAGCAATATTACATATCATTTGATAACAACTTAAAACTTTTCATTTCATCCGTTTTACTTGAACCATGACTGATGTTATGTCAGTATTTCAAGATTATGTCGCATTGAGTGTTTAGAGGTAAATGTCGATTACAACCTTGATCAGCATTAAGCTGTATCTGTTGGCGCAAATCCTCAAACATATAAGCTACAATCCATTTGGAATTCAATCAGCATTGTAAAAAAACATGGTTAACAAATTTCATTACGGTAAACATGCAGGAAACATGTTTTCACTGTGAGGAATTAATCCACATGCTTCGGCAGGTACAAAAATCTAATTTGGCAGACTTCAAACTTGGCAAACTCTTGAACCTAAAGCACAAAGTGAATGGAACTTGTCATGAACGTGAACTAATGTCGGCTAGACCCTGCTTCCACAGAGGGGTTGGATTCTGTACCCACTTTTGACAAGAGGATATCATGCATGTACGCAGCCTTCTGCTAGCTAACGATAACACACAGCGAGGGACGAAGGCACAGACTGGCCATGAAGAGGTCAGGTCAGGTCAGGTCAGGTCAGGTCGGGTCGGGCGACGGGTCGCCATCTTTTCGGGTGATGTGGCTCCCGACATGATGCAGAGATGAGATTTAGACCAGCTAAATCCTCCACTGATCACGTAATGTTACTCCACCTTTTGAAGGATGTCACATCTTTGACAGGGACATTCGATGTATGCGCCTTGAGACACAAGTTCCTGTCATCTGTCAGAAGTACTACATCCCGATACAGTCTGACTGACGCATCTGAAAGAAATGAAAGATTATCATGAGAATCTATCTATCCATCCATCCATCCATCCATCCATCCATCCATCTATGAGTTTGGTATTTCAGTTCTATAATGCCATGTCAGCTTGTTGTGTGAAGAAGGTCCGAGGTGATGCAGATCTGGATGTTTACCAATTTAGTAAAAACCGATAATAAAGGATGTGGTGCTGACAAACCTAGAAACAACTAAGGGTGAATCTGAGGTTGAAAAACAGGATCATACGTTTCTGACACGCCTACAGAACGCAACTCTGCACAGCAAACAGTGGCACCGAAAAAAACATGCTTCCTTTGTAAGGAGATTATTGCTATAATCTGTTTGTTTCCCTGACTTCGCGATGTAATTTTTTTCTGCGGAAGACAAACAGGTTTTTATTGCAAATGTAGGGATTTTGTATGCACTAGTGATGTGCTTATGTGGTATATAAATTAGCATCAATTTCCCGCTTAGTTTATGAGACGAATACACATGTAATTGTAAATCTTAACCTCTGGATATGAAACATTGTCCCACATACAGTCCACAGATACCACTGAATTTGTATTTGAATACCATCACAATGTCTAGTGATGTTGTATAGCAAATTGAATGTTTTCATTGACCAAATTTGCAAACAGCAAAACAAGCACACAAACTCCTACTGCTTCTATAACCATAACACACGAGATGCACAGTAAAGCAGTGCCCATGAAAAGGGAACTAACTCCATGTTATATTGGATTGCATTGTTTTTAAGTATTGCAGCATTTTACTGTTGGAGTCGTGTGTTCAAGACATGGAATATCTAAGGATTTTTTTTTTTTAAATGGAACTTGTGATGATGCGGCGGTGCCTGAGAACCAAGAATATTTTTTTTAGCCTAAGACATTTAAGTGTAGAGGAATATTCTAGCTATGAGAGTAGCCTGTACATAATCGAGTCTGAATCAGACACACCAATCTGTATACTATAAGCTACGATTCAGGGTTCAATGAAATGCAATCCATTCAGTCGCCTCTTACAACAAGCATAAGTTGCTGAGGATCGGTTTTAACCTTGAATCCCTACGAGGGAAGATGATTTATCATCCAAAACTAGCTCCCACAGAAGATATCGCTTGGATTAGATCAAGCGATATCTACACTGTGGATATCGCTGCAATGAAATTACATCACAATGCTTTGCAGACCATTGTGACGTCACTGGTTACCATGACATCACAATCAAATGACATCACTAATGGTCTGCTACTGAAGCTGTTAGCAGTACTTTTTACACTGAAGACACTGCTAATTACTGTCTACAATTTGAAAAAGTTGGAAGAATGATGTTGGATGATAAATAAAATCTCACCCTCATGTCTTTTGATATCAAATATATCAATACTCATTGATAAAAGTGGCAAAAATCCTCGGCAAGCCTCCGATTTTTTCCACTTTTATCAACTCGTGTTGATATATTTGATATCAAAAGACACTCAGGTGAGATTCTCTATATATACACTTATCACGGCAATTAATAATTTTAAGAGTTTAATGCCTCATATGGCACTATATAGTTTGTTTCCAGTTTAAATTTCAGTGCACACTTTTTCTTTTGAGTGAGTATGGTTTTACGCCGCTTTTAGCAATATTCCAGCAATATCACAGCGGGGGACACCAGAAATAGGCTTCACACATTGTACCCATGTCGGGAATCGAACCAGGGTCTTCGGCGTTACGAGCGAAAGCTTTAACCACTAGGCTACCTGACTGCCCCCTTTTTCTTTTGGATATGAAAGGAAAATTTGTTCTCCCAGGTCCAGTTTGTTAATGATATTATTGATAATTGGGTTTTTGTTTACTCTATCATGATCACTTAACAAAGAAAGAAAACAAACCATAATTTCAATACTGTCATTTATTGAATGTTTGTTTTTGTTTGTTTGTTTGTTATTTAATGCCGCACTCGGCAATATTCCAGCTATATGACGGCGGTCTGTAAATAATCGAGTCTGGACAAGACAATCCAGTGATTGACTTTATGAGCATCGATCGACCCAATTGGGATATGGTGACATGCATCAACCAAGTCAGCGAGCCTGACCACCCGATCTCGTTAGTCGCCTTTTACGACAAGCATTGTCACCTTTTACGGCAAGCATGGGTTGCTGAAGACCTATTCTACCCCGAATCTTCATGGGTCCATTTACTGAATGAGATACACTATGTGACTTACCTCTACTCTTTGGCATGAAGTCTCTGGCCTTATCTTTACAATAATGAAGACAGCAGGACAAGATCAAGTCATCATTGTTGCCCTGGAAATAACAACGGTTTCAACATCTTGAATGAAGATCAGTCAACAGAAATCCTAATCACCAGTTTCATCATTGAAAAATGTTGACATGAGTAACAAAAAGTGAGCATGACTCACTAATACCCACAGCTTTGACTCCAACATACATTGACTTCTATGTTCAAAACAAAACAAAAGAAAATCCATTTATCTAAAACAAACTTTGCACTGCACCTCTCCTATTGGTATAGAAACTGTACCCCCAATTGGAAAAGAATCCATGAAGTAGTTTTTTAAGTTATAGGTTGCACAAATGTTGAGTAAAAAAATACCAAGCAAAAAAAATAAAATGTAAAATAGCTGTATATTTTCAGAAAAAACAAATATTGAAAACAACTGTACCCCCAATTGGAAAAGAGTCCATAAAAATGGTTTTCAAGTTATAGCTCGCACAAATGTTGAAGTAAAATATTCCAAGTTGAAAAATGAAAAAAAGCCGTATTTTTTCAGAAAATCCAAATATTGAAATCAAACTTCGCACTGCACCTCTCCAATAGTTATTAAACGTGTTTAGCAAACACTTTTAGGTCAGGGGTATAGGAAGACAGTGGGAGGAAAGTTCTTATGCTATCAGGCATTCCCAGTTGTATAGGAATAGTGTATGTACAGGTAACCATGTACAGGCAACTATCAAATAATCCCTTACAGAAACAGCCAATACATACTGTTGCATCTGTCTCTTCACTCCTGAATGATATTGTCTCCAATATGGAACCTTTGGAAGTCTGAGCTCGTATATGGGAATTCTTCCTTTCGAATTCTTCCTCAAGGAAAATGATGGCTTGCTGAGACCTTGACTTGACTATCCCAGCATGCTCTGCTGTCTCATACTGGCCTTCACGGCTTCCTTTGGCTAGGCCGTCTAGCTCATTGATGACTTTAAACAAGAACAGAAACATATTATGGATGACCTATTTTACTTCTACTAGATAAATGCTGTCACCTCCCTAAAATACACAAGAGTTTGCCACTAACGTGGCTATATCCCCCGCCCCTGTTGCAGAATTTATGACATAATTAAATCTAAACAAACCCTAACCTTTTTTAACCGAGGTGGAACTTGTCATAGAAATTGTTAAAAAAAGAAGAGTTTGGAACCATCTTGCTGCCATGGAAACGTAAAAAAAAATTTTTTTCTAAAATTTCTACATAGCAAAAGGCACCAGTTCAGCATGTACCTGACAGACCTGCAAAGTTTGATGAAAATATATTGAACAGTTTATGAGTTATGCTCCGGAAACGAAACGTGACAGACAGACGGACGTAAGGACAGATGGAGCCCGTTTCTATATCCCCGGCCAACTTTGTTGGGCAGGGTATAATAAACCAATAAGCTATTTTGCTTCTATACAACGGCTATACCCTTCTCAAATACATATAAAGTAGAACACGGATATAACGAACACGGATAGAGTGAACAAACGAATACAACGTACTGTTAAAAAATCCCCTATTTATCTCCTATACATTATCATAAAAAATTTACGTACATAACAAACTCTCTACAGAGAACTTACAGATACAGCAAACTGATATCTGATCACCGACAAGCATATCTACCACTAATTAGTGACATGTATAGTGAGCTGAGAAATCTCCAGTGTCAAGTGTCACTGACAAATGGCTGTACACAATCAGAGGCAAATCAACACAATCACGGCGAATCAACACAATCACTGGTGACGATTCAACCTTGTTAAACTTGCACTTACCAACAAGGGGGACAACCAGGGTGTATTTGTGGGAGTTGAGGATTCTTTTCAGTCCTGGCAGATGGTCGATGAAGCAGTTGGTGTCCGGGATGAGGAAGATAGGATGGATTTCAAGTTCAATTCGACGATGACGATTCTCATCAAGTATTGCCTGAAAAGCAGGTGTTCACCATGTTTAATATGTCAGTGTATTTAATTATGGTCATAGATTCAAATATGATCAGTGAGTATTTATTAGTGCCACTTGGATCAGTATGGTGTGTCTGCATTACCTCAGAGGTATGGTGCTGACAAACCAAGGAATAACAAGCATGAAATACTCATATCCCCCGCCAATGGTGCCCCATAAGAGTACATGAGACTACATAAGTTAAGATGTTTTGGTTTGTTTGTTGTTTTATGCCGCACTCAGCAATATTCCATCTATATGACGGCAGTCTGTAAAAAATTGAGTCTGGACCAGACAATCCAGTGATTAATATCATGAGCATCGAACCACACAATTGGGATCGATGACATGCATCAACCAAGTCAGCGAGCCTGACGACCCGATCCCGTTGGTTGCCTTTTACGACAAGCATATACGCCTTTTACGGCAAGCATGGGTTGCTGAAGACCTATTCTACCCCGGATCTTCACGGGTCAGTTAAGATGTATCCCTACCTGGACGTTCTCCTGGTGCCTGGTCTGTTCATCCTTCTTCTTCTGCAGCTCCTGTCTGCGGGCCTTCAGATGGCGGACATGATCCTCCTCACCACTCTCAACATCAGCCTCATCTTCACTCTCAATTATCACATCATCAGACTGAAAAAAATAAACTCTGATAAAACATTTATGAAATACTACTATGATAAAATGTCCAAAATGAGGTATTGTTTTCGAAATAGTCTTCAGATTAGGTTGCATTTTGTGATGATTTCTTAACTGTGTATTTGAAGGTGATATCTAAAATCTTTTGATTAATTTTTTGTTTTTCTTTATAGAAAGCAAAGACAAACTCCCTTGAAGAGAGCATTGTACCGGGTAGTATTTGATTGTTGATTTGAGCCACAGTCAGCAATATTCCAACTACAGGTATATTCCTTCAGATTGCAGCCTGTACATAATCTAGTCTGTCCCATGCCATCAGGGTATGATGACACACATCAACCCTAGTTAGTCACCGCTTTAGTCTGAGACATTAGCCACTAGTCCAAAGACATGGTCTTGTAAACTTCTGTTCTGTCTAGACAGCTCAGCTAATAATGGTATATATAACACTAAAATCTGAAAAAAGATGCTTCAGAGCAAAGTTGGGCTTGTAGACTCGAAAGCTTTAGGCACAGACTGTTCTTTCTACAAGCAATAGAGTGCTGCGGACCTATTTAATGAGGTTGCCCATGTTATGAAATGAAAAATAAATATGGATAGAATCAGAATGGTTTGGTTTGGTTTGGCTTGGTTTGGTTTGGTTTGGTTGTTGTTTAACGCTGCACTCAGCAATATTCCAGTTATATGACGGCGGACTGTAAATAATCGAGTCTGGAACAGACAATCCAGTGATTGACATCATGAGCATTGATCCATGCAATTGGGATGCGATGACATGCATCAACCAAGTCAGTGAGCCTGACCAGCCGATCCCGTTAGTCGCCTTTTACGACAAGCATAGTTGCCTTTTACGGCAAGTATGGGTTGCTGAAGACCTATTCTACCCCGGATCTTCGCGGGTCAGTCAGAATGGACTGAGAACAACAAAATCTTCAAAGTGAGTAAGTTTGGTTTAATGTTGCTTTAAAGAATATTTTAGTTCTATCACAACCTGTCAACTTGATGTGGGAGGAATGCCTGAAGTGATGCAGGACTTAGACAAGTACCACTTTGGTGAAACCCATGGGTATGAAGCTGACTACAAGAAACATCATCAGTGTGAACCTGGGGATTGAACCTCCAAGGGGTGAGGTTCTGTTCATCTTCGACCTATAACCCCCAGGCATTTCATACACATGATCCATCAATTACTGCCACAAGTGCACTGTCTTATTCCAAGAACAGCTATATACCACCTTGTCCACAGGAATGCATATTCAAGACACATTCTAAGGAGCAGGATCAAGAAAATAGATGCACGCAACTTGATCTAATGGGAAAAATCTTCAGCTCAGTTTTTACTGATTGATAGATGTAAGTGATACGAAAATCCTTAGCTAATGTAGGTAAATATTATCTCTAACTTGTACAGACTTATCTCACATAAACACCGAAAATATGAAACGCTGGATGGAATGTGAATATGGAGAATGTAAATGGCCCACTACACTTACGTCTGAGGAATTAGTGCCTCTTTTTCTGTCTTTTTCTTCACTGACTGAGGTAGCCAAGGCAACTGAGAAGTACAGCTTTGTTTCAACATTGTAGGAGAGCATGGGTGGCTCAATACCACATAGGTATTCTCCAAACAGGCGGAGCTTTTCTAGTCTTAGGCAATCCTTGGCAACTTCCTGGAAAAATATAATGGTACGGGTAAAAACAAAACCATGTTACCTGTAATACCTGCATTAATTACTGCCATCGGTATCTCAATTACAAAATATCATTAGTTATATTTTCATACTCCTTCATAATGTTACCTCTCAATTGTTACCTCAGATGTCAGATGAATAGGCGTACAAATGAGTATCTTTAGAAGATGGCCAGACTATAATATGCAGACTTAAAGTCAAGTCATTTTTGGTGATATTTAATGGTAAGGTAACCTGTTGTTTTCAGATGCAAATTTCTCAGTCATATCACACAGCCTGTAAAGTATTTCAGTCTTGAACAAACAAGCCAATGCTTCATTGTAAGAATAATGTTATTGGGTAAGCTAACAAGGAGCCAGGTCACACTGGAACTAACTTCACATCCTGTAGTACTCAATGTTCATATGATATTTGTTATCAACTGTATCAGGACCTAAGGCCTCATTACCAAAATAGAATGACTGACTGATTGATAATGAGCTAGGTCACTCATCATTGCTCATTGTTAGCACCTGGATGCCGTTGTACAAAACAACCTCAGCATTATGACAGTCGTAAGTCTATGTTAAGGTATGGGAGTTACGATCACCTTAGCGCTAAGATCGTTTGTACAACAGCATCCTGATCCATAAATTAGTCGGCTTTTAAAGCAACAGGGTGGGTTTGGTGTCCTGCACTGACAAACATCATGTTACTTGTACACTATGTCCTACAGGCAGCCTACCTTATCTGTGGTTGCATGTATGTAGCAGCTCTCCACCAGTGAACTCAACATTGGGATGAAGCCAGCCATCATCGCATCCTCACTCAGGACGATGGGTTCACAGCCTGAAGCAATCATAAAGCCACATGAACCATATATAAGCATTTCATGCTGATTTGTAAAAATCATAAATACTGTGATGAAATAATTCAATGTGTGCTTATTTCAACCCCCTACTATAGTGTTGATTTATCTTTCAACATCATTTCAAAGGAAAACAAAATGACTACCACAAACCACAGTACTATCATGACTTGAAACTTCAAAAATATCCTTAATTTACTGACTACTACTACTACTACTACTACTACTACTACTACTACTACTACTACTACTACTACCATTATTAGAAAGTTTCCCATAAATTGTATATTTATCTATTTATCCTATCTCACACGATGCATTCTTCTTTGATCTTATGTTGAAACGTGCTTGAACAAAAGCAATTCACAAGAACACATCACAGCATCACCATGGTCATGCCCTCAACAACTGGGTCACGTACGTAATCCCGTGCATAGCCACCTTACATCACCTGATCACGTGTCTATCTCTACCACATCATTCCCTTTCTTCAGAGCTAACAGGCTAGAGGAGCTAAGATGCGGGGATGGTCGGGTGGGCGTTTAGCTTGTGAGATAGGATAAGTATATTAATATAATATTTATTGGAAAATTTCAATTTTTTTACACTTATCCTATCTCACAATATGCATTTATCCCCAGTTCGAAGGTAGGCACAGATACCCTAGCCTGTCAAGGCTACAACAGTGAGACTTACACAAGGAAGCTGGTTCTAAACAGTGAAATAAATAAACCAAATAAAATACTGCCAAGTGTCCTAAACGACAAGAACTTGTGCACAGGAAAAACACACCAACAATTGGTGAAATGATCCCGATATGCTAATCGGACGTAACAGAATGGGATCGGGTATAACATGCGAAACGTGTGAAATTGTTATATGAACGACCGCTTATGGTTAAGAAACAAGCGACACAGCATGTGACTTACAAGCGATCTGGAACAGGGCACCAGTCAATCGACTTTACAAGACAGGAAGCAGCAATATCGCCAAAGGACAATATAGTGTGACTGCTCGTCATCTCTTTTAATGCTTCGTCAAGGCTATCAATCACACCCAAGGGATTGAAGCGTGCTGAGACGAGAAGAGGAACAATGGACAATATCCATAAGAGGATCTTTGAATCAGTACCCGACAACACACACTCAAGGCAGGGGTTAGCGGAATAAAGGTTAGGGACACTGCGTGCTACTGACTGGGTTGACATCCAAAGCATGGATCTCGCTAATATGTGCAGTAGTCGCAAGGGCCAGTAAAAAAAAAATGGTCTTGGCGAAGGATGACATTAAGATCCAAAGCGAGAGGCCGAAACTGGGATGACTGGTCTGCTAACTTGTAGGACTGAATGAAAGATTGAGGTTCAGCAGTGGTAGAAACCTTCGATAACGTGGTAGTAGCGATGACAGAGGTGATCGTAGAAAGATACATGGCCAGAGTAGATACCTTGAGCTTCCGCGTATATCGGAGGTGATGATGATAATCGGCTATCTGTTGAGGCAAAGTAGCAGAGGGAGTGGATATGTCACAAGTGCGACAACAAGCCTCAAAAGCCATCCACTTGCGGTCATCAAGGTGTTTGGTAGAAGAGTAATGGTCTTTGCTACCCTCTTGGAATAGCCAAGGGATCTATGCGCCAAACAAAAATAAGGAGTGTTTCAAGGGACGGATGAAGCAAATGGAGGTGAGGCTGCAGAAGAAGGCTGTCTCGAAGTGGAAGAAGGTCGGATGCCAGGGCATCGCGGTACCAAGCCTGAGGGTTGGGGATGGAAGACACGAACCAGGAGAACTGTGTGTTGAATCTGGTTGCAAACCTATTGACCTCTGGGAACGGATATAGTTGGCAGATGCACCAAAAGATCTACGGGTAAAGAGACCATTCCATTGGGGACGGCCTGTTGCAATCACATTGGAGCCCCCACCCCAGCCCCGGCAGAATGTAGCATGTCAATCAACTGGAAGTAGTCGACTAAGAGCGACAGGAGTGACATCGACGTGGTGGATCCCATCTTGTTGAGGTACCAAACGAATAATCGTATGGATGAGCACGTGTCATGCAGAAGTGTGGAGGTTCTTCTAGGTACAACATGTTGAAGGTCTTTATGTTGAAGATGAGTAGAAGCTTTAGACTGTCCTTCTTTAGAGTGAGAAAAATGGGCCAGTAGAACCTGGGAGTTATGGGAACCGGACTGAGGTTTTCGATAGCATTTTTACGGCCTTTGCCATAGCCATGAAAGGAACTGGAACAGGAGTTGAGCAGCTCACATAGATACCATTCAGTGGGCACGAACGTCGTTGCAGGAGGCCCTTCTTCTCTCGATCCTACAAATGTTGCCGTTGAAGAAACCTGCAGATAAGTGTCTCTTTATACGTCTTGAGCCACTTCCTGGATGCGGTCTGCAATAAGACTCCGAGAGGACCAGTGGAGCTGGTATATGCGGGCTTTAAACTGGTCGTCCTAGAGACAACGCTGGAGAACTCCCCTACATGGAGGGACGTGACAGAACCTGCATGCTGAGAGATGAGGTCGAGGATCGCAGTAATTTTGTCTTGGATCAGGAGGACCGAACCATGAACATAGGCATCATCTTGAGATCTGTGAGACAGTGAAGATGAAAGGGCCTCTGTCACGGACAGGATGGTGGAAATCAAAAGGAGCGTTTGTCGAATCGTTGAATCAAGATGCATCAATTCCCGATCATCCACTGTAGAAGTAGTAAAGGAACGCTTGGGTCAGAGTGTGGAGATATCCCCATCAACAGTCGAGGACATGCCGTGGGTCGCATCCTCCTCCAATATAAACTGTTGAGACTGGAGATGATCCCATAGACGATGGAATGACGCGAAGGCCGAATCAAGGTTGGTAGAGACATCAAGCAGTACCGGTCGATGAGGAAGAGTAATGTGTAAAGAGTTTGCTGAAGGGACTGCTAAAGCCGTTAACTGATCCTCATTAGAAGTGCTGCAAACTAAGTTGGAGCTGCTAGGCGATCCAATTAAGGACTAAAGCTGGGTCGGCGCCGTCGAGGGTTGATCATGTACGCCTGTAGGAGAGGAGGAACAATTGTCCGAGTAGGACAACCTGCGAGGGAGCGGTAGAAGGATCAGCATTAGACGTAGTAGCAATGGAGGGAGCGATGGAAAGGACCATGCGACCGATGTCGTTGGCGTAGAAGTCCCTGACTTAGCAGCAACTTCGTCCGTTAAAAAACTGTCAGAGACAGTGTCTTTTGCCATGGAGAGCACAGGCAAAGAGGATTCCATAGGAACAGCACGGGAACAGATGTTTTGCTGGTCTTCTTTGTGGAGACAGTAGACGCAACTGTAGGTGATGGCGAAGCCTTGGATTTTCTTTCTTTTCCATCAGGTCCATTTCGCACCGATCACACTTGTGTAAGTAGACAAGAAAGGTGTTTACATTTGGAACAGCATGCGTCAAGGCTGCACCTGCCGCGACAATCACAGCAACGCACATGTGGATCTGAGGTGGAAATAGTATGTTGGAAATCTAGACTGACAAACACGTCTCCACTGTTGTTCGGTGCGTGACCATGGTGATGCTGGGATGTGTTCTGGGGAATGTTTTTAGCAGCTGGAAACTTGATCAAGCATAGTGTGAGATAGGAAAAGTGTAAACCTTTATTAATATCTTATCTAAACTTACATTCCTAGAAAATATGTTAAAAGTTGGTCTAGCCAATTCTATCAAACAGTGACCCCGACTTACTTTCCCGCCTGTCTCTGTAGATTTTGACATGTGACGTGTCCAGCCCTGTGAGCACGTTACACAGGTCCGACATCCCCTTCCACACATCAATGTCAAGCCTAGAACAAACCAGAAAAGAACAAAATCACACAGAGATCTGTCAGTGAATGAGGTTGTCAGATATATTATAGAGATCTGTGGTGTCACAGGGCCCTGGAAGGCAAACCAGTGGTTGATCCCATGACCAACATCATCGCTGTACAAAGCATGAAGCAGTTAGGACCCCATGAGTGAGTGAGTGAGTGAGTGAGTGAGTATGGTTTTACGTCGCTTTTAGCAATATTCTAGCAATATCACGGCAGGGGGACACCAGAAATGGGTTTCACACATTGTACCAATGTTGGGAATGGAACCCGGGTCTTCGGCGTGACGAGCGAACGCTTTAACCACTAGGCTACCTGACCGCCCCTCAGGACCCCATGAAACAAAGCAATCGTATTAGTGCAACAACTGCAAGCCTATATGAAAGCATGGGAGTTACGATCAGTTTCACCCCTGTTTTGTGTTTGTGTGACCTTAGGGTCAGCCTTTCAAATGCCAACTGAGCTGCTGATTGTTGACTAGTGACTTGATAAGGGTACTAGAACTGTCCCAAATATCACATTAAAATGATAAAAGAAATCCATTTATGAAAACTGTCTTCATTGAAACTACAGCTTCTAATTTGAGGGGACTGGTCATTTTTAGAGTTGCCAGTCCACTGGGACTGGCAGTTTCAAAAGCCAGCGATGCTAAACCCCATTTCCTAATTGACAGGGCCACTACTGCCATAGCACAAGCTGGCTACTTGTCTGGGACGTACCCGAGGTCTGGAGGCCGGAGTGATGGTGGGGGGTTCCACAGAGCAGGATGACACATCATCCAGTCAGACCAGGACTTGACACCCGGGACAAGCTGGTGCAGGTCCTCATTCAGCAGCTGGGCGGGGTAGTCTGTGGACCTGAGGTGGGAGGTCAGGAGATCAGAACAGTTCTTGATCAGCAGCCCAAACATGTCCAGACCCAGCTGGACAGCATGTTCCTGAAGCAGTGACCGGCACGTCTCTCCAAGACTTTCATCTGGGAATGGAAGAAGAGTCAGACATATTACATTCTTGGCCAAAACAATTACCAAGTGGTTGAGTATAGGTTAACACTAGGGGTGTCACGATAAATCGAAATATCGATATATTGCTATTGGTAAGCACTTAAAGTCAATAAATCGATTGTTAATCAGTTTCCGATCAATAGTATCGATTTCAGTTAGGAATATCGATAGTTCCGATTGTATGTTTACCATAGTTTTACAGTTTCAATAAAATACATGCAATGCTGTTCAAATTTGTCCTTCTTTTGATCATGAGTGGTAGTAATTTACACATGGTAGTGTGGAAGTTTCTTTTTCTTAAATTATTAGGGTAAAGAAAAAACAAATGAGTCATATCTCAAACTTTACTTTATATTTGTTGTTATGGTTAACATATTCAAAGGAAACTTCAGTTCCAAGGTTTAATTCAACTCGAAAATCCATCTAAAATGATAAACTGAGATATTTATCGCAATAGTTGCTTGCAATAGCAATAGTTATCGCAATAGTTTCTTTCAATATTGATAGTTGTCGCAATAGTGATTTTCAGACCAATAGTCACCCCTAGTTAACACCACAGTCAGCAATAGTACAGAAAACAACACGAAGGATCTTCCTAAATATTCTAAGTAGAAACAAGTAACTTTTTTGATTGGCAACTTATTGTGTGTGTACATAGCAATTACAGTGAGTGAGTGAGTTGGGTTTAACGCCGCTTTTAACAGTATTCCAGTTATATCACAGCATGTCAGCTTAATGTGGGAGGAAAGCCTGAAGTGATGCAGGTCTTGGACGTTTACCACTTCGGTGAAACCCACAAGCACGGGCATGGTGCTGACAAACCTAGAAACATAATCAGGGCGAACCGGGATTCGAACCCACAATCATAGGCTTCTGGCGTGCCCAAGGGACGCAACTCTGCACAGCGAACATAGCAATTACAATTTCAAATAACATGATACAGTTGTGAGTGAATAATATCATAGTTTGATGTCATATTTACTTTAATAATTTTAAGAACTGTCCAAAACACATAATTCATCTTCAACATCCCACCAACTGCTGTTCAGCCTACCCTTCAGAGCTGTGTTTTCCACAGCAAACATATTGATGGCCATCAGCTGTATCAGCCTGTTGCTGCTGATGACTACCGGGGAGTTCTGCAGGAGAGCTTCAAACTCTCGCAACATCAGACAGCTGCCTTCCGGGAATGTCTCCATACTGAAAACACAACCAGTGAGTGAGAGTGAGTGAGTGAGTGAGTATGGTTTTACGCCGCTTGTAGCAATATTCCAGCAATATCACTGCGGGGGACACCAGAAATGGGCTTCACACATTGTACCCATGTCGGGAATCGAACCCGGGTCTTCGGCGTGACGAGCGAACACTTTAACCACTAGGCTACCCGACTGCCCCTCAGTGAGTGAGAGAATGTGTTTACAGAAACAGCAATACTATGGCATGGCTCATGAAGTAACAGAGCAGGGATGATATAAACTGGTGGTTGATCGTGTGAGCAATGAGCAAAACCTTTACAAGTAAACGTTAATAATAAAAGGTGGAGCGTAGAATAATGAGCAGTTGGAAGAAAGAAACAGCATTTAGCAATTTCCAATGTGCAGTGATCACGGTGAAGTTAAATGAGGGTAGAATGTAGTAATGCTTGTTTGTTTGTTTGTTGTTTCGCATCACACTCAGCAATCTTCCAGTCATATGACGGCGGTCTTTAAATAAAAAAGTCTGAAGCAGACAATCCGGTCACTGACGTCATCAGCATCAAGTCATAGAGCCTGACCACCTGATCCATTTAGTCACTTCTTATGACAAGCATAGCTTGCTGGGTACCTATATAATATATTCTCCCCAGAAATCCCCTTGGATAATGTAGCAATGTCATTTAAAAAAAAAAAAAATGTACAAAACACGATCACTTTTTTCATGAGTAAAATGGGAATTCATTCATTTCTTGTTTGAGGTGAAGCAATATGAGGTTTAATGTCATGTTCAAGATCATTGTACTTGTGTATAGTGATGTGCATGTGTGCGGCTGCTTGTACTAGTCTTAGACTACTGCCGATTTTCTAGGGCTTGCCCACTGAGATACCAAGTCACAGTTTAACATGTATACCCAACTCATACAAAGTATACCGACTCCAAGCCGATCAGTCCTTGTTTTAGCCCTGTAATGCTGAGGACCAGGCAGGGTAAAAACAAGTACCATCTTTAAACATCTTTAGGTATGACACAGCCAGGGATTGAAACCCGACATTCTGCTCTTGGGGCAGACGCTCTACCACCAGGCCCCAGATGTGGTCTCTGTTGTATGAAATTCTACCATGAAATTGATGAATGCTTGATTCTGATTGGTTAAAAACAGGTTTCCTTTTTGCTACGGAAACCCCTTTCAAATATATTAAGTCTTTTCACAAAAGATGTGCATATGAATACACAGATAGCCTACATATCGATTCATAGAAAATGGCTGCGGATGGATCACCCCCATATGAACCGTAAAACATATCTATATTTCCTCTAATACACGCTGCGTCTCTAATACCAGCCAGGGCCCTAATACACGCCAAGTCAAGGGTTCTCGCGAAATTAACAGACGGCGTAGCGTCAAATAGAGGAAATACGGTAGTTTGATATCGGATGTTTGGGGCGTTCTAGTATGAAATTGAATATATATGACCTGAACTTCTTGACAGCATCTTGGCAGTATGTATAATTTAGAGTACACCGCTACATCACATTGTCAGTTGCACATCCTTTATGACGTTCCCAGAAGAACTTACCCTATCTTAGTGAAGAGTTTCCCATGCACATTAAGGAAACTAAGCACAAACCGCTTGTTGAGCTGAAAAATAAAATGAAATATAATTGAAAATACTTCTCAGGTAAAAAGTGGGTGGGAAGTATTTCAATTTCTTATTCATCATAAAAAGGAGTAAGAGTAGGTATGTTTTTCAATATACATTTTGTCACGGCCCATCTTAGTAGTGTTCATATGTGAGATTTGCATACAGGTGGGCATGTATAGTTAATGCAAACAACTAAAACAGCAATCTCATTAAAATCAGATCTTAGTTCTCGCTGCCGCTAAACAAAGATCTGAGGACATCCCATTACGGGTCACGTCAGACCCACCTTTCGCAAACTCTGACCGACCGATGGAATTACTGACAAGAAGTCGACATTAGCCAATCAGAAGGCAGCTTTCTCGTGCTTTACGGCACTAATTTCAAATTGGCGACTTCGCTTCAAAACATATTTTGACACATTCTTGCTTAAAAATTTGAAACCTGAACAAAAGAACATTTTGGAATGGCTAATATATGGTCTAGATTGTATAGATTCAGTCGTTAAGCCCGTAACTATCGTTCGGAATACCCTGTTTTAAAGTTTTCGAGGCTGCATGATTAGAAATCACATTCCAACTGTCACTTTCATGATCTGGTAAGCGACGCTCTGATTGGTCGGATGAAAGGTCGTTCTGACGTGACCCCTAATGGGATGTCCTCGGATCTTTGTTTAGCGGTAGTGAGAACTGAGATCTAATTTTAATGAGATTGCTAAAACAGCAAACTATGACATGTAGAAAGTGTTAGCATGACCCATCCATCCCAAGCTTTTCCTGAATGCATACAGATGCATGCATCATGAACCATTTTGACTTTATCATATGAAGTGACACTTGACCTTACACATATTCAATGCAGTAAAACTTCTATGTCTCAATAATAAAGTTATAAGCACTTCTGTTTCAATAACCTTGACCTGCAATCTCAACCATGAACTGCCTAAGATCATGTAAATAAAGTTTCCAATTTCCAATTATAAATGCTAAAGAATATTGTGTAAACATATTTTTATTGACATCTATTTCCTACTGAGTTACCTTGACCTTCAATCACACGCAAGAGCAAAACTTGTGGCAAACTACAAATAAGAGTGAGTGAGTATGGTTTTACACCGATTTTAGCAATATTCCAGCAATATCACGGCTGGGACACCAGAAATGGGCTTCACACATTGTACCCATGTCGGGAATTGAACCTGGGTCTTCGGCATGACAAGCAAACGCTTTAACCACCATGCTACCCGACCGCCCAACTACAAATAAGAAGTCTCCATACCATACTAACAATGAGTGTATGACCTTCAAAGTGACCTTGACATTGGACACAAGCATGACATATAATACATGTTGAGTTATCTGATTGCAAAAACCTTTGATATTTCATGAATTGATCTGACATTTCATGAATTAATCTGACATTTCATGAATTAATCTGACATTTCATGAATTATGAACCATGCTCCATAATATGACCTCTAATCACCCTGTCTCAGAGATCATGTATAAGTTTTGTATAATTTCAATCATCAATACTCAAGCTATTTTTGCTTTCCGAATGAAATAAATTATTGACATGTCATTACAGGATTGAATGACCAATAAACTGACCTTGACATTTGACACAACCATGACATATGGCAGGCACTGAATTAATTATTGAGAGTCAATCTGAACCATGTTATGATAATTTGACCTCTACAGACCTTGACCCCACTATCAATCCCAGCCTTGGAGATCATGTATAATAAGTTTCATACAAATCCATTCATAAACACTTATAAGTTTTCATGTGCATATTTTCTTTATGGATAGTTCATACTAAGAGACCTTGACCTTCAAGGTAATCCAATCGTATGGCAGAAAAATTACCCATGGGGTATACAGGAAATATAAATTAGCACATGGCTGAGAAAACCAAATGGAGCTGAAATTGGAGCAAACACATTACGCAGCCCCACTCACCAATCTCATTAAAATCAGATCTTAGTTCTCGCTACCGCTAAACAAAGATCTGAGGACATCCCATTACGGGTCATGTCAGACCGACCTTGTGCGAACTTTGACCGACCAATGGAATGACCAATCAGAAGGCAGCTTTCTCGTGCTTTACGGCCCTAATTTCAAATTGGCGACTACGCTTCGGAACATATTTTGACAAATTCTCGATTACAAATTTGAAACCTGAACAAAAGAACATTCTGTAATGGCTGATAGATGGTCTAGATTGTATGGATTCAGTCGTTAAACCCGTAACTATCGTTCAGAGTTAAAGTTTTCGAGGCTGCATGATCAGAAATCACATTCCGACTGTCACTTTCATAATCTGGTAAGCGATGCTCTGATTGGTCGGATGAAAGGTCGTTCTGACGTGACCCCTAATGGGATGTCCTCAGATCTTTGTTTAGCGGTAGCGAGAACTGAGGTCTGATTTTAATGAGATTGCCCCACTTACAGGGAGCTTAATTATTATCAATGACTGATCGATTGGAACAAACCCACCATGACCAAACATCAATGACAAATCGCAACCGTGATATTTTACCTCTATAGCAGAAAGATTAGTGAGGTCTTCTTCATGCGTCTCATCAACCTTATCCTCCACACTCTTGCCATCATGAGACACCCAGATCTCAACCCGGGGGCCGTCTTGCTGTCTCCTCTGTTTCAACTTCTTCAGTTTTTCCTTGTCGGCCAATCTCTTCTGTTCTGTAGCTTCAGCCTGTCACAATAACACATAAACAGTCTCTTACACTGGCTTTATCTATCAGGAGTTAGAATAACCATGAAACCTGTATATTTATAAAATATGGTTTACAGACATTGCGTGGCATTTGATTAGCTAATCAAGCAATTTATTTGCAGTTAGGTTTCAATAAAATAAATAAAATAATCACAACCCCACAAGCAGACTGCTGTTTCATGATTGGCTGATAATTGCCAAGGCTTGTGTTGCTGAAAAAGGTCACTGATTTCGTAATGCTGTCTTTGTTTGTGTCAATGATTAAATAAGCAGTCTGTGAGGTTACTATTTATGACTTATAAGAATTGACAATATCAACATGTTTTTGAATTTATAGAGAAATAAATCTAAAACATGGTGTATACACTTTCAGGAAATCTGCTTTTAATGTATATATCTTCATAAATGCAAAACATATACAGTATATTTCTATGTGTCCCGAATAAGTTCGATTCATTTCTTTAAAAAACAATAAAGTTGTGAATCTTTTTATGTCACAGTTGCTGTATCTAGAAATTACACATCGTCAATACTTTACCAGTTTGTATGTACAACGTATCTCCATCACCCCTGAATACATACAACCAAGTTGTATTTATTAGTCAGCTAATGGAAGGAAAGACTTATACTCCATGCATGAACTTAGTTCTGCCTCATATTGAAGCTTTTAGCAATATTCCAGCAATATCACGGTGCGGGAAACCAGAAATGGGCTTCACTCATTGTACCCATGTCGGGAATCGAACCCGGGTCTGCGGGGGGGCGAGTGAACGCTTTAACTATTAAAGCAATGAGGAGAGCAGAGAAACACTATGCTATAGCACATGCTGCATGAGAAATACTGCTATTGTATGATGTAACCTGAGCACTTTCCCTGGATACAGGTCGTGTCATGATCAGTTGGATAAAAATAGCAACTATTCTGCAAAATGACTATTCTGCAAAATGGTCTTATTTAGTCACGGAAAAACATCGTTCAAACGAAACCTATGAAGTTTTGACAATGGAAGTGACAAAATGGGATGACATTTTGAAATTAATTATTCATTTCCCTTTGATGATAGAATATGTTTCCTAACAAGACATGTTTCATTTTGATGCATGGAAACACGTACACGCTCTAAATCTGAAACAGAAAGTTTATCAACAAACTGACACTCAACAAACTGTGCCCCTGAAATATGACAACGCAACAGGCATCACCTTTTTCCTGACATCTTCAAAGACTGACATGAGACTCTCCCTAGCTGTGAGGAAGGGGTTGCTGGCCGCCAGACTCCTCATGTAGTAGTACACAGCATCAAGCTTCCTCCTCTGAAAAACACACAGGAAATATAAGTCCTAAGTCAGAGTAACACTTTCCTTTGTTCAGCTACAAATCCTCAGTTTTAACCTTTTGGGCTGTGTGGTTTCTTGGCAATCATTTAAATCAGATGTATTACTTGGTTGTTGGTTTGTTGTTTAACGCCGCTCTCAGCAATATTCCAACTATATGACGGCGGTCTGTAAATAATCGAGTCTGGAACAGACAATCCAGTGATTAATATCATGAGCATCGATCCACGCAATTGGGATCGATGACATGCATCAACCAAGTCAGCGAGCCTGACCACCCGATCCCGTTAGTCGCCTTTTACGACAAGCATGGTCACCTTTTACGGAAAGCATGGGTTGCTGAAGACCTATTCTACCCCGGAATCTTCACGGGTCTGATGTATTACTTGGATATGATACTTTCTGCATGAAGTTCTGACGACACCTCCATAGGTCGCGTCAGATAAATCCTCAGCCAACTTTGACTGCCCATGAATGAAGGATGGGGGGGGGGGGGGGGGGGGGGTTCTAAAGCCAATCAGATGTCAGCTTTCAAAAATAATTCAGCTTCATTTTTTCACACCATGAAATTTTGATTTGCACAAATGAAAACCCACACGAATAACAAAAATCCTTGATTGGAGAAGTCATTGATTGGCCAATTGGAATGTTCAGGAGACCTCCTTTGGAGGTGCCCTTAGATGTTCATACAGAGAGGTATTGTTATAGGAATAAAAGATCTGATTTCAATGAGATTGGTTTCTGGGTTCCTAAAAATATAAATTCAATCATCTTTTGAAATAAAACATTTAAAAAATATGAGGATGTTTATAACTTATGGAAAGTCAAATGAACCCTACTCCGTGCATCAATTCTGTATAAACCCTAGCACTGCCTGACATTTAATCATATCAAAGAGCAGGCAGCCACAAGGCAACACCAATGTCACACATGTCAAGCAAGAAGCACTGCCATTTGTGCAATATGGAAGCTGAGTGCTCCTTGTTATGAGCACTTGATGGCTCCCTCTAGCTGGGTTAGGGCGGTCAGGTAGCCTGGTGGTTAAAGCATTCGCTCGTCACGCTAAAGACCCGGGTTCGATTCCCGACATGGGTACAATGTGTGAAGCCCATTTCTGGTGTCCCCCGCAGTGATATTGCTGGAATATTGCTAAAAGCGGCGTAAAATCAAACTCACTCACTCACTCACTCTAGCTGGGTTAGGCCATTGCTTGTGTCTTTGGTTAAAATGGCGACTGCACATTTTCAAACTTTTTGGAGTAACATTGTGTCTACAAACCTGTGAAGTATTCATGATGACTGAAAACTGTTTGAACATTAATTACAGTCAAGTCTCGTTAATCCGACATCGTTGGTTGCACATGATTGTGTCGGATTAACGAGTATGTCGGATTAACGAAATTAAGTGATTTGTGATCGAAAATCGGACATCTTCACGATAGATAATAACCGTGTGTTTCCTCGTGTAAATGCAAGTGCTACTGTCTTAACAACTTGCTTCATCTACTTAAAATAGTCTGTCAGTGTTTTCTGTTTCTCACATTTTGAAGGCACATTTCTCAAAGTCCCCTGTTCGCTTGACATCTAGGGCTGGTGGTTCTTCAGCATCAACATTGTCGAGGTGTAATTTCATTTGTTTCTTATAGTAAAGCTTGAAATTCTTTATGATCCCGGCATCTAGTGTTAATTGTTAAAGTTAATCTCTGCAGCCAGTGCGTGTCAAAACACGGGGTTGTGTACTCGCGGGCAGATGACCACGGAGCACGCTGACCACTGTGTCGGATTAACGAGACTGATTAATGAGTGATTTCGGTAATTCGTTGCAAATTAGGTGTGTCGGAGTCGGAGTGCGAGAATGTCGGATTAACGGGACTAAATAGCGCTGAATCAATCGGTTCCCATCATTTGTGTCGGATAAAGCCGAGTGTCGGATTAACGAGACTTGACTGTACATTCTAATCTCAAATCTATCCATACAAAATAAGCAGCTGAAAGCACTGACAGTGTTTGATCAACACCGACTCCCACCATGCCTATCTCTACAGAGAGTGACTGCACCCTTACCGTATACATGGCTAGAATTGCAAGTTGGTTATAAGGTCTTCCATTTTTAGGAGCAATCTGCTGTGCTTTCATGTACCAACTGAAAAATAAGAAAAGAACACAGATGTAGATGTTTGTCCCTCATTATATCATATGTGAAACAAATCCATCTATCAAAACAACTTAAAGTGAAAGAACAAACTAACAATGAAAAAATATCTTATTTTTCAATTTTAGCTAAAATATATACCAAAAAAAGTCAATGACTCCTGAAAATGTGTTTTTCACTTTTGGTAAACCCAATGCTTGTCGTAAGAGACAGGTAACAGGATTGGGTGGTCAGGCTCGCTGACTTGATTGATGCATGTCATAGCATCCCAAACACGCAGATTATTATGCCAATCACTGGATCGTCTGGTCCAGATTTGATTATTCACAGACCGACATGATATAGCTGGAATATTGATGATGCCAGTGTTACTGCATTTCCATTTTGAAAGTACTAAAAGACTGGTTGACATCACTGAGTACAATAAGACTGACTCACTTCCGAGCTCTCCCATAGTTTGTGGTTTCATTTGCCTGTTCCCGATATCGGGCAATGTCTCCCAGGAAGATGTAGGTCCTCTGGACGCTGAGAAGGGCCAGTTTGACCGATCGACTGATGTTGTCGCCAGGAGGGTTGTTCACATCCAAGAACACATCAATGTTGAAACTGTATGTAGACTGCAGCTTCTGAAGAAGGTTCTGGAAAAACTCGGTACCCTGTGGAACAAATTATCATCAATTTCAGGGAGACAGATGTATCAGTGAGACAGATCTTGTAAGAGTAATGGATGAAGCATTCTGAAGTCAAGTTGACATGCTCAAGTAGGATATTTCAAGTTAAGAAATAAGGCCGGAAAACAAGCCCAAAGATAGCTTCATGGAACAAGCCCTGGCTGAGCTAGTATGTCATCATACCCCACTGTCATGGATTAATACTTTCACTTGCAGCAACAGATTTCAATGCTGCTGCAGATGTCTTATCCTCCTAATGACCAAAAACATTGCCTATAAGCATCAAACATGTCTTACTTCATTGAGGACAGTATGGAGCTTGTCCTTGAAGTCCCCCTCTTCATCCTCCCCCAGGTGACGCCGGAACACCTCGATCACCTGGTAGTACACCGACTTCCACAGCAGCTGCTCTACACCATGCTTGTTGGAGACATCCGCATCCAGGAAAATGATCTGCTCGTAACGACTACGTAGTTCATCTCTGAAACATTGTCATCCCACAATGTCAGATGTAGTAATGAAGTTAAATTATCACATATGCAAAGGGTACACAAAGTTCAACAAAGTTTCTTAATGCTTTTTTGTGTGTTAACCTTGGGCACTATATGCAGTTACACACAGTCTTAGAATTTTTGTAAATTATACACAAGTTGTACACAATATACATAGCCTATCTCACACTATGCATTTCTTCCTTCTTCTTTCTATCCTTATATGGAAACGTGCTTGAACAAAGTTTCCAGCTTCTAAAAATATTTCACTCGAACACATCCTATCATCACCATTGTATAACTGGGTCACACACTGTAATCCTGTGCATGTGACTGGGTAAAAACAACACAACAGGCGATATGACCCTTTCAAGCTAGTCGGATGAAACATCATGAAATTGGGTATAACGTGTTTCAGAAACGTCTTCTTAACTTTGAATAGAGATCTATTTAGTGTACAACTTATAACCAATCCGGAAAGGGACTCCAGGCAATCAGTTCGATGGATGGCCGTGGAATTGTGAGTGAGTGAGTGAGTGAGTGAGTGAGTGAGTGAGTGAGTGAGTGAGTGAGTGAGTGAGTGAGTGAGTGAGTGAGTGAGTGAGTGAGTGAGTGAGTGAGTGAGTGAGTGAGTGAGTGAGTGAGTGAGTGAGTGAGTGAGTGAGTGAGTGAGTTGGGTTTAACGCCGCTTTTAACAATATACCAGTTATATCACGGCGTGTCAGCTTAATGTGGGAGGAAAGCCCGAAGTGATGCAGGTCTCAGATGTTTACCACTTCGGTGAAACCCACGAGCACAGGTATGGTGCTGACAAACCTAGAAACATAATCGTCAGGATTGGAACCCACAATTATAGGTTTCTTGAATGTTAAAGGGATGCAACTCTGCACAGCGAATCGCGACACCTTAGAGGACTGGGCCACCCATGCCCCGCCGCGGAATTGAGGCATCCTAAGACTGGATCGACAACATCCACAATGGCAGATAGGGTGCAGTGGCCATGGTAGAGGGGACGGCTCTAGTCTCATGTTGATTGGATGACACAGGAGGAGGCAATCCAGCGAAGAATTAGGCCTGAAGGATAGTCCAGCGGAGCCATTAAGGATACTCTGGTAAGGGAGGCTTTCGTGTAGGTTGCCGTGGAACGTGTGACGAGTCATTAAAAGTCTAATCATTGGTGTAAAAATACTCAATAATCTGGACCCAAGGGAGTAAAAACATACCAAAAACTGAAAAGAAAACTATCAAAAAGTAATGTGAATGATAATTTGTGAGTAAATACGGGGAGATTCTCTGTTATCTGTACCTGAGTTTGGTGATTCTCCTCCACCCATCATCACCCGAGATTCTGCGAGACAGGAGGTTGTTGAGTTGATTGTCCAGTGGCTGGGTATCACGGAGTAGCTGCTCGGACATGGCTCGACATTGGGACTTCGACCGGCCTCCAATTACCTGGTCAGGATCGTAGCCACTGGAGGTAACATTTTGAGATACACATCATATTTAATGTCATATAACCATAACATAGAACATTTGGGTGAAATTCACAAGAATTAATTCCCTGCTGTTATGTATCTGTATCATGTATAGGAAATGTCACAATATTTACTCTTTTCTGGATTCAAAATGAACATGTCGGCTAGTCTGAGACTAGTAATATGCAGGAAGAACTAGTGACATTTCCTTGTGAACTACTTCTTTTACCATTAGTTAGAGTGAGTGAGTGAGTGAGTTGGGTTTTATGCCGCTTTTAACAGTATTCCAGTTATATCACTGCGTGTCAGCTTAATGTTGGAGGAAAGCCCAAAGTGATGCAGGTCACAGACGTTTACCACTTCGGTGAAACCAACGAGCACGGGTATGGTGCTGACAAACCTAGAAACATGATCAGGGAGAACCGGGATTCGAACCCACAATCATAGGTTTCTGGCGTACCCAAGGGACGCAACTCTGCACAGCGATTCGGGCGCCTTAGACGACTGGGCCACCCATGCCCCCCACCATTAGGTAGAGGGCAACTCTGTAGCAGATCATCTTTGTGGACTAGTAAAAAAATACATTAGTTTCTAAATGTTTAAGGAATATATTAAATGATAATTGTCTTTTCTTCCTATATCATTTGTTTCAATCGAGTGTGATATCAAGCATATATCTTCAGATAAACATAGCATTCCTTCACTAATTACATAATGAAAGATCATGCTAATGCCACATTTACAAAGCCGCTTATACCTTCTATATGGTTACAGAACTTATTAAACTCTAGGTCAAGTTCTAAAGCCAGGCAAAACAGTTACTGTGCATAAATATAGTCTGGCCTATAGTCCCGAATGTCTCCCACTAATTCTAGCCAGACAAGACGACTTTTGACCTACTTAATATAAACCATTTTGAATAGTTTTTACTCTGAATCATCTTTCATCAATACTTGTTTAATATATGGTCTGGACAAAGTGTTCCAGAGGATGGTGCTATTCCATGGAATAGATTCTACCTGTCCCCAATCAGTTCAATTAACATCCATCACAATCATAATTTGTGTACATGTGTGTATAGAGGATTTGAAGGTGTTACACTTCTAATTTTTTATTTTTATTCATAAAATTTCATGTATAGATTGTAGTGTGTTTCTTGCTTAATGCCACAGTCTGCAATATTTCAGCAATATCACGACCGCCTGTAAATAATCAAGTCAGGACCAGACAAACCATTGATTGATATGACAAATATGAGCAACGTCCCACACCGTTGTGGTATGATCATCAAGACACCTCTTACAAGCTTCCTCACATACATGGGCTCTAGTATAGACTACCCACCCATGATAATAGGGGTCTCTAGTGTAGGTGTCATCAGTGTAGAGGCCACACTCTTTGAATGGAAACTGAGGGTAACCAAACATAGCTGCCGGGTGTGGTGGCATGCCACCATATGCTGGGCCAGGGTACGGCATCTCTGGGTAAGTGAATCCCTGACGGTAGTCTTGATAGTACTGTTGAGGGTGGGGCTGGGGTGGTTGTGGGGGTGGATGCTGCTGAGGCATAGTAGTTGGTGGGGTGCTGCGATTTGATTCCTGTGGTGATGAAGCCATCTCACGTTTATCCGGACCTTTGATTTTTGAGTTGGTGATTACAATTGGCTTGTTTGGATTCCTTGGATCAAAAAGCATTTTCCTGCTTTGATCCAGAGTCTGATCTCTGTTCTTCATATGATGACTTGCCATCATGCCAGCATCTGTTTGCTCTTCCTGATAATGTTCTTGCTGCTTGGCCTGATGCCCTGGGAGATGGAGCAGTCCACCAGAATGTGCATGTTGAGAACTGGACATGTCGGACTCGGATCGAGTCTGCTCACCAGACACTTTAACTTGTCTCTGATTCCTATCCAAAGTAACCTTGATATTAACATTGTCTCTGGGAGATTCACCATAGCTGTCATGCCTGCCCCGCCTAAATCCCTCCCGCTTTGACCCAATGTCAAGCTCATGAGAATTATGCCTCCTTTCATAGAAATCTCTCCTTCCCCCTTCCTTCGAGCTGCCGCCATGACTGTCATGCCTCCTTCTCCTGCTTCCATCGGTCCCAACATCACTAAAATTATCCATCTTATCCTTCTTCCCTCTTGATCCAGCTGATGAATGCCGTTTTTTATGACGCCGTGCTGGTCTGATCCTTGGCGCCCAGGGATCCTCATCCTGATAATTACTGTGAACACTTGACTCTCGACTCTCCGTTCCAGAAGGCCTACGTCTCCTCTCCTTCCTGCGGCCACGGAATTCCTGAGATCGTATCACGTCCTTTGCTATGGATCCCTTTTCAGGATGGGCTTTTTCATATTTGGGTTTGGGTTCTGGAGGTGCTGCCTGATCCATATCTCCTGGGTAACCCGCGACACAACTCTCGAGGTAGTCATTGAGTCTCTGGGCTTCATCCTGCACCTGCCTGGCCAACTCCTGCTCCATCTCCTGCACCCAGTCCAGAGGTTTCGGCTCCTGTTGGAACTCCTCCTCCAGACTTACATCACTGCTGGCACTCACGTCACTACTGAAGCTGCCAGTTCTCTGCCTGCGCATTGCCGAGAACGAGTGACGTTTGCCTCCCCTCTTCCCCCCACCCCGAGATCCTGACGTTCTGGATTTGTATACATTTTCCTTCATTTCACTGTCATTTGTGTCAGGATAGTTTTCGTTTTCCGACTGAGTATCTGCAAGTGAGTTCTGCCTGGATAGAGACAACCTTGACGGTTTGTTAAGTCTTCGTGAAAGCTCTGGCGAGTCTAAAGTTTCAGAATTAGCTCGAGCAGCTCTCAGAGTGCTCAAAAGTTCTTGTCTCTCTTTAGCCCGTTCTCTCGCGATGTTATCTTTATAACTTTCTTTCACATTTTCCTTCCCAGATTCTCTAGACATTTCAACGGGTTTATCTTCCTCACCTGGCTCATTAACAACAGTCACTTGCATGTTGCGTAAACCAAAACGAAGGTCTACTTTCCTTTGGGAGGGAGACCTGGGACTAGGGGGTAATGGGGAGGTGGGACTAGTAACATCTGATCCTCTTCTGTGACTCTGATAACCTCTTTCTGAGCTTCTACCTAGGGTGGAATATGGACTTTCTGATTCATACTCAGGCTGTGAAACCGAATCAGGACTATTGCAACCATCTCCCCTTCTAGTGTCCTGTTCCATCAAACGTCCCTTTGGAACGTATATCTGAATATCAGGTCTTTTCCCTCGTCTGCGATTATCCATCCTTTTATAGGACTTCTTAGGAGTCCGCTTTTGAGAACCACCTTCAACTACTTCTGTCCCATTTTGATTGGATGCTTCTGCATCTGCATGACCTCCAGGTGTGACCCCATTGACCTCAGGTTCAACACTGCTCTCCTTGCTGCCTCTTCCACTTTCCTCTGTGTCCTGCTGCTCTAAATCTAAATCCCAGTTCTCTCCATCGGAGACACTGTTTTTTCTTTCCTGGTTGGCAAGTTCTTTGGATATTTTTGTTTTACTCAACCGAGAGACACCTGGCTGATATAATTGTATTGGAGGGCGTCGTCGAGCTTGAGCTTTTTTCTGAATATCTGAAGACTTCTCGGGTTGCTCTCCTGCAATAGTCATAAACAAACAATTTCACTAATGTTGATATTTGTTTTTTATTCATACTAACCTGATAACATTTTAAAAACATGACAAGAACTTATTTACATTTTGAAGAAACTTCAATTCTTGAGACAGTGAAAATAGACAATAAACAACATTGCGCTTTTCAAAATTATACATATCTTCATCTTGCTGAAAATTGTACCTAAATGACAAATTGAATTGAAATTAGCAACTGTTTCCTGTCATCAAAAAAGCGAAACTATTTGCGAACAGTTTTCTGCATATAATGTATTTACTAAGTATGTGTTGTAACCATAGGAACATCCAACAAAATACAAAGTTGTAAATAGTGTGCAGGGAAAGTTTTTTTCATTCAGGTGTACAACAAATTGCGGATGAAAGAACCAGAGCTCCAGATAAGCTTTTGGTGTTGTGGGTATTTTACCCATGCATTTTAAAATCATTGGGTATCAGTAATTCTATCTGAGTATTCAAATTTCTGTTACCCACTAGTTTTTACACATGTGGGTATTTAAGTTAAATATTTAAAAACACTATTCATCTAGTCCCTGCAAACTGGTGTCATGTGGGTTCGAGAGCTTTATAGGACTAAAAAATACCACGATACTTCCACAAGAAAGTGTGATGGCAAATGATCATGATGTAACTGTCATCGTGGAGTTTGGCAATGTTGATGGAATGCCCGTTTATAATTTCAAAATAAGTTGCTGATTTGCTAATCGAACACGCAGGGTTACTTCACAATATTTTGATGATACACACAAGTTTTATTTTTGTAGCGTATCTGTAATGTTCGTTGCGTATTTGATATGCTTGGATTTTATTTTACTGCGCATTTCTGCATTTCTGATGCGTATTTTACGCAGATACGCAGCTTATCTGGAGCTCTGAAGAACACATGCAATAAATTGTGGTATGTATTACAGTACATGAATCATTATTCAATACGAAATTAAAGGCCAATTCCCATCACTAATCATTTATCAGGATCACGCTCTTTTAGCCTGTGTCCAACTGAAATTGCAGAGATCCTGCATTAATTTGAACTTTGAAGTCAGTAGCTGTTCACCAGTAAAGATGTAATATAAACTGTGGGTAGGCTTGGGCAAGTTGGAAGTCCTTGTAAGTTTGATTCAATCAGGGGTCGTCATACCCGACTAGGCCATAGCTCATTTTGTACAAGCTGTTTTTGCACTAGTTTCAGACTAACAGACTCGCAGCTGTGTCTAACCCTGTTCAAATTTAAACACACTAGTCATTTGTTTGCCACTTCAAATTGATGGTTACTAATCAATAGCTAATGATTACCCTAATAACATAGAAACAAATCTCAAATCTTTGTGTCATATACACATAATTTGAAATATTAAAAATGGAGGCAAATAGTTTACACTGCGAGTCCAATGGGATGTACCAAATCGCCAGCACACAAAGTCAGCTATCTAACCCACTCAGCCACCGAGACTTCCACAAAATGAAAGTCTGACAGCTGGTAGTCTGGATGTTGTACTTTGTGTACCCCTCTGATAAGTGTATATTGACTGAGTGGGTTAGATCACTGACTTTGTGTGCTGGTGATATGGTGCCAGGATGGGACTCAATAAAAAAAGTACTAAAATCTGTACTTTACCAAGGAAGAGTTATCATAAATATAATGTGTTCGTTTGTTCTTTGATTAACTTGAAAGTGAAATTAATTAGCTTATAAAATGATTACGAACATGCACTACTTCATCACATTAAACGATCTGGATAAATATGATTGGGATTTTCATTTCCTGATTGAACACGAACATTTACATTCCCGTAAACAGGATAATGGATCAGAGAAGGGAAAGACCAGACCAGACCAGACTACTGGTGGTTCTAAAGTTTTCTCAGGTGTATATATTTACAGTTAACTGAATCTGAAAGCATTTAACTAATCAATATTAATCTCTATCAATGTGTTACAAATGCTTGCAAAACAGTTGAGAGTTTTGGACATACAAGTACTGTCTAATCAATACCCACAAGGAATCAAAATTAGGAATTTTGATGAACTTCTAACTGTAAGTGTCAAATTTCGTGTCCGCTTTCTCGTCGTACCCATAAAAGTAAAAGTATTGTAACCATAACTTAGTTCGGGCTACTCGTTAACAAATACACATAATCTCACCTTTGGGTGAATTTTGGACGATTTCGTGTAATTCTTTGAATGTTATCCTTACAACTTCGTTTTTAGACGCCATTTTCATTTTGAACACATTTCTCTGGCACGAAAGAACGTGTTAGGGGAGGCAACTCTAAACAAATACCGTTATTTCGTGTGTTGATGGACTCAACCTGTGATGGACTGTGCTCGTGAATGTTCAAATCTCTTCCATTCTCATAATAGCACAATGTCGCCATGTTTTCACCTGAATAGTAATTTGTTTATTCAGTTGAACGCAAGGCCACATCTAATACAGTTCTAACCGTCAAAGGCGTAGTGCTTCATTGTGCAGAGTTGCGTCCCTTAGATATGCCGTTCGTGACCGAGAGTTCGAATCCCACATTTGTACTGATAATGTGTTTTGGTTTGTCAGCATAATACCCGTGCTAGTAGGTTTCACCAAAGTGGTAAACGCCTAAGGCCGATATCACTGCATATTCATATATTCTCTGATGATGGGTATGGTGATAAATGCTCAACCTCTGGGGCATTCGTTAAAACAATGTAATCATATAATGTATTTCTTTTTAGCTTAAGCCATTTTTTTACTATTATAAACAGAGTATACAAATTTATAACCGAATCCGGTCGGTACATATACCATCAAATCTAATGGTAAGTTATCGTAACAAGTCAAACTGCCATCATCTTTTTACCCATATTATACAATATGGTTTTTCAAATACTTTTGCACCTATATCAATATTGTACTCCAAGAAGCCAGCTATCTAACTCCAATATCCTGAAGAAATACAGAATCTCACCCGTGCGTCTTTTGATATCAAATCTAGTGTTTATTTGATTTGATGTCAAAAGACACGAGGGGAGATTTTATTTATCATCCAACATCATTCTTCCAACATTTTTAGTTTGTAGACAGTAATAAGCAGTGACTAAGTGTAAAAGGTTCTGATTACAGCTTCAGTAGCAGAGCCATTTGTGATGTCATTTGATTGTGATGTCATGGTAACCAGTGATGTCACAATGGTCAGCAAAGCATTGTGATGGAATTTCATGGCAGCGATATATACAATGTAGATATCGCTTGATCTCACCCAAGCGATATCTCCTGTGTGAGCCTGTTTTGGATGATAAATAGAGAATCTCACCCGAGTGTCTTTGGATATCAAATATATCAACGAGTATCAAAAGACACGAGGGTGAGATTTTATTTATCATCCAACATCATTCTTCCAACTTTTTCAATTTGTAGACAGTAATTAGCAGTGTCTTCAGTGTAAAAAGTACTGCTAACAGCTTCAGTAGCAGAGCCATTAGTGTTGATTGTGATGTCATGGTAACCAATGATGTCACAATGGTCTGCAAAGCATTGTGATGCAATTTCATTGCAGCGATATATACAATGTAGATATCGCTTGATCTCACACAAGCGATATCTCCTGTAGGAACCAGTTTTGGATGATAATTTCTTTTATTCAGAGAAGCTACAATTTCACCAGGAGTGGGAGCACAATCTCATTAAAATCATTAATTCTCGCTACCGCTAAACAAAGATCTGAAGACATCCCATTAGGGGTCACGTCAGAACGACCTTTCATCCGACCAATCAGTGCGTCGCTTACGCCAATTTGAAATTTGTGCCGTAAAGCACGAGAAGGCTGCCTTCTGATTGGTCATTCCATTGGTCGGTCAAAGTTCGCGCAAGGTTGGTCTGACGTGACCCGTAATGGGATGTCCTCAGGTCTTTGTTTAGCGGGAACTAAGATCTGGTTTTAATGAGATTGAGTGGCAGCAGAGCGTTACATCTTGGTCGTATCAGAAGACTCACTGCAGACTGTGAAGATACTGTTCGCGAATAGGCCTTCAGCAACCCATGTTTGCCGTAAGGTTGCGTTCACACAGTGCCGATTATGGCTCCCGTTTGAGATCAGACAGCGCTACGACACGAAAAGTGTAAAAGTCGGATTACTATCTTCAATGAACTGGAACGTCCTATCATTGTCTGAACGCAGTCGTATACGTTCGTAACAGAGTCCTACGGATCGGGAAAGGTCCAGAGAGGTCGGCCAAGCACTTCTGGCAGTATGGTGCGTCCCGTAACATTCGGGAAACAAAGCCGATTTTGTCTAGTCGGATTACAATCGTGACTATGTCGCGACAGATTCTGCTGTATCGGACCAAATTGTAACAATGTCCTGTGTTGTCTGGACGGTGTCCTGTGGATCGGGACGCTGTCGTGATGATAGGGCATGGTTTGGAGAAATTGTTCATTGCCGTTTCTTGTCGATTGAGTCCAGATAGCGTCCAGATCTTGCCGAATGCGAACCGTCTTTGTCGGTTCACTGTCCGTCACTGTCTGATCTCTGTCGGATCGCATTCGGGAAAATCGGGACGCTGTCGGGACAGATTCGGTCGTTTTTTACCATGCGGAAGATACAAATCAAATCAGATTCTGATTGAGAGCGGGAGAATCGGGACGAATTCGGCTATCAAATATGTGAATTTCCCGCCACGAGTCACATGATCTTAATCAGAATTTGGACAAATTGTAATCGGGAATGGTCCTATCAAGGACGGCAGTAAAAATCCTATGCTTGCTTAAGTGATTGACTGGCTATATTTGGCGTGGTGCTGTTTGAATCGGACTCAAAACGATCATGGTAGTATCCTTCACAATATAATACATGTAGTATAATACACTGGATAATCGATTGCATGGCCACTTCGTGACATTAAGCGATTCGACACGATCACGTTTCTAGGTTTAACAGCACCATACCCGTGCTCGTGGGTTTCACCAAAGTGGTAAACGTCTAAGACCTGCATTACTTCGGGCCTTCCTCCCACACCAAGCTGACACGCCGTGAAAAAAATGGAATACTGTTCAAGCGGTTTAAAGCCATCTTACTCACTCGTGACGTTAAGAGAATTTCCAAAGCAACCACTAACGATAGTCGTAGCACTTAGGTCGATGTGTATAAGGGCACTCGTTGTCGAGAATGATCGAGTATGAGTGAGTGAGTGAGCTGGGTTTAACGCCGCTTTTAACAATATTCCAGTTATATCAAGGCGTGTCAGCTTAATGTGGGAGGAAAGCCCGAAGTGATGCAGGTCTCAGACGTTTACCAATTCGGTGAAACCCACGAGCACGGGTATGGTGCTGACAAACCTAGAAACATAATCGGGGCGAACCGGCATTCGAACCCACAATCATAGGTTTCTGGCGTGCCCAAGGGACGCAACACTGCACAGCGAATCGCGGCGCCTTAGACGACTGGGCCACCCGTGCCCCCTATCGAGTATGAGAAGAACGACTTCCAACAATTCGAGGATTAAACACGAGACCTGCCATTGGAGTTATGAAAATAAGGTGGGCGACTCAGTGATTGTGTTAGATTTGGTTTAAAGCTTTGAGGAACTTATACAACCATCAGCGGATCCTATGATGGCCAAGGGACTTAATTCTGCATGTGTTCCCTCTGTCCAAGTTGGTGCCATTTCAAACTTGGAACCTGTACAGATATAAATTCTTTGGTCAATAAAAGTATGTATAAATATAGTTTTGATGTTTTTTTCTTTTAATATTGTTAATGTTGTTTCTATGGAATCATTAATTTCTGAGAAGTATTTTAACTTTGCACACGTTTTCACAGATGCTTCTAAGGACATTTGGACATGACCGAACTGCAGAGGCATGTTTGATCCGAGGACTGTTTGCTGTAGAGATATTTCGTTTTAATGACCACCTTTCTGTATGTTGAGGCAACTGGGTGTTTTGTTTGGATGGTTGGTTGTTTTCAGACATGTTCCAGCGGTCTGTAAACAATCGAGTCTGGACCAGACAATCCATGGATTGACATCGTGAGCATCGATCTACGCAATTGGGACACCATGACATGCATCAACCACGTCAGCGAGCCTGACCACCCGTTCCCGTTATTCGCCTCTTACGACAAGCATGTGTTGCCGACGGACAATTCTAGCCCGGGTCTTCACGGGTCTTCGAAGGATGTAAAAGTGAGACTGTTCTCAATTCTGAGAGTATGCTAGCGGAAAAAAAGCAACTGTGCTTCATATAAAGTTCAATAAATTTACATTTATTCTTAAATTAAATAATGCATCTTTCAATATATACATATTCATGTCGAGTTTCAGGTTAGATTCACAATTTTCACGTGCATGTTCATGATTCATGTTCATGCATGACGCACAGTTCGGATGTTTACGTGTTTGTGGAGAGCACGAAAAGACGTCGTTATTTAATGTGAACAGCATACAATGAAGTTTAGCTATCAGGTGTTCATAAAAAAACCAGGGTTTAACCATAATTGAAGCATACGCAAAAATATGGCAAGGCTCGCTGAAAATCAACGTATACGCACCGTGGGTTTGCTGCAAGCAGGGATGGCACAAAGGGAAGTTGCCAGACATGTTAAACGAAACACAATACCATCTCTCACCAGCAGGGCAACACTCATGATTTGATGGTTTGGTTTGATTGTTGTTTTACACATTATTCCAGCTATATGACGGAGGTCTGGAAATAATCTAGTCAGGACAAGACAATCCAGTGATTGCTATCATGAGCATCGATCCACGCAATTGGGATTGTTGACATGAATCGACCAAGTCAGCGAGCCTGACCACCGATCCCGTTAGTCGCCTCTTACTACAAGCTTAGTCGCCTTTTACGCGGCAAGCATGGGTTGCCGTATCATCACGGGTTGCAACACTCATGACTTACCACAGGCCGGTCGTCCATGTGTGACGTCAAGTCAACAAGACAATCATATTCGGTTGGTGAATATACGGAATCGATACCAAACTACCACATGAGTTCCTGGGTTGAGACCAATTACTGGCAAAACCTTACGCAACCGGTTGAGGGACAACAGCCGACCCCGGTGTCCATCGATACGCCTCGCTGACTTGGTTGAAGCATCTCCTCGATCCCAATTGCGTGGACCGATGCTCATGATATCAATCACGGGATTGTCTGGTCCAGACTCAATTATTTACAGACCGCCGTCAAATAGCTGGAACATTGCTAAGTGCGGTGTAAAACAACCAACCAACCATCGATACGCCCAATTTGCTTGCACGTCACCGCCAGGCACACCTAGCTTGACGTAGACAGAATTTGAGGTTCAGAATACAAGACTGGGAGTGCATAACGTTCAGACCTGAGCTCAGGTTTCATCTGGGCAGCTCTGACAGTCGGGCAAGGGTCTAGAGGCGTCCAGGACAACGTTTAAGCGTCGCTTGCGTTACCCAAAGTAATCAGTCTAGGCTCGGAAGTGTTATGGTTTGGGCTGGCATCACAGCTCATGGGAAAACACAACTCATGTTTGAATGGCGTACGCTACCGTGACGACATCGCTCGAGATCATGTTCTCCCCTTTGTTCAAATGGAGGGATGCAGTAGGATAATGCCCACCTACACGTTGCAAGTGGGGTATCATTTATTATTAGACAGCTTAATATTGCTGTTCTGCCATGCCCGGCATTTTCTCCTAAACTCTCCTCCATAAAACAAGTCTGGGATGAGATGGAACTATGCCAACGACAGGACACGAACCTTCCATACACCGCCGCTGTCTCGCCTTTATCAATGCAAATGGTGGTCACGCCAGATACTGACTTCCTTGAGTGGTTACACCATACCGCTTTTAGGGCTCCTCTGCAGTTATGTTTTTTGTTAAGAAATGTGTTATGATAAAACGGTGTTCAGACGAATGACCATATGTTGTATTATTTTCAATATTTTCACCACTTTATATACAACGTAATGTCGTATGGATCCCCGACTAGGTAACGCAATGACAAACAAGTTTGACAAGTTGCCCAAGACAAGGTTAAAAAGAAAATAATTTCCTGATCAATCAAAAGGATTTTCACCATGAAATAAGCTATCTGTTGTCATGTCTTCAAACTATTATACTCCATGTTACCACTCTTTTCATCAGTATGAGTCTAAGTGATGAGTTTGGCAAATGGAACTACTATTACTGCTGCTCGAGTTCATTGGTAATTGACAGTTCAACTAATGTAATGTTAAAGAATCGGGTGTTCTGTAACTTCTCTTGAGTAGTACATGCTTATTGGGACATTTTAATAATCTACGGGACTATCAAACTTTATTTAGTACTGTTCAATCTGTTCCAGATGCATGTTTTTGAAGGAGTCCAGTCTATCATTTATAACTTCTTTTCATGCAGCGATCTTTCAAGTGTCTAGCGAGTGCAAATAGTGTACCCATTTTGAAACTGAAAAAATGGCCTATATTAGCACCAGAACAGAATGAGATTTGCCATTTTATCAGCAACATTCAACATACACCAAGGCGTTTTACAAATATTTATGTATGGACATATGGGTGGTTGACAGTATCATGTCTTTCCAGGTTCGCATGGCAAGGAACAAATTCTGGTACTCCAGTAGTGAACGTTGTGATGAAATATATTAAAAATGAACATCTCAAAATGATATGTTAACTAATTGTATATGTGAATGGTTATCATGTAAGAAGTATAACTGCGGGCATACCAAACGATTTATCCGTATTGTTGATAGAATTATCTAAGTTCCTGGTTGTACAGTATTATCCCCTGCTTCTAGGAGTACCACTAATGAAATAAGCTTCTAGGCTACAGGATCAGATGGTATCACACTCATTTTCCCCAGTAGGAATTCCCCGGTAGATAACCAAAGATTCTGTCTAAGGCGAGTATACCACATCTTTTGAGAAAATGAACCCAGACAGTTAGGAGAAATTGGCCCCAAATTTTGGAGAAACAAAACTAACACAAATCTGTAGTGATTTAGTTTATTTATTGTTTAGACATTTAGTACATTTATTGATAGGCTATTCTGGGTGGTTATTTGTTTCCGTCAGGTGGTCATCCATGGTCTGTCCCAATGTCACACAGTTTCCATCTCTATCTGGTATACTGTGTATAAACTAAGTTTAATTGTGGCCTTTTTCTCCAAACTGCCTGGGGTCATTTTCTCCAGCACCCATACATGCATACATCGTGGTAGGCTAGGTGACTTGTTCCACTGCGATTCAAGGTTGGTTGGTTTGTTGTTTAACGCCGCACTCAGCAATATTCCAGCTATACGCGGCGGTCTGTAAATAATCGAGTCTGGACCAGACAATCCAGTGATTAATATCATGAGCATTGATCCACGCATATGGGATCGATGACATGCATCAACCAAGTCAGCGAGCCTGACCATCCGATCCCGTTAGTCGCCTTTTACGACAAGCATAGTCACCTTTTACGGAAAGCATGGGTTGCTGAAGACCTATTCTACCTCGGAATCTTCACGGGTCGCGATTCAAGGTACTCATGACAATGCAGGACGTTGCTCATAACATAAACCACTGGTTTGTCTACTCCACAATATCATTAACAGGAACATCAACCATATAGCTCACAATACCTAAATGTCACAACTACAGATCACTGTGGCTGATGCATTCTGGTGGAAACAAATCATTGTCTGACACGGAGGGCATGATATGGCATTTCTCCTTGTCTATCACATGTGCGTGTGTGCCTGCATGCTCGCTTTGTTCAACTAGCATTCCACAATATTCCAGCTAAATGGCAGCCTGTAAATATCGAGTCTGGACCAGACAATCCATTGATTGATATTGTGAACAAGGATCCACGCCATCAGGGTAAGATGATCAACCAAGTCAGTTTGAGTCTAACGACCCGATCACAAACTCTCCACATGGGCTAATAACCGGGCCACCAGTTTGTAAAAGTGGGTACATCAAAAAGTGAGATCTTTGTTGACTTTCATTTACCTGTAGAACACATTTATTTCCTCCAACTGATCTTAGTCCTGGCCACATTGAAAATAGTCACATCAACAAATCCAAACAATCTGTATATATTATTCTTTAATAAACCAGCAATGACTACATATCAACAAGTCTGAGTCTCTCACATACAGGATGGGAAATAGCACTATTGATGCTGACGAAGAGCGACAAGTAAGTCCACACCTACAAAACATGTTGGGAAAGTAATGTATGGCACTTGCACTAGGCAAATGCCCCCGTCAGGCCTCCACATCGAAACACTTCACAAGCATTACTCGATGTCGTCTGTTCCACTGCATATGATTATGCACTAAATGACGAACCCGATACTTCACTTTGATTACACGAACCAAGATGATATCTCGACCACACAACTCAAACTATTCTGGATGGACGTTTATGTAAAATGCTCGTTTATGCACACAGCCAACAAATAATAAAATTTAGGTACATTCTTGTCTGGATACATAATAAGAGCATCTCAAATTGTACAGACAACCCTTAATTCCAACCTTCAGAATAGACTGAGTAGACAGGCAGTATTGTCTTGTTTAAGCACACCGGGTTTCTACCCCTTGAGCACAAAGTCCTCTCCCTTCTGTATGCTGGCTTGTAGTTCTGGCAGAGCTGCCTTAAGAAGACCAATTTCATACTCCAACAATTTGCCCATTCCAAGGTTCTTCTCTACGCCTTCTTTCTGCAAGAAACATATATACATATTTCCTGAGAATTTCAGCTAGAATATGTTGCATGGAAATTAACACTGAAGTGCAATGATAACGCTCTACCAGTTAAATGTTCTTGATTAGCCTATGCTATAAATGTGGCAATGTCAGAAAGTACTAATCAAAATTAATAAAATACTACGTTTGATTTACAATACAATACCCTAACCATCATTTTGTTTTGATTTTCTTTTCAGCAAAATCCTTTCCTTATATTTCAATAAGGAAATAAATCAGCTTGAAAACACAAAAATCTCTTAACCTGATTTCACCTACATGGTGAATCATACTTGGAATTTTGGTGAATGTCTTAACCGCAAAGCCACCAAAACTAGTCCTTTTGACTATTTTAACAATACTTACCCCTAGCAAAATTGGTGTTGCAAAGTATTTGGCTTCTGTCTCGTCTGATCGAATGTAGGCACACTCCACCTTGCCCTCCATACCACCTAGAGCCTCCAGCACCGAGAACCCAAACTGAGCTGCAGCATACGCCATAGACAAGGTGGCTGATCCCTGCAAGAAGAAAAGCATCACATTTTAAGCGACACAAGTACAGAAAAGATCTAATTTCTATTCAGCAAATTTTCAGAAACTCAGCCTTAAAACCTCAGCCTACACCTGTTAACAGCATGCACCTAAAAAACCAATGTTAACACTTACTTCCATTGATCACCCATTGTCCAACACTGACCCCGAAAGTCCAGCACTGGGCCCCATTGTACAACAGAGACCCCCACTGTCCCAACACTGATCCCCGCTGTCCCAAAACTGATCCCCACTGTCCAAAAGTCCAACACTGACACCCACTGTCCCAAGACTGACCCCCACTGTCCAAGAGTCCAACAATGATCCCCACTGTCCAAACACGTATCCCCACTGTCCAAAAGTCCAACAGTGACCCCCACTGTCCCAACACTGACCCCCCACTGTCCCAACACTGATCCCCGCTGTCCCAAAACTGATCCCCACTGTCCAAAAGTCCAACACTGACACCCACTGTCCCAAGACTGACCCCCACTGTCCAAGAGTCCAACAGTGACCCCCACTGTCCCAACAATGATCCCCACTGTCCAAACATGTATCCCCACTGTCCAAAAGTCCAACAGTGACCCCCACTGTCCCAACACTGACCCCCCACTGTCCCAACACGTATCCCCACTGTCCAAAAGTCCAACAGTGACCCCCACTGTCCCAACACTGACCCCCACTGTCCAAAAGTCCAACACTGACCCCCACTGTCCCAACACGTATCCCCACTGTCCAAAAGTCCAACAGTGACCCCCACTGTCCCAACACTGATCCCCACTGTCCAAAAGTCCAACACTGATCCCCACTGTCCAAAAGTCCAAAAGTGACCCCCATTGTCCCAAGACTGTCCCCCACTGTCCAAAAGTCCGACAGTGACCCCCATTGTACAACAGTGACCCCCACTGTCCCAACACTGATCCCCACTGTCTAAAAGTTCAACAGTGACCTCTATTGTACAACACTGACCACCCCCATTGTATAATAGTAACCCCCACTGTCCAAAAGTCCAACACTGACCCCCACTGTCTCAACACTGACCCCCACTGTCTCAACACTGACTCCCACAGTCCAGCACGACTTATCCACACTGTTTAACACTGACACAATTAGCTAACAGCTAACAGTAATGTTGACCCACAGTATCAACCCAACGCTGACCTACTATGTCCAACACTGACCTACTATGTCCAACACTGACCCATATGAAAAGGAATAACCCTTTCCTATCAGACAGTGTGCCTGCATGATGTCCTGAATTTATGATAAACAAATCATAAACTCACAGCTCCAGCTTTAGCTTCCACAACTTCAGTTCCTGCATTCTGAATTCTCGTTGTCATTTTGTTACGCTCTTCCTATAAAGAAAAAGAAAGTCAATACCAAGGTCATCAGATATTTAAAAGACGTTTTTCATGGCTGAGGCCTTCTTTAGTGGACAGTCTGACAGACAGGCAGAATATTAAAGAACCATTTAGACAACAGCAATATTTTATTGTGCTAGTCCACTGAGATACCATGCCACAGTTTATCATAAATACTCCACTCAGACAAAGTATACTAACTCCTAGCCGACCAGTTATATCCCCTTCATGCCGTGCACCAGTCAGGGTAACAAGTTCTATGTTTTAAAACCTTTTTGGCAAGGAACAGCCAGGGGATCGAACCACCGACCTTACGCTCTCCCATCAGATGCTCTATCCAGGTCATGGAGCCAGTCACAGACACATAACATGGTATCAAGTCGAAATATTCCCCAAAGTTTTTGATATGGGTCATAAATGAGTGAGTGAGTGAGTATGGCTTTACGCCGCTTTTAGCAATATTCCAGCAACATCATGGCGGGGGACAGCAGAAATGGGCTTCACACATTGTACCCATGTCAGGAATCGAACCCCGGGTCTTCAGCGTGACGAGCGAACGCTTTAACCACAAGGCTACCCGACCGCCCCGGTCATAAATGAATGAATGAATGAATATTGCTTAACGCCGCATCAGCAATTTTGCAGCTATTCGCGGCGAGGTCATAAATGAAGCAATATTGCTAAGGAAATCTAACTCCAGACTGAGAATTTACAACATTTTGTTTTACAAAATACTGACTGCAACTCTGCTAGTTGTTTAAAAATGTAACCTGTACCATCTGGGGATAGTAGTTTCTGTGCAATAAAACAGGGTATGACTGAATCACACAATGCTGATAAGAAGCACCATACTTTAAATCAATAATACACAGTTTTTGTGACAAATGTCTCAAGTGTATTAGTTTAAAGAAAATTAGAAAATTCAGAAAATGACCTGTCTAAAAATGCAGTGAGTCATGACTCATTTCAACAAGGCTATGTGAGTGAGTATGGCTTTACACCGCTTTTAGCAATATTCAAGCAACATCATGGCAGGGGAAACAAGGCTATGTAAAAAAACCCGTAATAAATATGTCAGGGACACATAAATATGTCAAACAAGGTTCTTACTGCAGGGAAAGACACTGGGGGAGTGCACTGTGAGATGATTGGGATGATGGTTGCTCCAGCATGGCCGCCAATGACAGGGACGTTCACTTTTGCCACATCAAGACCCTAAAATAGACATATATAAATATTCCAAATTAGCACTTCCTGTATTCATAATGGTGAGACATCACCAGAAAATAGTTATCAACATAGAAAACACTATTCCCATGTTAATTAGCAGCTTCACGCATTTAGTAATATTGAAGAACATCAAAAAGTGAAAATTCTCTAGTATCCACAATAGCATTTTGTGTGACCAGAAAGTCCTGAAATATGTTCTTGTTTGCAAAGTCAGCACTATTCACAAACATCACAGCTGCCTGTGAAAAATGCATCTGAACCAAATGTTTTAACACAGGAGACAGCGCGTTCGTCAACACTCAAGGAATACCATGGCAACATTTAAACAATCCAGCATGAGCCAGGAAAACCAGTGGTTGATGGCATGAGCAACACTCCGTGGTGACAATGGCACACAATCCGTCAGACCATGCATTATAACCCAATCCAAAATATAGTTATCTCTACAACAAGCAATGAAACATGGGGTGCTTGGGACATATGCCAACCTAAATTTCCCACAAGGGTATCTTCAAAAAAGATCAGGATTAGGATCAGGGATTTCTTCTTCTTTGCATCAGCCCATATCACACTACAAGAGAAAATATCTGACACTGATCGCTGATGCTATGTAACTCATTATATGTAATGGAACAACAGACTATAGCAGTTATCTTACCTTTGCTTCTGCAATGAATGTATTTGCTCGGACAACATCAAGAGTTGTAACACCGAAAATTCTATTAGGGTCGTATACTCCTCTCCTCTTAAATACTTCAGATACAATAGGTACGGTAGAGTTAACCTGAAACAAGAAAAGAGCAACTTCAGAATTGGAGATAAATGTAATCATGGTAATTGCTCTACAGAACTTGCAGCAGTCTTGACACATGTATACATGTTTTACCCATGTTACCTGTACTTGCCAAGGCCCTAAAATAGACATTAAATAAATAGGCCTGTATTCCATCATTTGTCCTTGTTGAATGCTCCACACAGTGAGTGAGTTGGATTTAACGCCGCTTTTAACAGTATTCCAGTTACATCACGGTGTGTCAGCTTAATGTAGGAGGAAAGCCCGAAGTGATGCAGGTCTCAGATGTTTACCACCTAGGTGAAACCCACGAGCACGGGTATGATGCTGACAAACCTAGAAACATAATCGGGGCGAACCGGGATTCGTACCCACAATCATAGGTTTCTGGCGTGCCCAACTCTGCACAGCGAATCACGGCTCCTTCGACGACTGGGCCACCCGTGCCCCCTAATGCTCCAAACATCAATATTCCAGCTTTATCATAGTGACCTGCAAAGAACTGAGTCTGGACCAGACAATCCAGTGATTGAAATGATGAGCATTTGGGGTACTGCACCGGCCACTCAATCCATTAAGACACCTCTTATCACCAGTATAGGTTTGCTAGCGACCTATTCCAACCCGGAATCTCTATGGGTTGGAGCTATCAAGAGTTTCATTACCAGTGTATGAGTAAACAATGACATGCTTCATATGTGCTAATGGATATTTCATCAGTTATTACCTGACAATTCAATGAGCAATTGTAAGTGGCATTATCAATATATTTTTGTGTGGAGAAAAAAAGCCATTCATTAATACTTTTTATTACTTAAAGTTACCAATCATTCCTTATGAATGCTCACATCTGTAATCAATCACACATAAGTACATTTATCATAAATTTGCAACCAAACAAGCTTAGCATTTTCACTGATCGTGCTTATGAATGATTTGTTTGTTTGTTTGTTGTTTTACGCCGCACTTAGCAATATTCCAGCTATATGACGGTGGTCTGTAAATAATCGAGTCTGGACCAGACAATCCAGTGATTGATATCATGAGCATCGATCCATGCAATTGGGATTGATGACATGCATCAACCAAGTCAGCGAGCATGACCACCCAATCCCGTTAGTCGCCTTTTATGACAAGCAAAGTCACCTTTTACGGCAAGCATGGGTTGCTGAAGACCTATTCTACCCCGGATCTTCACAGGTCGCTTATGAATGAGATCTTCAAATTTCAAAAAATATCTTTTGACATATTACAATGCTTAGAAAATAGCCAATAAATGACTATTATGGTTTGGCAGGAACTAATTACAAAACTGCTACCTGTTAAGCCTTTGACCATGATTACCAACACTAGTTTGAGAAGTTTGCTGTTGTTTTTGACAAGGGCAGCTTGTTGCAGGGATCACTGGCAGCCTTTTCACTCAAATTATATTTCAATTCTCAACATGCTAACTATGTTAATTAATCTAGGCTTGAATGAATATTGTGTTTGTTGACGAGGTCTGTCCTTCTAAGATTATACAAATTTATATGATACTCACGATTATGATGATAAAAGACCATATCACAATGTTTTTGATCTATTGTGTTATTTGGCCATGTTATTATTGTAATATTGAACCAAATAGTGAACCAAAACTAACATAATGGCAAAGAAACATCCTGTCAGACCATCACAAGACTTAGTATACAAGATTCCCGAGATTTAAACTAAAAATTTAAGAAAAACTAAATTTGCAAATCAAGTCAATGTGCTGATCATTAAACATTATAGACATGACCAAATGTGAGATTAACTGTATTTTTCATAACTTGAATTTTCAAATGAACATTGTTTAATCATGTTAATAGTTTTACGTAAAAACAAAGGACCAAATATGTCTGTTTGATGTTTAACGCTGCACTTCCAGCTTTATGACAGCTGTCTGTAAATAATTGAATCTTGACCAGACATTTCAGTGATTGATATCATGAATATTGACCCATGCAATTGGGAAATGATGGCATGCAACACAAAGTCAGTGAGCCTGACCAAACGGTTCAATTACCCGCCTCTTACGACATGCATCATGTGCATAGGTTGCTGAAGTCCTAATTCTAACATGGACTTTCATGGCCATTAAATATGTAAAACACTCAATTATAATAACCTCTTTTAAGTGACTGACAAGAAAACCTTAAAACTAAAAGTCTCCATGTTCATGACAGTGCCATTGATTAATTAGATGAAGTTACGCATCTAAAAACTCACAGGATTTGTGACGATTCCCATGATTGCTTTTGGACAAACTTGGGCACAAACTTCAGCCAAGTCTCTAACAATGGAAGCATTTGTGTTGAAGAGGTCATCTCTTGTCATTCCTGGAAAAATGATGAATTAAGCCACACATAATTATAACTCTTGTCTCTCGTCTTTGTTATAACATTGGATTTAAAAGAAAACATCATTTTGACAACCCTTCATAACCACAAGGGTCAGATAACTGCTTCATAAACACATTTCCTTAAAGTAATCTAAAACATAACTTTACCTGGTTTCCTTGGAACTCCAGCAGGAATGAGCACCAGTTGGGCACCACTCACACATTCCTTGAGTTGATCTGGCCCAAGGAAGCCTTTAACTTTAGCTTTTGTCTCGATGTGACTTAGATCAGCTGCTACTCCAGGAGTATGAGCAATATCATACAATGATAGCTGAGTAACAAGTGGAGACTCCTTTAAGAGCAGTGACAGTGGCTGACCAATGCCACCACTGGCCCCAAGAACTGCAACTTTTGCGTCGGTCTGAAACAAACAATGCTAAATAATATGCATATCCATTTATTTATTTAACACGTCAACAAATCCAGTATATCTACACCAATAACTTTAGTAATGCTAATACATAAGTAATAAATAATATTTAATAATAAAACATCACGAAAGTTAAGGACACATGGCAAGACGAGGTCAATATGCATGATGTGCAGTGTTTGATATTAAGCACATATGACAGGGGGGTACTGGTCGATGTTGTCTCAAATCTTTAACGGGGCACTAGGCTCTGGCTTCCACCAGGCTGTTCGCTAACATTATAAATGTGTTTGTAAATAACAAACTGTAAAACAATAACAGGAAAACAAATACTAGTACAGATTGAATTCTGATTACTGTATTCGACATAATAAGCGCCCACTGCGATATTTGCAAATATATTGGCTAGTGAACAAACCCAATTAGCACCCCTTCCAATTGATCAATGTACTCAAGACTTATTTATTCATGTATTATACGCACTCGTGTGTAATATGCACCCTTAATTATGGGCAAATAAATTCTGGAAAAATATATCTGTCGTATATTAACATTTCAGGCTGTCAGCATAAACCACAAAATTTATCTTTTAACTCTGTTTTTCCCCGTCAAAATAATATTCTAATAAGAGCCCCCTATTTCTAAATTTGAGAGGGTGCTTAATATGTTGAATACGGTAATCACTGTGGTAATGCATAAATGAAGCAGCATTTCAGTTGAGGCCATGTTGAGACCTGATAGTATCCTCGCAGTGAAAGCATTTTCGGATTTCGGATTGCATGGATAAGATGAATGAAATGGATGTTCCATAGCGAAATATTTAGTTATGCATCCATTTGGCCATTGCATGGTTATTGTATACTATCAATTACTGGATATAATACAACAATGTATTCCCTTGTCATCATCCTTGTTTTATGGTATAGTGAGTGAGTGAGTGAGTTTGGTTTTACGCCGCTTTTAGCAATATCCCAGCAATATCACGGCGGGGGACACCAGAAATGGGCTTCACACATTGTACCCATGTCGGGAATCGAACCCGGGTCTTCGGCGTGACGAGCGAACGCTTTAACCACTAGGCTACCCGACCGCCCCGTTTTATGGTATAACCCTACACCTCTGTATTTGCCGTCATTCTCTTGATGCGAAGTTTATGACTATTATCATCACTAATCATGATTACATGCATAGTGGTATTAGTGTTAGTGGCAACACCAGTCAGATTAACTGTTTGATTGGCATTCTAGAAGTTGATGAGTAAATAGGAAAACATACAACTTTATGGATAACTTCTGGTTTATTGCATTTAATGACATTTCTATGTAGATTCTTACATCATTATCAAACTGGAGTGACTACAATCAATTAATGAGAGGTATTTAAGTATGACATCATGTGATAAGAAGCAGATTGACATTAAAAACAAATAAGTAAATTGTTAAATTCATTTATTACCGGTATTTCGACTTTCCGGTGGTTGTTATGACTTTAGTGTCTTTTACTTGGAGTGTGGGGCTGTTCTGACATGAGGACATTTTGACTACAACCCTACAGCTGCAGATTTATGGGATATTGTTACTTTAAGTGAATATTGACCAATACATTCCTTGAACAAGTAAGTGCCTAATATTATAGATATAACTATTGTCGGTTGTAATTAACCATATTTGCATTTATTTTTATTTATTTGCTGTAGTACGAGACAGAGGGATTCCAGTTCATATGCGTTATCATTGGGAAGATGCAAGACAGACAACACCAAGTTGTTGTTTTCACAAGCCTTTTCATTTTTAGGTATGTACTTGTTACTGTCAATGTGTAAAATGTGATTCACTTAGGTAATTTACAAAATGCCCCAAAGGGCTTAAAAACATAAGACTAATCAATGTTAAGATTAGAAGCCTAAAAACATACACTGACTTTACTTTTAATCACATCATTTTCAGTCGCTGGATGATGAAATTAAACAATGTTTGGAATTTGATATCATAATAAAATAAATGGTCACATATTTTAGTCAGTTTGTAAAAATAACCGAAGATTTTACACATATACACATGATATGATAAGCAATGCTCAGGTGAAATCATTAGTTTGTGTTGCAAGTCAAAATAGTGTAAACGAAAATCAAAGACTATCATTGAAGGCACTTATTAAAACTTTGTCAACATAACCGATGCAACCCCCAATGGTGTGTACATTTCCTCATAAATCCCAAGATAAAAAAATGTTTTTCTTTACTATACTGTAAATAAAAGCAAAAAATGTGCACCACAGGTCGCAAACTTGTCAAGACTTCTGGAACATCATCCAGGCATCCATGGGCAAAAACAGTAACAAAAGCAGCATCCTGTATCCCGAGACTTATAAAGATATCAGAGCCCCTTCAGCTACTGGCCATCATTTAGCTGGAATATTGCTGTTAGATGTGCTATGTCATGGACCCCTTCACCTGTATTCACTGATATTTCAAACTGGGTAGAGATCAGTTATCGCCTACGATCAATTATCACAGTTTGTACACAGAATGTCAGAAATCACATGAAAAAATGTCAATAACTGGTTGGTGACCAGTAGCTTTATAATTAGCACAATAATCTATATGACAAAACTGTTAAAGAGATAATGCTTAAAACATTGACAGCTACTTGATCAAGGAAATATTTTATATGTATACGTTATACAAATGTGAAATATGAAATAGAGAATGATTATTTCAGTACATTTAATGTTGACATTTCAAGTTATCTAATTGTGCAACATCGTAAGAAGCTAAAACAAAACATTTCATGCACATCGGAGCAATGCCCTTGAAAATACTTTGGCCATGCACAGATAACGTGATTGATACTTCACTTGAGACCTATATCCCACTCTTCAGACATGTCCGCGATAGGACAGCAGGCAAAATAGGCTCGATTCAGCATAACAATTTTATGCTGGTTGATCTGTGTAGCAACGAAGCTGGTATAGAACTTCGATCTTGCATCGACTTACACAATGTCACAAATCCGGGCCACATGGGCACCGGGCACTTGTTGAGGTGTGCAAACGTGAAATTGGAAGCATGTCTATTAGAATTAACTGCAATCACGAAAAGAATACTATAAAATATCTATTCCGAACCTTTGCACTCGTTGAAAAAGCATTCTTGGCAATGCTGATAATCAGAGGTTGACGTGCGAGCCGAGAAAACATCTTCTTAGGTCTTGAGGCCTCGTCAATATGGCGTATGACAGGAAGTTGGGGGAAAATGTAATACGCATGACAGAGTATATGATTGTGTTCATCCGCACATGGCAACGCGTCTTACAGCAAATGTACAACATTTGCAATTCCACATTGGGGATTGGATACAATGCAACTCTGCTCTACTGAGTTCAGACACTGCCCATTACTACTGTGAAAGTTAGTGTTTTATCCGAAGCTTTTAAAACACAAAGAGTGATATATTTTCTTTGGCGGATGAACATTTGTTTACAACATTGGTGAAGCATCAACGCAAGAAGTGTCATCTGCTATCCAAGGGAATTTTGGATATCGTTTTTACCCCTGTGTACAGATTTCACAATGGAGGGGTTGGAATTTATGGAACCGTCTGATTTGTACAATATGCTACAACAATCAACTGTTTTCTCATGTTTGAGTGATCCTAATTATCTTTTACTGATAGGTAAATACAATGAGATGTGATTTATCTAACCATCTGCTAAACATGATGTGTATACTTAGTTTGAACTTTGGTGTGATTTGATGCGCTTGCCCTCAGAACCCTGCTTTATATCTTTAGACATTTTTCATTGTCACTATTGTCACAATTGATTATGACAGTATACAAAAAATAGCCTATTTGATTTTGAAGAAGGGTTCCAACCTTAAAATGATCGATTGCAGACCGAGATTGTATAACTTACGTATTTCATAGGTGTGTGGATGTGGGGAGTGAATATGAATTCTTATTTTTCAAAGGTCTTATGCATTATATGTATGCACATAGTGATACTTGCATTATATGGGATAATATGCCGGAAGGTTAAATGCAATGTAGTCATCTTCATTCGAAACCTATGCTGTCATGTCTTGGGAAGGCTACTAGTGCAAACATGGGTGTTAGCATCATTTTCAGTACAGGCTAGTAGACTAAAAAATTATGGGTGCAGAATGTGCATGTGTTTTAATGTATGTTACATGTATAATTTGTTTACTGTTGCAGTTCTAGAGTTTTTGACTTGTACACATCAATTATGTAACCATGGTTACAAAGCTATGACTAAATTCTTTACTTTCTAGATTCAAGAAAACGTCATGAATATAATGAAAGTCATGTGGTTACAGCCAAAAAAGCACCAAAGGTAATAATTGTGTTTACTCTATATTGATGTCAATCTATGAATAATAATATTAAATTACTACACATGAAGTTAGGATTGCCTCCAAAAACCCCTACGTGACAAACCCCTACATGCCAAACCCCTACGTGCCAAACCCCTACATGCCAAACCCCTACGTGCCAAACCTCTACGTGCCAAACCCCCTACACCCCTATACCCCTATACTTAGTTAAGATAATGAAAATGATTTACCTATTGCAGTACTTGACACCCATCGCAATACTATTGCAATAATGTGGGCTGATATTGCAATGCAATTTCAGTGTTGAAAATAATCCCAATAGTCAGTCATAACCCCAATAGTCATGCCTACCGACCAACCTTTCCTTTTTACACACCGACCATATTAAAAATACCAATTGGATTCCAGCTTATTCATGGCAAATTGTGAATTCTGAACATTTTATATATATTAAAATCTGTAACTAATATATTTAATCATGCATTAAACATAATTTGTCAGTTATTGTTACTGTCACATAGGCTGTTTTCACACTACTCTCAGTTATATAACATTCATACCTTAATATGCAAGGGTACTATCATGATTTCTGTGTTGTTTTTTTCTGATAAATCTGTTGATTTTCACAAGTTTCATGGCTAGTGTTGGGGTATCTCGCAAACCACAAAAAGAAATATTGGTTTTATGTGACATCTTTTTTTAACTGCTTCCTTAGCATACTCTGTTGTACAGTAGATTTCTGAAACATGGAGTGCTAGGGCTGCAACAATACACCTAGGTCACGATACAATACGTATCTCGATACTTACATCACGATTTGATACGTATCTAGATACGCTATGATACACATAGTGACAAGAGAAGACAAGAGATAAATGAATTAAAGCTTAGTTTATTAAAATGAAAAATGAAATGAAAGTGAATGAATGTTCATGAGTCATAAAATATATACTGTAATGAGTATTTTAACTTAATGAATCATCTGCCATTCCCATGTAATGGCCAGCAAACACAAAAGTAACAGTCCTACATGGACCAGATAAGTACCAGTAACATTTTCACAGTAAGACCCCGGTGGTTTCTCAAGCAAAGGACGAGCGTCTGCTTTTTCCGACATGTTCTAGTTAGAGACCGCTCAGCCAATCAGAAAGCTTGAACTGCTACTGATATACAAAGCTAGCATAGCCGCTGTATTTTCGAAGACGTATGTGTGTGTAGCGAAAATTAAATTGTCCCTACGTTTTTATGACTTGATTTGAATTTGAAATTCATTTAAACAACATTCAAAACGTTTCTGTGATAAAAGTTTATTAAAAAAACGTATCGTGAATAATCAAGATACAGCACCTGACAAATCGCGCACTGTATCGTATGGAGTGAATTGCGATCATCGGTGTCCCTGGATATCGTTTCAGCCCTATGGAGTGCCCATGTTTAGATTAATGTATACCACATATATATTGACTGTTACAGCTAGTCCTGGGAATTTATTAAATTTCAAAACTGATTGCTATTGGTTTGAAAGAGCAATCTGATTATCAGTAGTAAATCTATACAATGCAACATATCTTCCAGGAAACATGACAACATCATCTTCTGTACCATATGAAATATAAATGTGTGTATTGTCTGTTAAAACTAAAGTACATACATGTGTACTGTCTTTTACAACTGAAATATACAAGTACAGTCTGTTACAACTGAAATATACATATGTGTGTTGTCTATTACAACTGAAATATACATGTGTATTGTCTAGTTCAACTGAAATATATATGTGTACTGTCAGCATCTGTTTCATCTGAAATATACATATATGTATTGTCTGTTACAAATGAAATTGTCTGTTTCAGAATGAAGACGATGATTACGTTATACCGTATGATGCTGAATTGGAATGTAAACAGAACATTGTTGTGTATGACAGTAACTCCGCATCATTCAAGGATGAAGGTTAGTTCTATTTACATACTGCATTAAAATACATGAAAAGCCCATGACGATCAGTACCAAGTATCCATGTTTACACAGTCAACTAGGTGGGTGAGGTGAAATGGGGTTTAACGTCGCGTCCAAGATTATTGCACTTATATAGCAACGTGCATGTACGTGTGTGTGTTTGTGTGGCTGCTTGTACTAGTTCGGACTGATGCCGATTTATAGTGCTAGCTCACTGAGATACCATGCCGCAGTTTAACATGAATACCCAGGGTTAGAAACTAACAGTTTTTGTCCACTAATCCTTATAATGATAACATATAGCAAAACCCTTAAAATGGGCCAATTTCTACTAGTCCTTAGGATACCTTTACTATTGGGCAGTTTGGTAAGGACTACAGGACTAGTGCCAATTTCTAACGCTGAATACCCCACTCAGACACAGTATACTGACTCCGAGCCGACCAGTCCTTGTTTTAGCCCCTTAATGCTGAGCGCCAGACAGGGTAACAACAAGTACCATCTTTTAACGTTTTTTTGTATGACGCGGCCAGGGATCGAACCCCGGACCTTCTGCTCTCTGGGCAGACGCTCTACCACTAGACCACGGAGGCGGTCCACAGTCAACTCAAATGAGGATTGCGTGGTCAGAATGTTGATTGAGTCCTATCATACCAATACAGCATAAATAATTGCTCATGCTATCAGCCACTGGTTTGCCTACCAAGACTAGATTAATTACAGGTACCGTATTCGACGTAATAAGCACCCTGGGCGCTCTCAAAATTAGAAATAGGGGGCTCTTATTAAAATATTATTTTGGTGCAAAAAAACAGAGTTGAAAGATAAATTCTGTGGTTTATGCTGACAGCCTGAAATGTTTTTATACGACAGATATATTTTTCCAGAATTTAATTGCCCATAATTGAGGGTGCATATAACCCACAAGTGAATATTATACACGGATAAATAAGTCTTTTGTACATTGATCAGTCGGAAGGGGTGCTAATTGGGATTGTTCACTAGCCAATATATTAGCAAATATCGCCGTGGGCACTTATTAGAGCGGGGCGCTTATTACGTCGAATACGGTATTCTGTTTATAGGATTATCTGAAATTTTGCTCATTGCAACAGAGCTCCAGATTAGATGAGTAATTGCATAAAGTACGCAAAATAAATCCCCCTTACATTATTACCTTTTAGTAGCAAAACACATGAAGATTTTCAATGACAAAATCTTATAAAAACATGGCGTAATTACCCAATGTATTCTCTTCAATCCGCATACCTGTTTTTTCTTTACAAATCTTTATTTACATGAAATTGACTGCGCTTATCTCGCTTATTTAGACATGTATATTGTTGTGAGTTGGGACAGCGCACAGAGAGCAATTCAGTGTCACCAGAAACAGCATTATATGCAGAATGTTAAAAAAATGTATACTCTTTGGTGTAAAAGTACCAAGGGAGCTCTGTTTCAACAATAATGATTTCACGCATATTCATCGTAGGCTTGCTGCATCAGTTTCATGACAGCATAAAGTCTGTGTCTGCCTTTATTGTCTTTATTTTAGTCATTACAAGCTGAAGGCTTATTTTCTGAAAACAAAAAGTGGATAGTTTTCAGAAAGATGCAAAGGCATGACCTATGTATGGGTGGTCTTTCAGCAGTGATAGAAACTAACATTTTTAGTCCTCTAGTCCTTATAATGATAACATATGGTAAAACCCTTATAAATTGTAAATTTCTACTTGTCCTTATGATACCTTAACTATTGGGCAGTTTGGCAAGGACTATGGGACTAGTGCCAATATTTGACCCGTGAAGATCCGGGGTAGAATAGGTCTTCAGCAACCCATGCTTGCCGTAACAAGCGACTATGCATGTCGTAAGAGGCAACTAATCGGATCGGTGGTCAAGCTCGCTGACTTGGTTGATGCATGTCATCGATCCCAATTGTGTGGATCAATGCTCATGATGTCAATCACTGGATTGTCTGGTCCAGACTCGATTATTTACAGACTGCCGTCATATAGCTGGAATATTGCTGAGTGCGGCGTTAAACAACAAACAAACAAACAAAGCCAATATCTATCACTGCCTCAGAATGAATGAAGTATATTAGAACATGTTAAGAAAATTTATTTTGCTTGGAATTTATGTTGATTTAATAATATTTGGATTATTTTTAAACTGATCCTGCATTACTCCTTAATACATTTACTGCTATTTGTTGATAGAAAGATGAAGCTTTGTGAAGTCCAGCTGAAAAAGATGTTGTTCCAACTAGTTGTATGGCTAATACCATCGCACAGCACCCACGTGACCACGAAAGTGATGATGTCAAGTATCTTCACGGTACTGCTTGTCACTCAGACTGACTAGTCATGTTTGAATAAAAGCTCCAGCAATATATTGGCATCCTTGCTTGTTGTTCAATTCAACGTTTCATTTGTGATTTACATCAGTCCTATGGTTTGTGATGTCATGTCTTACCTTTTTTTTTTCCCATTGCATTAATATATTGCACTTGATGGTGCCTACTTGTCACTGTATTGTTGTTCCAATAAGCCAGGCTTCTACTCTCCCATATTCCTTGTTCCAAAGAAGGACTCGGACAAGCTATGGATGATTCACAATCTGTCAATATTCAACAAGCATTATCTAGTAAGCCTGCCATATTTCTGCATGATAACGTTGAGGCTGCTTAGGACCAGAATCAACACCAACAATTAAAATGATCAGATTTGACGTGCAAGATGCCTGCCTATCCACCCCAGCAACAGGTTATTCGTCAGGTCCCTCTTCAATGGTATCTACTACCAATGGGAAGAGCTCCCATTTTGGCATTTCTATGGCCCTGTGACTATTTACATGAATCACCAAGGAAGTGGTCACCTACCTACACCCGAGGAACATCCAGTTCAAGTTGTGTACAATCTCATTAAAATCAGATCTTAGTTCTCTCTACCGCTAAACAAAGATCTGAGGACATCCCATTACGGGTCAAGTCAGACCAACCTTGTGCGAACTTTGACCGACCAATGGAAGGACCAATCAGAAGGCAGCTTTCTCATGTTTTACGCCACTATTTCCAAATTGGTGACAACGCTTCGAAACATATTTTGACAAATTCTCGATTAAAAATTTGAAACCTGAACAAAAGAACATTCTGGAATCGCTAATAGATGGTCTAGATTGTATGTATTCAGTCGTTAAACCCGTAACTATCGTTCGGAACACCCGTGTTAAAGTTTTCGAGGATGCATGATTAGAAATCACATTCCAAGTGTCACTTTCATGATCTTGTAAGCAACGCTCTGATTGGTCGGATGAATGGTCGTTCTGACGTGACCTCGAATGTGGTGTCCTCAGATCTTTGTTTAGCGGTAGCGAGAACTAAGGTCTGATTTTAATGAGATTGAGTTGTATATCAACGATTGCCTACTGAACCACCAGGACTCTGTGACTCTCATCCTACACCCAGATTTCACCAGGCGCCTTATCCATCAGCTGAAGTGGATTGTCAATGAGCTGAAGTCGGAGTTCACTTCACTCTTCACGCTCCATTTTATAGGAGACCTGTTCAAGACTGACCAGCACCACTTAACTGCTTGAGGGACAGATGGCACAAGATACGGCGCCATCTGCTTCCAGCTCTGTAACAACCCCATACACTTCACCACTGGCAAAGAAAATCACTTTGGTGATTCACCTCCTTGGTCTAGTGGTAGAGCGTCTTCCCGGAGAGCGGAAGGTCCGGGGTTTGATCCCCGGCCGCGTCATACCAAAAGACGTTAAAAGATAATACTTGTTGTTACCCTGTCTGGCGCTCGGCATTAAGGGGCTAAAACTAGGACTGGTCGGCTCGGAGTCAGTATACTGTGTCTGAGTGGGATATTCATGTTAGTGATCTAGCACTATAAATCGGCATCAGTCCGGACTAGTACAAGCAGCCACACAAACACACACACATACATGCATGTCGCTATATAAGTGAAATAATCTTGGACGCGACGTAAAACCCCGTTTCACCTCACCTCACCTCACTTCGGTGCAGGATCTGAATCCAGAGGACGCTCACATGTGCGCCCAATTCAGCAGTTCCTAGCTCCGTTCATCAGGCACCAGGAGCAGTCAGTCTCCATCATCCTACCGTCTCACCTCAAACCACATCTCGTTGGTGGATGGTGGAGTTGAATGTGCTAGGAGGTGTCTAGCTCTTGCATGTTTGTAGGTGCCTCTCTTCAGGGTTTGGGCGCTCATCTGGAGGACCAGATTGCTTCAGGACTGTGGTCAAACGATTGGCGCATAAACAACTAAGAACTGGAAGCCCTCATTCTGGCAATATTTCACTGGCAGAATCGTCTCAAGAATGCCTAGCTAGCCATGTCAACAGACAATATCATGGTGGTTTGGTGTCTGTGCAACCAGGGGACGACACACTCTCATTCTGGTTCTTCCATCTGGTAGATCGACTGGACTTGCAATTTCTCATCCAGCACATCCCAGGTTGCCAGAACATCCTTGCGGATGCTCTATCCAGACCAGACAAGGTGACCCCTACAGAGTGGAAACTCTTCAACCTGGTTTGTCAACATCTCAGCTACCCAAACATGGACCTGTTTGCTACCAGCCAGAACTTCCTGAGGACTTACATTTCTCTTGTTCCGGATCCACAGGCCTGGACTATAGATGCTGTCAGCATCCCTTGGGAAGGCCTAAGACGGTACGTTTTTCTTCCACCTATGTTTCTTCCCAGGGTTCTTCAAAAAGATCAAAGCAACCCAGAGCCTCACTCTGATTTTGATAATGCCATGGTAGCCAGCAATGGACTGGTCTATGTATCTCAAGGACTTGGTCACAAATGACCCACTTGAATGAACTACCAGGGTGGCAGAACCTTCCAATACATCTACACAGCAGTTTACCATACCGTCGCCAAGCATGTTTCATCTGCACCTCTGGTACATCTTCAAAGGGCATTAGGCGCCAAGGGCTATTTGGCTAGAGCAGCTAAAGCCATAGCCATGGCACACAGACCTTCTACCCAGGGATTTTATAACAAGTGGTGATTCCTTGAGTCATTTTGTAAGGAGAAGCGTCAGGATCCAACTGTGTGTCCCCAATTCTTGTCCGAATGTCTTCTGTTTTCATGCAGCTAATGACACCTCAAGGGCAGCACCATTACTACCTACCTGGGGGGCCCTCAACTCGGTCTTTGTCATTTTGCGATCTTCTGGAACTCCAGGGGCGGTCGGGTAGCCTAGTGGTAAAAGCGTTCGCTTGTCACGCCTAAGTCCTAGGTTCGATTCCCAACATGGGTACGATGTGTGAAGCCCATTTCTGGAGTCCCCCGCCGTGATATTGCTGCAATATTGCTAAAAGCTGCATAAAACCATACTAACTCACTCACTCTGGAACTCCAAGCTTTGCTGCTTTCCTTCAGACTAGAGGATCACAAGGCCTCTTTCATGGGATCTGAACACGGTTCTCAAATTGCTTCGTGATGATAAACAATATTAATTTCTCCAGCAGTCCGGAGCTGGCTTTTCGAACTCCCTGGTCCTTGCATCCAAGACAAGAAGGCTTTTCATGTCGCAAGCATTAGCTCGATAGGTTAGTTCTAGGCTTTAGCTTTCACTCTTTTCTATTACTGTTTTTTTACCTGGGCCGTACTGTACTGTCCGATTTAGATGCAATAAGGAGTAATGCAGGATAAGTAAAAATGTTTAGTAAAATCTAAATATTTATTACATTTGTATACTTATCCTGCATTACTTCATCTAAAGTTACCCACCTGTCACAGAGCTGCATCCCCATGATGTCTTCAGATGTTACGATCAAGCAGTAATGTGAAGATACATGATGTCATCACATCCGCGGTCATGTGGGCGCTGTGTGATAGTATTAGCCACACAACTAGTTGGAACAACTTCCTCTTCAGCTCGACCTCACACAGCTTCGTATTTCTGTCAAGATATAGCAGTAAATGCATAAAGGAGTGATACAGGATAAGTATACAAATGTATACAAGTATTTAGATTTTACTAAGATTCCCATCATGCTTTGTCCTCAGGCCCTGCTGTGGAGTGTGCTCGGTTGCTTTGGGAATATGGCAGCAGAAATCCAGTCAAAATTTTGAAAGGTGAGAAATAGTTGTTCTCATAATTTCTCATGACATAATACATTATCTTCTTGACTAACTGAAACATATATTTTATTCATCTCAATCCTATGTTTTGTTTATTTTTAGGAGGCTATGAGGAATTTTCTGCTTTGTACCCATTCCTCAGGACACAGAAGATACTGTTTATGCCTAGGGTGAGTTTGGGAGAATATAGGGAGACAACTCTTGACTTTCTTTTCATTTCCTCTTTCTCCAATGTTATTTTATTGTTTGTTGAATAGTTGTTGGTTTGTTATTTCACACACCACACCACACCAATATTAGGGGGCACGGGTGTCCCAGTCGTCTAAGGCACCGCGATTCTCTGTGCAGAGTTGCGTCCCTTGGGCACGCCAGAAACCTATGATTGTGAGTTCGATTATGTTTCTAGGTTTGTCAGCACCATACCTGTCCTCGTGGGTTTCACCAAAGTGGTAAACGTCTGAGACTTGCATCATTTAGAGCTTTCCTCACATTAAGCTGACACGCTGTGATATAACTGGAATACTGTTAAAAGAGGTGTTAAACCCAACTCACTCACTCACCCACACCAATATTAAAGCTATTTGATGATGATCTGTAAATAATCAAATCTCAACCAGACAAACCAGTGATTGACATAATGAGCATCAACGTACGCAATTGGGATATGATGACATGCATCAATCAAATCAGGTGGCGATATTAGTATAGAACTCTATATTGAAATTGCTGAATATTTGCTTTGGAAGATCAGAGTAATATGCAGCCAGGTACCATTAGGACTTGCATGTGCTGTATTGTTACTAGGAAAACATCATCAATAACCTGATTTATTGTAAACATGAAATACATTGTGGGCTCACTTGTACAAGCAGCTATTGGAATGTAGATATGTTTCAAGCTCATGAACACGTATTATAGGCATGAAAGTGTAATACATATTTAGATTATTAAAGGGAAGTTAAATCAATGTCATAAAAATAAGAGGGAATGTATACCAGATATTAAAACAAGAATTGGCACCATCTTAGAGTGTGGGGACACACTCTTCGTCAGAACGGGGGTCGTATTATACCGTAGGCATGAAATAATGGTAATTAGCAACTCATTAAGACAGCTACAGTAATTATAAAAGTAGGCAATATGAGGGGCTAAAACAGTAAGATATAGGTATAACACATGGGAAGATATATTGAGGGCAGTCGATGTTGGAGTTGAAGAGCACAGGAAACATACTGGGCCACTAATAACCAGGGGTGACAGTAGTGGGTCGAGGGTCGGAGTACTAGAGCAAAACAATAAAAGTAACATAGCAAGGGAATGTGCAGGTTGCCAGAGACAAAATAGATTGGGAGAGGAAACGTAGAGGAAATTGCCCTTGGGTTCATATATGGTTTTGAGGGGGAATAGTCCAGATTCCGGGGGTTAAAAAGGGGGTTACTTTTATAATTACTGTTATACCATTATTTCATGCCTATAATACAACCCTCGTTCTGACGAAGAGTGTGTCCCCACACTCTAAGATGGTGCCAATTCTTGTTATAATATCTGGTATACATTCCCTCTTATTTCTATGACTTATTGATTTAACTTCCCTTAATTATCTAAATATGTATTTTCATGCCTATAATACAAGAACAATTCTTTGCTATGTTAGATATAACAGAGATAGAGATGTGATGTTACTTTCAAGTTGAAGCTATGGTAGTGAATGGGTTCAGGTTATGTTTTACAATAGAATGTAAGGGAGAATCATTGATGAATTGACATATTCAGATTAGAATTATTTTTTTTTGTACCGGTACTTTCTTTCCGAACCTATATTTTATTTTTAGGAAATACCGTATTCGTCGTAATAAGCGCCCCACTCTAATAAGCGCCCATGGCGATATTTGCTAAAATATTGGCTAGTGAACAATACCTATTAGCACCCCTTCTGATTGATCAATGTATAAAACACTTACTTATTCGCGTATAATATGCACTTGTGAGTTATCTGCACTCTTAATTATTGGCAATTAAATTGGCAATTAAATGTATCTCTCGTATATAAACATTTCAGGTTGTCAGCATAAACCACAAAATTTATCTTTCAACTCTGTTTTTTTTCTCACCAAAATAATATTCTAATAAGAGCCCCCTATTTCTATTCTGAGAGCACCCTGGGTGCTTATTACGTCGAATACGGTAACCTCAGATCAACCCTGATACATGTAATTTTGAAATTAATTTGCCTCCTGGATCTGGCATATTAATCAAGAAAATCTGAAAAACAAGAAGTAAAACTGACTGGGAAAAAAATACAAAAATGAAAATACTGCAGCTCAGGAATGCTTTTTTCAAAACTAAATATGAAAATATGGTCATCTCTTTACATACACTTTCTCAGCCTTTCAAAAATATTTTTTGTGGGATTCTGATACTGTTCAACATTTCCTGTTAATTTCAATGTTCCTATACAATGTACATTTCTCTGTGTCAGGAGTTGGATGAGCTGAAGCCCTACCCCACAGAGATCATCCAGGGCGTCCTGTATCTGGGCAACTGGAGGCAGGGCAATGCAGCGTACATACAGAAGGATCTGAAAATCAAGGGCCACATCAACTGCTGTGTTGAATCTGAGACTTTGTAAGGATATGTATGCTTGGATGTATGTGTGGATGGATGGGATGCATGGATGTATGTGTGGATGGATGCTTGGATGTATGCGTGGATGGATGGGATGCATGGATGCATGCATGTTAGAAAAAGTAGAGGAAGTGATTGATTTTGTTACCGTTGACATTTACTAAAAAACGGCTGATTGTTGCTGGGTTTTACTGGAGACAACATATTTCATTGTATACACATACGAATTGAGAATGGATGCAAAACATGTGCAATGTGTGTCTTGGGGGACGCTAAAGAAATACTGTATTCGACATAATAAGCGCCGCGCTCTCAAAATTAGTTGTAAGATTGTAAATTTTATTGTTTATGCTAACAGCCTGAAATGACACCAAGTAACAGTCTGTACGTATTATACACGACAGATATATTTTTCAAGAATTTAATTGCCCATAATTAAGGGTGCATATAAAACATGAGTGCGTATTATACCGAATAAATAAGTCTTATGTACATTGATCAATCGGAAGGGGTGCTAATTGGGATTGTTTACTAGCCAATATATTAGCAAATATCACCTTGGGCGCTTATTAGAGCGGGTTGCTTATTACGTCAAATACGGTATGACTTTTAAATCATCAGATTTATCAGAATTATAGATTGCATGTAACATATCACTGACATTTCTATTCTGGTAAAAAATACACTTGATCATTTGACCAATCTGAATTGACTGAAACGACTGAATCCACACAATCTAGACCATCTATTCGCCATTCCAGAATGTTCTTTTGTTCAGGTTTTAAATTATAAATCGAGAATTTGTCAAAATATGTTTCGAAGCATAGGCGCCATTTTGAAATTAGTGCCGTTAAGAACAAGAAAGCTGCCTTCTGATCGACTTCTTGTCAGTCATTCCATTGGTCGGTCAAAGTTCGCGCAAGGTCGGTCTGACGTGACCCGTAATTGGGTGTCCTCAGATCATTGTTTAGCAGTAGCGAGAACTAAGATCTGATTTTAATGAGATTGACTTTGTGCCATAATTAGTTTTAAGGTGTCTATTTGTCAGTGCAGATGTGACATGTATTAACTCTGTTGTCAGTTTCCCAGACCCCGGACCCAACTTGCTGCACATACAGGCAGAGGATAGAAATAACGCTGATCTCTATAGCCAGTTTGCAACAGCCTGTGCCTTTATTGGTAAGTATAGAACAGATCTGTTAGTGTTGGCTGGCAATCGGTTGGGATTTTGGAGCATTCATTAGTCATAAATGGTTTGTTGCAAACAATCTATCATCGATCGGCACCTGTGGGGATTCTGGGTAAGAATAAAGGTCTACGGCAACCTATGCTTGTTATTAGAGGTGACTAAATGGATCGGGTGGTCAGGTTCACTGACTTGGTTGATACATGTCATCATATCCCAACTGTGTAGATCGATGCTCATTATTTTTTTTACCCCGATGGTGTTGCAGCTACCGGTACCATGTTTATTATATCATTTAGGGCTGGGACGGGTAACTCAGGTACTCAAATCGGGTGGGTACTGAGTAGGACCTGGGTACCCACAGGAATCATGTGATATATTTTTTTGTGACATTAACAATAAAATTTTATGGTTACATTTTATAAGTACAAGTCGCTAATGTTCGCATTTCTTTCTGACTGTGCACACATTCCTTTTGAATTTTATATGTTTTAGTAAAGACAAAGCTTCAGTCAACTTCAGTATAGGCACGATCAGATCGTTTTATACTACTTATAAATACTTTTTGCCAGTAAAAAAACTTCCCATTTGAACATTTTGTACCTAACTTGAGACCTAGAGTGGGTACCCGGGTAGTGTTGGTTAATAGGGGGTCGGGTACCCGGGTAGTAAATTTAAACTCTTCCCAGCCTTAATATAATTGAAAATACATTCAACTGTCCAACTATATCAACATCTGTCAATAGAACCATGTGGAAGGTAATGATATCAAGACGATATGCATGGCGATATATTCTGTTTTCTGAACCTTGAGGAAACAGCAGAGAAAGTACCAGAGCTCCAGATTAGCTGCGTATCTGCCTAAAATACGCATCAGAAATGCAGAAATATGCAGTAAAATAAAATCCAAGCGTATCAAATACGCAACGAACATTACAGATACGCTACAAAAATAAAACTTGTGCGTATCATCAAAATATTGTGGAGTAACCCTGCGTATTCGATTAGCAAATCAGTAACATTTTTTGAAATTATAAACGGGCATTCCGTCAACCTTGCCAAACTCCACGATGACAGTTACATCATGATCATTTGCCATCATATTTTCTTGTGGAAGTATCGTGGTATTTTTGAGTCCTATAAAGCACTCAAACCCACACGACACCAGTTTGCAGGGACTAGATGAATTGTGTTTTTAAATATTTAACTTAAATACCCACATGTGTAAAAACTAGTGGGTAACAGAAAAATTTGAATACCCGGATAGAATTACTGATACCCAATGATTTTAAGATGCATGGGTAAAATACCCACAACACCAAAAGCTTATCTGGAGCTCTGAAGTACTTACAAACACATTTGTAGATTTTCTCTGTTCCAGAAATGTATTTTGAAGAACCTTTTTACCATGCTTGGAATCTTATTTCCTAACTGTAAATACTTGAGTGGAGAAATTTTGGTGATAAATGCGTTAATTATTTATTAATCAACAAAGGATCAAAGGATAAAGATTTTGCATGTAAATTTAATGTCCAAATATTTTTTCTGCAACAATTGGCTAGAGTAGCCAGATAAATTGGCTTTAATCCATTGTCAGAGCATCACTGAATTTGACTACAGTCAACTCGCATACACTTCAATTACCTTATTCGACGTAATAAGCGCCCCTCTCTAATAAGCACCCACGGCGATATTTGCTAATAATATATTGGCTAGTGAACAATCCCAATTAGCACCCCTTCCAATTGATCAATGTACACAAGACTTATTTAATCGTGTATAAACAATGTGTGTTATATGCATCCTTAATCATGGGAAATTAAATTCTGGAAAAATACATCCGTCGTATATAAACATTTCAGTCTGTCAGCAAAAACCACAAAATTTACGATCTTTCATCTCTGTTGTTTTTCACCAAAATAATATTCTAATAAGAGCCCCCTAATTTTAATTTTAATTCTAATTTTGAGAGCGCCCTGGGTGCTTATTATGTCGAATACGGTAACTTAAAAGACTGATAGCCAGATGTTGTCCCTATCATGTCTGAGCCATTAAGATGATTTTGCATGGATGACAGTGTTGTATGAATGTGGTGACAGATGGCGCACTCACAGGCTGATCAGTCTATTTGCACATATGGTACAATGCCTCACACACACTGATTGTTATTTGATGTATACAGCAGGGGTCCGGAAAATTTAAAATCCCAATCGCCCCCTAGCGTATTTTAGTAAGACCTTTCAAAAGTTACATGTATTCATAATATATAAACAATAAAAACACCGATATACATGTTGTTTGTATTTTATTTACATGCATAAATATAAATATTAATAATAACAATGCCATACTTTTCCTGCATCATCTATCGACAGGTGGGTTTCAATATCTTGGCTATCGATACGTTGCCACTGTATAAATGTCTGTTTCGTTTGCCCTTCCATCGTCGTAGCGTCGGTCTAGGGTCAAAGTCCTTCAGTCTTGGTCTGCAGATTGAAATTCGCATCAGTCTGTCTATACAGTCTATACAGTATATCCATCAGTGAATAATTCGCTGATCATGTTTATTTTGTAATGTAAACTACTGCATAGATTCTTTTCAAACTTGGTAAACACTGGGACTGGGACTGGGACTGGGACAAGTCCAAATTTACTACCCGGGTACCCACAGCCCTATTATCCGATCCTACCCTGGTACTCGCTGTTGGTGTCAAGAGAAAGGTACCAAATGTCCGATTTGGAATAGTTTGACAGTACAAAATGTATTTAGAGACACGTATACAACGATGTGGTCATGCATTCACTGTAGTTGACTGAAGTTTTAGCTTTGTTCAAACATACATCAAGTCAGAAGGAACGTGTTCAAAGTCATGAAGAAATGCGAACATTAGAGACTTAAAATTGTCGTGTAACCATGTAGTTACATAGTTAATTTTTGTCATAAAACAATATCTCACATGACTAACCGTGGGTCCGGGTAGTCCTGTGGGTATCCGGGTCCTACTCAGGACCCACCCGTCCCGGGTACCCGAGTTACCCGTCCCAGCCCTAGTCAACACATTCTACACCAATAGAAGAGGTACAGTGTGAAGTTTGACTTCAATATTTGGATTTTCTGAAAAAGTAAAGCTATTTTTCCTTTTTTAACTTAGAATTTATTTACTTAAACATTTGTGTGAGCTATAACTTGAAAACTACTGCATGGATTCTTTTAGAATTAAGGAAAGAGTTCCCATGCTAATAGAAGAGGTGCAGTGCAAAATTTGATTTTAATATGTGGATTTTTTAGAAAATATGATTTTGTACATGTTTCGAACTTAGACTGTTTATATTACTTCAAAATTTATGTGACATATGAGTTGAACACTTCTTCATGAATTCTTTTCCAAAGTGGAGCCTGTTTCTCTACCGAGGAGACGTGTAGTGCAAAGTTAGATTTCAATAAGTGGATTTTCGGAGAAAATATTGCTAAACATTTTTCATGTCAAGTGTACTATATCATAATTTTGCTTATGATGCACCAGTGCATCTTATAATCATGCCATTACTTTGTTATAATATTGTGCTTTTTAAGAGAAACCGTCTCAAACATTAAGGCATCACATGGGGGGTTACGAGGTCGAGGGTATTAGTGAGACCGGCTCAGTTTTGTTCAGCCGGTTTTCTTTATCCTTTTGGCTGTGAACCAGTGTAATCATATGACAAGTTGTTTGGGAAGAAAAGGCTGGAATTAGCTAAGATGGATAAGTATTATCTGGACAAGTAGATACTGTTGGGGGGGGGGCTGGTAGCCTAGTGGTTAAAGCAATCGCTTGTCACGCCGAAGAACCAGGTTCGATTCCCGACATGGATACAATGTGTGAAGCCCATTTCTGGTTTCCCCCGCCGTGATATTGCTGGAATATTGCTAAAAGCAGCGTAAAACCAAACTCACTCACTCACTCACTCATGTTATTTGACAAAAAGTAACAAATGTTTTATTATTATTTATATGTATTTTATTACTATTACAGTCAACCACTATGTCATTGAGTTTGACTGAAAGTTGTTGGTGCATACATGTTATTTCACTCAAGTGAGATTTCAAATATATATTTTCAGATAAATGCAATATTTCATCATTTCACACATAACAAAAGTCTTTGTTTCATATCCTCAGATACTCAGAGACAGGATCAGAAAGCTATACTGGTATTTTCTCTGCTGGGTATCAGTAGAAGTGCCACAGTCATCATTGCCTATCTCATGCATCATTTCAAGTGGACGCTTAAGGTTGGTTAAAAGTAATATATAAAATCTGATCTGTACTTGATAATTTCTGTTCATCCTGAAGAACATCAGCACAATTGAGTAGTTTAGCCCAGAGCTCCAGATAAGCTTTTGGTGTTGTGGGTATTTTACCCATGCATTTTAAAATCATTGGGTATCAGTAATTCTATCTGGGTATTCAAATTTCTGTTACCTACTAGTTTTTACACATGTGGGTATTTAAGTTAAATATTTAAAAACACTATTCATCTAGTCCTTGCAAACTGGTGTCGTGTGGGTTCGAGAGCTGTATAGGACTCAAAAATACCACGATACTTCCACAAGAAAGTGTGATGGCAAATGATCATGATGTAACTGTCATCGTGGAGTTTGGCAAGGTTGACGGAATGCCCGTTTATAATTTCAAAATAAGTTGCTGATTTGCTAATCGAATACGCAGGGTTACTTCACAATATTTTGATGATACGCACAAGTTTTATTTTTGAAGCGTATCTGTAATGTTCGTTGCGTATTTGATACACTTGGATTTTATTTTACTGCGTATTTCCGCATTTTTTATGCGTATTTCACGCAGATACGCAGCTTATCTGGAGCTCTGTAGCCATTTAAGCTTTGGTTTGTACAGACTCTCTTTGCTCATGATTGTAATTTGACTAGACGGTTATAAGTAGCTCACCTGATTGAAAGACAAAGACATTGTTTGAGCAACATTAGGAGAGGCTGTCAGTAGGATGGTTCAGGCAAAGGTTAACCATCCTTCACCTTCGTAAAAATAGCAAAACAAGTTCAAACAGGCCCAAACTGTCCACAGACGTCAGGCCAGTGTTTTGGCCAATTTGACTGACGTGCCAGTTACCTCTTAACTGGTCAAAGCTAAGAGTGCTATTGCTTTGTCCGTCGATGCAAGGGCTATGGCTCTACATCACTACCATTAGGGGTTTCTTTCTGGTGACCAACTACTTAACTTAAAGGTACATCCAGTGTTTGCGGTAGGTTTTTTGTACAGTGCGTGCAGAAATTAAATAATAATTTTCAATTCAAATATTTCACGTGTGAAGTTTTTATTTCAATAAAATCAGTACTAGTACAGCTAATAATTATGACCAAGCTTTAACTTACGGTCCAGTTTTGATATAATGAACGTTCAATCATTAATAAATAAATATGACTGTTGTTAGCACATGCCCATGTGTGGAAGTTTTCTTCTGTCGCTCTGTTTATGATCGTTCGTATTACCGACTATTACTTGTAAGCTGGGCTCTGATTGAATGAAACGAACGACTTCCGGGGAATTCCATCGATAGTAACGAATGACATCCTGTGTCTGAGATTAGTTATTCCGTTGCCCAAAGACCATATATGGAAATATAAAGGACGCGATTCAAAGCCCCATCTGGCCACACTCTATTTTTAGCAATGGGAATTTCCAGGTTTTGATTTATTTTCGTCTGAACATCGTGAGCAGGCTATCAGCTTTGAATAGTTTTTTATTTTATGGTGTTAATACAAAATTAAGTATATCACAATCTGTCCGTGCAAAACACGCATGCAAAATATTTTTTGCGTGTTTATATGATTTTAATGGGTGTAAAACGCAGGTTTCTGCGTTAACGCGAGCACTGTACATCACCCTGTGACCCCAGCACTCCGACATTTACCTTTGCAGTTAACAGATGCGCTTTTACCATGCTCTTAAATATTTTCTCCTCTGATACTCACTGGCTGAAAAAGATGAAATTTGGCATGCAGGTTCCCTCTTAATAAGTTCTTATGAAGCCATCTTAAGTTGTTCAAATCGTTCCTTTTTCATTAGTCAAGTGAGCTACAGGTCCTTGTGACTAATTGTAAGTTAAGGCTAAAAATGCAGTGGTAGCAATGTTATCAAATGGTATTTGTCATACAAAATGTATAATCAAGTATGTTGGCTTTGGATTTTGCAATGCAATTGTGACGCTTCAATAATCTTTTGATATATTCAAAATTTAATTTTATCACAGGAAGCCTATAGCCACATAAAGGAGTGTTGCTCAACGATCCGACCGAATCGTGGGTTTATTGAGCAGCTGTCCAAATGGGAAGGAGATGTCCTGGGAAAGAAGAAAACAGATGTCAGTGATCCCAGTTACTGAATAGACGATGTAGATTTCATCATGTACATTTCATATCAATTTCAAATGTCTGTGATAAATACTGTCAATTTCACTGGGAGAAGTCATGTTTCTGCCAGCTGTTGTTGATGTCAATCATGGTATGTGATTACTGGTAAGCGTTTACAGTATCTTCCTGATACAGTATCATGTAACAAGGCTGTTCATTTGCATTTGTGGATTAGAATTTTATCTAAATGTATAAATTAGTGAAATGAACACATTTTTTACTATTAATACTAGGGCTGTTACGATTCACTCATGTTTTCCGTGAATCGAACTGTATCGATTCATGAATTGAATTCGTTATTCCTGGCCACTAGAATCGAATATTTATGAACATGCAATCATGTGCATTTACATAAAAATATCCATAAGAACATATTATATGCATAGATTTCTTCAAAAGACAACACTCTTATACTATTTAATTTGACAGTAATGTGGTCACTGGTCATGGTAGCATTTGAGCAGATACTAGCACCTGGATAAGTGCAGTATAGAAATTTATAATATATTAATAATGAACAAACCATGTCAAATATTTTGTTGTTATTGCTTCACTGAACATAACAAACAATACATCAACTGCTGACTTGTTATTGTATTCGTGAATAATATTCGTATTCGTTTCCCAATATTCGTGATACGAATTTTATTCGCCTCATAGTGTATTCGTTGCAACCCTAATTAATACAATTACATGTAATCTTTGTTTTTTTCAGATTATGATGAAAATTATATTTGTTTGAGAACTGAGTCATCTTGCAAAATGATCAAGAATACTGCTGCTTTATTTTTGTAAAGAAGTTTTGTTATTTCATGCTACTGTATATTTTAGTTGTTTTGGATGTGCTTTTTTATATTCTTTTAGCAAAGAACATTCTTGATCATCTTTATCATAACAAAGAAATGTCTTTAGTATGGGATCTTAGTATGTCAAATTTAAGGATGAGTAAGATTGCATACTTACCCTACATCTAAGGGCTGTCTCAAACATTTAGAAAAGAATGTTAAGGCATCTTATGGAGCCAAGAAATTGAACTCTTAAATTGAAATCAAAATGACAGTGCGACTTATTTTTAATGGTATTATACTTTGTAATTTGTACATGTGTGAATATTGTAAATATTGAATAATATGCAATTGTAAGAAAATTTGCATAAATATGTCCATACGATATTAATAATAAATCTGTACAATCCATCTCAGTTGTCTTTTGTCAGTATTTAGGTCAAGATCTGAATAGCATAATGTTCAAATGACTCTGTAAGATCACCCCTGTGGTGTAGATACAGCATCTGTCTGCCTGGAGAGTGTTTGGTCGGTGGTTTGACCCTTTAGCCGAGTGGTAAAAGATGTTACTAGCGGTTACCCCGCCCTGTGCTCGGGTTAACGGGATAAAGCAAGGACTGGCTGGCTCGGAATCTGTAAAATGTGTCTTGGATGCAATGTTAAGCCCTATTTCCCCTCTATTCACCTAATGGGGCGGTCGGGTAGCCTAGTGGTTAAAGCGTTTGCTCGTCACGCCGAAGACTCGGGTTCGAATCCTGACATGGGTACAATGTGTGAGGCACATTTCTGGTGTCCCCTGCCGTGATATTGCTGGAATATTGCTAAAAGCGGCGTAAAACCAAACTCACTCACTCACCCTATTCACCCTAATATAAGGTACATTCTGAAGTCCCAATATTAATGACCAGGCTTCATGAATTCTATATCTTACATGATGACATGGAGTAATGCTTACACTCTGAAACCCCACCCCCGTATCAGCCTTTGGGCTAATGGAACAGCATCTTATTAATTTGTAAGTTTGGCTTAATACTTTGAACAATATTTCAGTCATATCACGTCTGGTAAGAGTCATGTGGGAGTAAAGTCCAAAGTGGTTTAGATCTTAGACATTTACCACTCTGAAACTCACATGATTGCGATGTGCTGATAACCTAAGGATCATAATTACCGTATTCGACGTAATAAGCGCCCCGCTCTAATGAGCGCCCACGGCGATATTTGCTGATATATTGGCTAGTGAACAACCCCAGTTAGCACCCCTTCTGATTGATCAATGTACACAAGACTTATTTATTCGTGTATAATACGCACTCGTGTTTTATATGCACCCTTAATTATGGGCAATTAAATTCTGGAAACTATATCTGTCGTGTATAATACGCACATACTTTTCTTTTGTATCATTTCAGGCTGTCAGCAGAAACTATGAAATTTACAATCTTTCAACTCTGTTTTTTTTCTCACCAAAATTATATTAAAATTAAAGCCCCTTATTTCTAATTTTGAGAGCGCCCCGGGCGCTTACTAGTCGAATACGGTAGGAGGAATCTCGGATTCAAACCAACAACTATAGGATCCTGGTAGGGCTGGGACGAGTCCAAATATACTACCCGGGCACCCTCCAACTTATTACCTGACCCTACCCGGGAACCCGCTGTAGATATGTAGAGATAGGTACAAACTGTCCGATATGGAAAAGTTTGACCTTAGCCCTGGCAAAATGTATTTAGATGGACGTTTAAAACGATCTGGTCATGCATACACTGAAGTTTTATCTTTATTCAAACATATAAAAGTCAGAAGGAATGGGTGCATTGTCAGAAAGAAATGGGAACATTAGTGACTTATAGTGTAACCATAGAGTTTTAGATAATTTTTGTCATTAAACAATATATCACGTGACTAACCACGGGTCCAGGTAGTCCTATGGGTACCCGGGTCCTAGTCAGGACCCGCCCGACCCGAGTACCCAAGTTACCCGTCCCAGCCTTAGATCCTGGCATGCATAAGGGATGCAACTCAGCACTGTGAACTGAATGCACCTTTTAGATGATTGGCTAACCTGTGAACATTACACAGTGTTTTAAATTAAGGGGAGTCTTTTAGGTTTGCTGCCATGTACCAAAATCCTGGGAACCCCTAATTATCATTTTTTTACAAGGACACAGATCCCTTGACTTTCAAGCCTAATATCAGACACTGTTATATTTTAAAACAATTTTTTTATTTACATACTGTGTAGAATGTTTTACAATCTCTTTAAAATCAGATCTTAGTTCTCGCCACCGCTAAACTAAGATCTGAGGACATCCTATTACAGGTCACGTCAGTCTGAACTTTCGGGAAACTTTGACTGACCAATGGAATGACAATTAAGAAGTCGACAATAGCCAATCAGAAGGCAGCTTAATCGAGCTTTACGTCAGGATTTTTAAACTGTGACTACGCTTCGAAACATATATTGACATATACTCGATTAAAAAAATAATAACTGAACAAAATAACATTTTGGAATGGCTAATAGATGGTCTAGATTGTATGAGTACAGACATAAAGCCCATAACTGTCATTCAGAACACCCTGTGTTCTTTCGAGGTTGCACGATCAAAATTCCCATTCCAACTGTCACTTTCATGATCTGATAAGCGATGTTCTGATTGGTTAGATGAAAGGTCCTTCTGACGTGACCCATGATAGGATGTCCTCAGCAATAGCGAGAACTGAGATCTGATTTTAATGAGATTGAGTGAGTGAGTGAGTTGGGTTTAACGCCGCTTTTAACAGTATTCCAGTTATATCACGGCGTGTCAGCTTAATGTGGGAGGAAAGCCCGAAGTGATGCAGGTCTCAGACGTTTACCACTTCGGTGAAACCCCCGAGCACAGGTATGGTGCTGACAAACCTAGAAACATAATCAGGGCAAACCGGGATTCGAACCCACAATCATAGGTTTCTGGCGTGCCCAAGGGACGCAACTCTGCACAGCGAATCGCGGCGCCTTAGACGACTAGGCCACCTGTGCCCCCTTTAATGAGATTGGAATGTTTTACGACAGAACGAGGGGCATGTAAAATACTGCAAAATCTAATGGACAGTTTGTGCACTGGTGTTGGTTACAGTAGCCTCCAGCAAACCTCTGGCCAAACATGGGGCCTGTTACATTGTGATGGCCCCACCTCGTAACCATTTTCATGTTGGGTTGTTGCACATGGTCTACTGGAGCATGGTCTTCAGCAACCCAGGTGGTCAGACTCGCTTACTTGGTTGATGAATGTCATCGATCCCAATTGCGTGGATTGATGCTTATGATATCAATCACTGGATTGTCTGGTTCAGACAAGATTATTTACAGACCGCTGTCATATAGCTGGAATACTGCTGAGTGCACAGACTGGAGCATGGTCTGTTGGCAACTTGAAAAGTATGCTGTACACTTTGTCCCAAGACGCGATATGGTGCAGTTATGCACATTAAAAGTGTCCAGCAGGTTTACAGACATTTTGGGGGCGGTCGGGTAGCCTAGTGGTTAAAGCGTGCGCTCGTCACGCCGAAGACCTGGGTTTGATTCCCGACATGGGTACAATGTGTGAAGCCCATTTCTGGTGTCCCCCACCGTGATATTGCTGGAATATTGCTAAAAGCGGCGTAAAACCATACTCACTCACTCACTACAGACATTTTGTCCAGTTTGCAACTTCCCTTTGCCTTGTGATGTTGGTGTACAGGCATACCATGTTGGTGCTCTATCTGAGTAGCATTTTTTCTGAATTCAAACTTCTGACAGTTGTCTCAAGAAGAGGAGAATTATGGATGTCAACTTCTATATTATTATACACAATATTGCAGAGTAAATGCTAACTGATGATGATCAGGTGTGATAAAGGAGTGAGTGAGTGAGTATGGTTTTACGCCGCTTTTAGCAATACATGTATCTAGCAATATTACGGCGGGGGACACCAGAAATGGGCTTCACACATTGTACCCATGTCGGGAATCAAACCCGGGTCTTCGGTATGACGAGCGAATGCTTTAACCATTAGGCTACCCGACCGCCCCTGATAAAGGAGTAAGCCAGTCCTCCGAAACGTTGTGTTCCTCATAATGAAGAAGTTGACATCCATAAATTCTCATTCTTATGTGTATCACTTCTAAATGCCTTTCAAAGACTTGGTCGTCTCAATGTTTTAGAGACACAATTAATTCCATGTGTATTCACACGACTTTTGTGTCATGGGTTGCATGTGAAACACTCATTTATCCAGAATGAACCTTATTACAAATGTAGACAGAAAACTTTTGATAACAAGATAACAGTGTTTCCCATGACTAATTGCTAATATCAATATTGAATGTGTGTGTTTATAAAAACCGAGTTTTGCTTAACTGTTTTTGCTTGGTATATATATAAAATAGACAACCTTAGACAACTGGGCTCCCAATTATTAACATAATTGCCTCTTATTATGTAAAAACAAACAAACAGGAAACATCAGATACTCACATTTATTGCTTCATCTATAAATAATGAAACAGAAAACTGAGATACACTATATATATATTGTTACAATATGACACAAACACAGGTATGCAACAATCTTTCAACCGAAAACAGCCAACATACTTTTCTTCATACCCATCTTCCTGAGGAAAGGGAGTTAACTGATTGTAAAAGTCCAGTTTCCACCCTTTCCAAACAAGACTGGAATTTCTGGGCTCGATCGGAGTGCCACCAATGGCTATTTACGAGTTCGCCCTTCTATGTCACTCCCTATTAACCAATAAGATTCCACTTCTCATATCACTTGCATTGCTTCAAACAAACATGGTGGCACCCAGTCAAGACACCTTGATTAAAAACATGAAACGATTTGGAAAATATCTTTTGATGCCCAGTTGACGGAACACATGCTTTGCAAACCTGCACTTGACCGAAATCTGCGTGTTGAAATCCATGTTGTTTACGAATTTTGTTACTAGTATTTGATTGGATTATGCCTTGACTCAGTAGTCCAGCCAAAACATAACTTCGTAATTCCAGCCTAGTTTGGCAAGGGTGGAAACTGGACTTTTACAGTCAGTTAACTCCCTTGCCTTGGGAAGATGCTACATACCATGGTATATAAATCCTATATCATTATCTGGAGAGAACTTATCTATGCATACAACAGTAATAAAACATTATCAATTAGCATAACATTAACATAACAAAATAAATGGCACAAAACAGAAATATCACATAAATTTAAGATTTAACACCAATAAACTAAAACTAAAACAAATACATGCAATTTCTCTTCATAAAATAAATTAATAACTTAATGCAATTCAGCTAAGCAAACTTATCAGACAAATAATGTGACCATTAATTTAATCAATCTACAGTAAACTGAGAGAAACTCAAAGGGACAACATATTTTAGTTTTTACGTAGTTGGTTATAAGCATATATATACAGCATATATACAGCAAATGGCCAGAACTAAAAAATAAGTTTGTTTTGTTATATTCATCAGTTGGTTGTAAGCATATTCATCATAAACGTTGTTTTCTGTATTATCAGTTTTGTTGAAGATATTGAAGATTGAAGAACTAATACAAAAGTTCCATTTGCAATTTGACGCTGTTGGCTCTGGAGTGAGTGAGTGAGTTGGATTTAACGTCGCTTTTAACAGTATTCCAGTTATACTGCATGTCAGCTTAATGTGGGAGGAAAGCCTGAAGTGATGCAGGTCTCAGACGTTTACCACTTCGGTGAAACCCACGAGCATGGGTATGGTGCTCACAAACATAATCGGGGCGAACCGGGATTTGAACCCACAATCATAGGTTTCTGGTGTGTCCAAGGGATGAAACTCTGCACAGCGAATCGCGGCGCCTTAGACGACTTGGCCCTATGTCCCCGTTGGCTCTGGAGCTTGACACAACCACATGAAGGGACTCTGTATGTCTTGGTACAAGGCAAATTTCACAATTACCTTGGATTTTTTCCTGGTGCTTGTGAATATGTTTACGTTTAGAAAACAGCCATGTTGAGTAAATAGACACTTGATAAAAAATATTCTTATTGTTTCTGATACAATCATGATAATCAGGCAAAATAAATGAAATTTGTGGTTAATAAAATCATGCACTCATGCTTTCTGACATGTTTACAGGTAGAAAAATCCAAGATTTTTAAATAAAGCTATGATTATGACAATAATCCCTTAGGTGAGAATAATATGCTGAAATGACAGTAAAAATCTTTCTTCTAGGATAAATAGATATGAAATTTTGCAGTAACTGCAACAATGGCATAAAAGTTGTTGATAAAACACATAATAATGGAAACAATATGGTTGATGATATAACATGTAACCATGGTTTGGTTTTGGTTTGGTTTGTTGTTTAACGCCGCACTCAGCAATATTCCAGCTATATGACGGCGGTCTGTAAATAATCGAGTCTGAAACAGACAATCCAGTGATTAATATCATGTAACCATGGGTACAATATGGTTATTGATATAACATGTAACCATGGGTACAATATGGTTATTGATATAACATGTAACCATGGGAACAATATGGTTGAGAACACAACATGTAACCATGGGAACAATATGGTTAATGATATAACATGTAACCATGGGAACAATATGGTTGAGAACACAACATGTAACCATGGGAACAATATGGTAGATGTCAAAATGCTGTAACCATGATTAAACTGCTATTTGGGGTGAGGATCTGGCTCAAATGCTGTAATCCTTCCACAAACTGAAACACAAAAGATTATTGTTTTAGCCAAGTATCTTGTTGCCTAAAAAAACAATGTTTACATTGCACACATGGATTCGCTATTCAATTCTTTCACATAATGATTACTCAAAAATAACCAACCCCTCCGTGACTCCTCAGTCAGCATGAAATATTACTCCTGTCAATCATGTCAAAATCAGATATTTAACCTTCCTGCTAGTAACTCATGAGTATGGGTACGGTGCTGACAAGCCTAGAAACATAATCAGGACCATATTGGGTTCAAACCCATGACCATACAGTTTTCTGTGACGCCTCATGGACACAGAGGTGCACAGTGACTTGAACCTGTGCTAAAGACTGAAAAGCCTTTAGTGCTTAGATTTACACGATTGCATTGAATGCAATGTTAATTTGAAACCAGGTGTTTCCCTGTTTGCACGCTAAGGGAACTTAGTTTGCAATTATATATAAATCCCTCGTGAAATATAAATCGCACACCCATATTAATCAGATCATAGAACATGCGCCCCATGCAGAACCTTGATAAGGGAGACAACTCATCTTACCACTGCGTGTATTCTTCATCATGTGGGTGTTGTTCCAACAAATCTTTTACTTCTGGAGGAGGATTCAGTCCATGCTTCTCAGCTCGGGCCCACCTCTCCATCCTCGTTATTCCTGTCGGCCATGAGAGAAAGAGTTGACATATCATGTTAAGGAGGACATATGAGTAGCAACAAAATCCAGTTACGAGTAGCAACACAACACAGTTATCTCTTGTTTCATTGAGATCAAACATCAAGTTCTAACAAATTTCAGTAGGTCGATCCTACATACTAATTCACTTATAAAAATAAGTTAAAAAGGATAAATGGTAAATAGGGCACATCTTAACGTCGTTATTGAGTGCCCCGTGGCACACTTGAAAAACATAATTAATTCCAGTGTTTCCATTCTCCGGTATATAACGGATATTGACCGGTAAAATATAACTGGGACCGTCAAATTTGAGGATTGATGGTCCCTGTGTCTGGCAGAAGTTTCCATTGAAAAATGCATATCATTTACTGTGAATCACTGTAAACATTAAAACACACTGTTTCAAATGCTGACGTGTTAGTTTTCTGTACCTTTTTATTGTAAATCTTGCCTTCTAAAAATAGCACACAATGTCAGCAAAAAAAAAAAATACACCGCGACAGTGATGTTTTGATGTTCTTTGTTACCTCAACATTCATCACTAGCTTCAAGAACATTGTCGTAAAGGAGCGATATTTTCCGAATGCATACTTGACATTATTTTAAGATGGCGGGTCAGAAGACGTTATCTGTGATTGGTTGACAAGATAATGACACAGAGATAACCAAAGGCGATGGTGCCAAGAGTGATTTTGGTAGTTCCAAATCTACTGTTGCTGAGCTTGGTGTCATTATATGTCATTTTTAAATATCTTTGCGTACCCTATTTTCAAACAGTTAAGACAACGTTGCTGATATTTCGGGGGATATTAACTTAAATTTGTGTTTATTTTGGTCTGGCGATGTCTTCAAATTATAGTGTTTACACTATTTTACTCTTCCTTTTTCAACATAAGAAAATGCCACCAGAAACACTGATTTCTATTAACTAAATGAGTGAGTATGGTTTTATCCGCTTTTAGCAATATTCTAGCAATATCATGGCGGGGGACACCAGAAATGGGCTTCACACATTGCACCAATGTCGGGAATCGAAACCCGGGTCTTTGGCTTGACGAGCGAACGCTTTAACCACTAGGCTACCCGACTGCCACTCAATGAACTACAACCATGCCAAGTTCTTACCACTGCAAGGACCAAACTCCAATGTAAGGTCAAACTGTTGTAGAAGTTCAAGGTCTATCTGTTGCTGTGTCTTAACGCCACCTCTCCCTAGTGAAAAATAGTATAAACATCATCAAGGCTCCATCAGGCTCAAGTGAAGTGCAGTTAATGAGTATACCCAGATTCTCTATTTCTGGGGCACGATATATGTATATATATATTTCCATAAATTTTCAATGTGCACGATAAATATTGATTAATTGCACCAAAAACGTATACACGTCTTTGATTGCACATTATCACAATTGAACATAATATGAGATAATAGCATTTCAAAATAATACAAGTCAAATCCCTGGGTCATCCTATTTATGAGTCCTGATGACTCTCAGTATTGATTTTGGGAGATCCCTTGGTTGAAAATAGGGGGAGATTTTCTTCAGTCAATCAATAGGTTTCGTTTCAAACAAGAAAAGTTCCATATGTAACTGGAATAATTTTTTAAGTCTTCACAAAATATTGTTTCGAAAATTAATGTCAGTTACCGTACATTTGTAAGAATGTAGATCAACCTTCAAAACGTCACTGAACAGTGTGGTACATTGTCTTTAACATTACATTAATTTCCGTCATGCCATTCATGGTTACCATGGATATGCGGACTAATTTACTGAAAAATGACAACTAACTCAGAAAAACTGTTAGTGTTACCTGCTTCCTTGTCTTCTTTCTTTACCTGTCGTCCTATTCTCTTTGTCTGCTTAAAACTATCTGTAATCATTGAACTAGACATGATTGTAAACAGACACAACAGTCAGGAATAACAAAACTTCAAAAAACTGCTGACAATCTAGTCAGGAAATAAACTTTATGCAACGCCACGCCGTTCTATTTACCACTTGACCTAAATATCAAACATCTAACGTTATTAGCGTATTAGAACTGTCGAAGGGGAGTAACTGCTCATAGCTAAATATGTTGTCGATAAGAACTTCAGATTCAGAACTCGTTGATGAAACATGATCTTTATTTAAAAACAACAAAATAGCTAAAAAATAGTATTTGTCTATCAATTTTATAATGTTATAATGTATTTGAATATAAAATATGAATATTACCAGGAAGGTTCTAAATCACATTTTTAAAATAAATAAATAACCTATAGAGTTTAGGTTTTCGTTTTACTCATTCCAACATTTTGAAACACTCACTGAATGTTATTCCGATTGACCAATAAAAATCGGCGTTACTTTTCTTTACAATTGAAGAAACCAATCACAAATGACGAACCATCCACGCACTTGCACACGTCCAACTCAGCACGTCGGAAATCAACATGGCAGACGAAACCTCTTCAGTACCGGTAATCGCTGTGACAGCGGCCGTAGGCGCCGTCGTTCTCTTGTTTATTCTCTTATGCGGCATCGGAAGAAAGGAACAGAAGGAAGAAGAACAAGGTTAGAGATTTATTTTAGAAACCGGTAAATGAAATGTTGCAATTGATCATGTAGATGGAGGGGACTGATTCCATAAACAGCTGATTAAATGAATGCCTATATAGGCCTCATACTGTAATACATCAGCACCATACAACGTTAACTCGTAAACGATTGGCGTCAGTATCCATGGCATCAGTTTGATTACTTTATGTTTTTGTGAGAGTACTGCTGCTAAATAATTATCAGAGCTTGAAGAGAGTACATGCAACTTGTAAACTGGTAAAGTGACATTTAATCCACCCTAACTTTTTAGGTAATTTTATTATTTATAAAATAGTATATAAATTCAGTAATACGCACAGGTGAATATCACTATCGCAAAACCAAAGTTTGTTGGTTAACTCTTGATATTTGATAATAATATTTAGAAAATGCCTTTTATCACATGCTTTCACTGTGATTGTGCAATGATCATGACAATCAGACAGAAGAGTTACTGACCGAGTCACTGACCGAATGAGATTCCGGGGTTGAATAGGTCTTCAGCAACCCATACTTGCCGTAAAAAGCGACTATGCTTGTCGTAAAAGGCGACTAACAGGATCGGGTGGTCAGGCTTGCTGACTTGGTTGATGCATGTCATCAATCCCAATTTCGTGGATCGATGCTCATGATATTATTCACTGGATTGTCTTTTCCAGACTTGATTATTTACAGACCGCCATCATAGAGCTGGAATATTGCTGAGTGCGGCGTAAAACAACCAACCAACCAACTTATTGAAGCAGGGTGATTAATACAATGAGTATATTATTAAGTGGATAAAGATCAGTGATGAATTATTTGTACCAAATTAAGTCTGCGAAAAGAAATGTATAAAAGAGAGTTTGGCATGTTTCAGAACAATCAGAAGAACCCAAGAGGACTGAAAAGACCAATGAAAAAAGTTCAAAGAAGACAAAAGTCATTTTGAAAGGAAAGAAGGCAGCCCACCCAGCCTTCACTCATCAGTGGCTGGCAGGCACGCTGAAGGGACATGGGAGCCCAATACTTGCCTTCGATTTCAGCCCTAATGGAAAATATGTCTTGACATGTGCCGAAGGTAATTCAATTTCGCTGCAACTTTATTATGTTAACTCAGAGTTTACGTGTTTTAGCACCAGTTCCAGAAGTTTCAGCACAAATTTCTTCAAATTCTTGATAAAATTGTTCAGATTTTGCATCAGAATTCTTCAGATATCTAAAATTCTTGTTTGGTGTTTTGGCGGCTGCACAGCTGAGGGGTGCGTTCGGATGAGATGTTTTTTCTGTTCTTGCAAACACAACACAGGAATTTCAACTACCTTTTCGGAAAGAAATGAGATAAGCAATTAGTATGAGTCAGGATAAGTATAAATTATATTTTTACCCTATAAAATACATATTTATAAGGGCCATAACTAGGCCAAAATTTAAAAACAAATTTCATAACCTGTCAATTAAAATCAAACCATAAGATGATTACCAAAATCCTGTACAATGCATTGTTTATTTTCCCGACCGAGCAATTAAATTTTTCACTATGAAAATCCTACCCCCCTCAAAGAAAGCTTGGTCTGATGGTTGTTCTGTTCTTAACAACCATGTGGCCAAGTCGTCTAAGGCGCCGCGATTCGCTGTGCAGAGTTGCGTCCCTTGGGCACGCCAGAAACCTATGATTGTGGGTTCGAATCCTGGTTCACCCCGATTATGTTTCTATGTTTGTCAGCATCATACCCGTGCTCGTGGGTTTCACCGAAGTGGTAAACGTCTGAGACCTGCATCACTTCAGGCTTTCCTCCCACATTAATCTGACACGCCGTGATGTAACTGGAATACTGTTAAAAGCGGCGTTAAACCTCACTCACTCACTCACTCACTTAACAACCATGAGGTGTTCAGGTGTTCACCTTAATTTGAAGACAAAAACAAACAGAAGCAATATTTACAGTTACTTTAGGTTTACAGCTGCAGCCTCTCCCCCAGCAGCAAGCTAGTTCGTAAATGGATATTTCCTGCCAGAGCTGGCTGAGATTCTGTTGGGCTGAGATGAACCAAGAAATCATAATTCATTCGACCTGATCGTTACCATTGATCACCTTGGTCAGAGGCAACAACAATATGTTGTTTGTGTTGGTTACTATGGTTACTGTCTTAATGTTGTTTTCAGATAGATCTCTCATGCTATGGAGCGTGAAGGAATTTCTACAGAAAGAACATAAGTGAGTATAGCATAATTAAGATATTTTGTTGGTTCATTTTATAAAACAGGAACAAAATATTTGTACATTCGTACATGTCATAGACAAGTGATACCCTTTAAAAAACCCTGACATTTTGTATTTTATGGTTGTATTTTTCATTACAGTGATTATTGAAAAACAATTGCAATTTTTTTTTAAAAATGGCATAACCTCAATTTTCCAGTGTATTATGTCTCCATGTTAATCACATGTCATCAATCCCAATTGCGTGGATCGATGCTCATGATATTAATCACTGGATTGTCTGGTCTGTTTCTAGGTTTGTCAGCACCATACCTGTGCTTTTGGGTTTCACCAAAGTGGTAAACATCTGAGACCTGCATCACTTCAGGCTTTCCTCCCACATTAAGCTGACACGCCGTGATGTAACTGGAATACTGTTAAAAGCGGCATTAAAACCCAACTCACTCAATCATGAAGAAACAGGGTCATTTGATTGGACAGCTATTTTAAGCATCATGTTATTCCATCTAGACTCAGAATGAAGCTATAGTGGCAAATGGATCTATTTAAAGTATTTAAAGTAGAATGGAGATATTTAATACACTGTGTAATCAGGGTTAGAATGGCATTGTCTGAGTTGAATTCAATCTCATTAAAATCCGATCTTAGTTCTTGCTATTGCTAAACAAAGATCTGAGGACATCCCATTACGGGTCATGTCAGACCGACCTTGCGCGAATTTTGACCGACCAATGGAAGGGCTGACAAGAAGTAGACATTAGCCAATCAGAAGGCAGCTTTCTCGTGCTTTACGGCACTAATTTCAAATTGGCGACTACGCTTCGAAACATATTTTGACAAATTCTCGATTAAAAATTTGAAACCTGAACAAAAGAACATTCTGGAATGGCAAATAGATGGTCTAGATTGTATGGATCCAGTCGTTAAACCCGTAACTATCGTTCGGAACACCCCGTGTTAAAGTTTTCGAGGCTGCTAATTTGAAATCACATTCTGACTGTCACTTTCATGATCTGGTAAGCGATGCCTTGATTGGTCGGATGAAAGGTCGTTTTAACGTGACCCCTAATGGGATGTCCTCAGATCTTTGTTTAACGGTAGCGAGAACTAAGATCTGATTTTAATGAGATTGAGTTGATTTTGAAATTCTATATATCAATGATTGAATTATGTCAGCTTGAACTAGAGGAAGAATGACAGAACTTTATTTAAGAAATAAAAGACAAGTGGTAATTGTTTATCATATAATAAAACACTGCAGGGAGAATAAACCATGAGGGGTGCAGCGGGGTAGCCCAGCTACTTCTTTGGTGAACAACTTCCTAGACGCTTCCCTCCAAAAGTAGCGTTGTCCAATATATGATGTCATCAAGTTGCGAGCGCATATTCAAATCTCCAGAAATGACATCATGATAGAACAATGTTTTATCGGGAAATAAACCATGCCTCGTTCTTTATTGTCTTTGTGATTTATCACGTAGCTATCATATATTGGGATGTAAAGGTATGGTTGCGAGAGCATCGCTATATCCTATTGAGCAAACGGTAATCCATCATGCATCATAAACATCCTGTCCATAGAAACCACTGGTTTATTGTTTCTCAGCTTACCTTGTGTTGTTGTTTTGTCCAGAGTTCATGGTGTTGTGTTAACTGTTTCAGATTCATCAGAGGAAGTGTAGAACTCGATCATGCCACCAAACTTGCCTTCAGCCCAGACTCGAGGTACTGATGATGATTGTACAGCATGATGCATGATGGTCCTATGTTCTTGTACCTTTATCAGTTTAGGGTACACAGGACATCAACCTTTATGATTTGTGAATATAAAGGATTCAGGTCTTGCAGTAGAACTCATCTGGGGCAGATGGTCTTATTCATAATTTCAGCTTAGTTCGGCAAGGGTGGAAACTGGACTTATAAAGTCAGTTAACTCTCTTGCCTCGGGTCTAACAGTAGAACTTATCATTGTGACAGACATATAATTCAAATGTGATATGATGTGATGCCTGTGGTAATGTCATATATTGTGATGTAATGTTGTGGTACAATCCATGGTTCATTTGACTGTCCTGAGGATAACTTTTTCAAGGCAAGACTTTTAAAAAAGACCCTGGATTCTGATGACTAATCAAAAAGAAAAGTGAACAAAAAATATCTACTGAAAATGACTTTATTTTTAACTTTATCTTATCTTTCTTATCTTCTTTCTTTTTCAGTCCTATGCGGAAACATGATTGAACCATGTTTCCAGTTTCTAAAACAAAAAAACACATCACCCAAACACCCCCCAGCATCCCTAAGGTCACACACTGACCAATAACTGGATCAGTTATGCACGGTAACCTTACATGACCCGATCACTTGTGTATATCTGCCCACTTTAGATCTTAGAAAAAACATTTGTTTGGGGTTTTTTTTTGCTTTGTTTCTTGGACTTCCATGTACTGCATAGGAAAACAGGTCAAGCTACATCCGGCGTGTACACGGTGCCGATGCACGTACTCTACCCCCATACACTGCGATGTGACTGTCGTAGCCAGTGTACCTTAACGTCCTGGTGCGCTGAGTGCCATAGAAAGTTGTTAGACTCTGCTTTTTAGCTTTACCTTCATAAGTGTCACCGAGGAATGGTGAACCATCTATCTCTGACAAGAAGTCTAAGTTGGCTAAGAAATCTACTGTCATGTCTCGTCCTCTTGACGCTACCTCAGACTCTCAGGTGTCTTCTTATCAGTTGCTGACGGGTAGCCTAGTGGTTAAAGCGTTCGCTCGTCACGCCTAAGACCCGGGTTCGATTCCCGACATGGGTACAATGTGTGAAGCCCATTTCTGATGTCCCCCGCCTTGATATTGCTGGAATATTGCTAAAAGCGGCGTAAAATCAAACACACTCACTCACTATCAGTTGTTGACAATGTGGTCTCTGACAATGTTTTGACTGCAAATGTCTTCACACAGTTTGACCCCGTTACTACACCTAAACTTTCAGATGTTCAGACTACTACACCCTCCATTCTTTCGACAACTATGTCATCGATATTATTATTTTTATTTGGAACCCAGCACCTTGTAAATATTATAAAAATCGCTTGTATTAGAGACCCATTAGAGGAAATATCGATACGTTTTACAGTTTCTATGCGTGAAAGATTGTCAGCCATTTTTTATGAATAGATATGTAGGCTATCGATATATTAATACTCACGGCTTTTGTGTGAAAAGGCTCAATATATTTAAAAGGGGTATCTGTAGCAAAAAGGACACCTCTTTTTAACCAATCAGATTCAAGTGTTCTTCAGTGTCATGGTAGAATACAATATCAGTGCACCCTTTTGAATGTAGAGGCCATGGTGCTAATAAATGACAGTGTTTATGAAATATTCACAACATTATAATGTCACCTGATTAATGTTGCATTCAGAACTGCCTGTTACTGTTGGCTCTTGAGATACCTAAATGGGATATGCTGCTTTGAATGCTACACTTGCTCCTTTAGAAACCTTGACTGACTCTCATTTAAACGTTCACCTGATGTTTTTTTTGTTTGTTTGTTTGCTTGTTGTTTAACGCCGCACTCAGCATTATTCTAGCTATATCACGGCAGTCTGTAAATAATTGAGTCTGGACCAGACAATCCAGTGATTGATATCATGAGCATCGATCCACGCAATTGGGATCGATGACATGCATCAACCAAGTCAGTGAGCCCGACCACCTAATCCCATTAGTCGCCTCTTATGACAAGCATAGTCACCTTTTTACCTGATGTAACCTCTTGTGGAGAGTTTGTCAGATCTTCATGCAGAAGTAATCTATGGGAGTAAAAGATCTGATTTTAATGCGACTGATATCACAGCAGTAACAAAATGGCTATGTGTCTTCTTTTCAGGGCAATTGTCGCGAGTCTGGGCAACGCTAACATCATCCGAATATTTCGACTGGGGAAGAAGGAGGATGGCTCTAGCGTCACCATACAAGGTGCCATGGACTTCCCCCAGGTGAGTTCCCTCGGGAGAGAGACAGTTTGTGTAGTAAAAGGGCCACCGGCCCATTATACATTACAGCATGATCCTGAATAATGTTGCCAAGGAGCTCCACGAAAACAAACAAGGGATTCAGAAATTGAAAGGGGTATTAATTTCCATTCTCAGTGAAGTGGAAGAGGGCAAACTTTCACTTTTTCAACTGATTATTATCATGATGATGTGACATTCACATGTTCAAAGATGGATAGACTGCCTTCGTGGTCTAGTGGTAGAGCGGAAGGTCCGGGGTTTGATCCCCGGCTGCGTCATACCAAAAGACGTTAAAAGATGGTACTTGTTACCCTGTCTGGTGCTTGGCATTTAGGGGCTGAAACAAGGACTGGTCGGCTCGGAGTCAGTATACTGTGTCTTATTGGGGTATTCATGTTAAACTGCGGCATGTTATCTCAGTGAGCTAGCACTATAAATCGGCATCAGTCCGGACTAGTACAAGCAGCCACACAAACACACACACGTACATGCACGTCGCTATATAAATGCAATAATCTTGGACGCGACGTTAAACCCCATTTCACCTCACCTCACCTCACCTCAAAGATGGATATACTTAATTCCAAAGGGCATACACTGTGGCACACTTGAAATATTTAAACTTTAGTTTCCCTGACATACAAGAACACCTTCTGATTTGTTTGAAATTCGACCAGCATTGGCTTGGGCTAACAGGACCTGCTAATTTCTACCCTGTTCACATGATTATGCACCAAAGAATATTGTTGCATGTGTACAAATATTTGAATGAAAACTATTTGTGAATAGCGTTATTCTAAATGTATGTTACAGCACCACAATGTTGAGATCATCATCATCGCTAAGGGGACCTGCTAATTTCTACCCAAGATTTTACTATCCACATGATTATGCACCAAAGAATATTGTTGCATGAACACAAATATTTGAATGGAAACTATTTGTGAATAGCGTTATTCTAAATGTATGTTACAGCACCACAGTGTTGAGATCCTCTGTATCGGCATCGCTTCTAATGGCAAGTTCATCATGACTTGTCACAGGGACACGACTATAATTATATACAACCTAAAAGGTGAGGGTTTATCTTATTCTCTCAACAAGATGTTGCTGGAATTCAACTATGCTTGTCTTAGGGGCGACTAACGGGATTGGGTGGTCAAGCTCGCTAACTTGTCATGTCATTGTATCCCAATTGCGTGGGTCAATGCTCATGATATCGACCCGTGAAGATCCGGCGTAGAATAGGTCTTCAGCAACCCATGTTTGCCATAAAAGGCAACTACGCTTGTCGTAAAAGGCGACTAACGGGATCGGGTGGTCAGGCTCGCTGACTTGGTTGATGCATGTCATCAATCCCAATTGCGTGGATCGATGCTCATGATATCAATCACTGGATTGCCTGGTCCAGACTCAATTATTTTACAGACCGCCGTCATATAGCTGTAATATTGCTGAGTGCGGCGTAAAACAACAAACCAACCAACCAAAAGCTCATGATATCAATCACTGGATTGTCTTGTCGAGACTTGATTATTTACAGACTGTTGTCATATAGCTGGAATATTGCTGAGTGCGGCTTTAAACAACAAACAAACAAAACATAAACACATTTCACACAGAACAAGCAGAACACCTGGGCAAAGATAGATTTTGTTGTTAGGCAAACAGTTTGAGCTTCGTTTGAGACTAAGCATATATTGCTTCACATTAATAAAACACTGGAGTAACAATAACCTTTGTATGATAAAAGTGTTTGAAAAGGATGTAATCATAGGAATAATCATTCAAAATTACCGTATTGGACGTAATAAGCACCCAGGGCGCTCTCAAAATTAAAAATAGGGGGCTCTTATTAGAATATTATTGGTGGGAAAAACAGAGTTGAAAGATAAATTTTGTGGTTTATGCTAACGGTTTGAACTGTTTATATACGACAGATATATTTTTTCAGAATTTAATTGCCCATGATTAAGGGTGCATATAACACACGAGTGCGTATTATACACGAATAAATAAGTCTTGTGTACATTGATCAATTGGAAGGGGTGCTAATTGGGATTGTTCACTTGCCAATATATTAGCAAATATTGCCGTGGGTGCTAATTGGGGTTGTTCACTTTCCAATATATTAGCAAATATCGCCGTGGGCGCTTATTACAGCGGGGCGCTTATTACGTCGAATACGGTAATAAAATTACTCAAAGTGTCTAATTTGAGAAATGTATTTTGCAACAACCAAAATATTGATTAATCCAATGATTACAGTTGTGTATTGCTACATGTTTAGCATATTTAGTTATGTAGATGACACATGGATGTTCGATGAAAACATGTTGTCGCTGATTGAATTTTCCTGTGTTTGTGTGTTGCAGGAGAAGTGTTATCTAGAATAGACACACACCAGATGTCCAATTCATTTGGTGCTGTATCTCCTTGTGGGAGGTTTGTTGGATCATCAGGTAAGTCATATGACCAAATGTCTATTTATTTATTGAATGTGAGTGAGTGAGTGACAGAGGTCCTCTGTATTTGCATTTATTCTAGGCATATCACACACACTGTATTGGGCTTCACACATTGTACCAATGCAAAGATGTAGAAACAATTTCACAACTAGGATACCCCCCTTCAATTTACACTATGTCCAAACTTAAAACACTGGCTTACGGTAGTCGTAGGGGGTACGGGTGGCCCAGTCGTCTAAGGCGCCGCAATTCGCTGTGCAGAGTTTCGTCCCTTGGGCACACCAGAAACCTATGATTGTGGGTTCGAATCCCGGTTTGCCCCGATTATGTTTCTAGGTTTGTCAGCACCATACCCGTGCTTGTGGGTTTCACTGAAGTGGTAAACATCTGAGACCTGCATCACTTCGGGCTTTCCTCCCACATTAAGCTGACACGCCGTGATATAACTGGAATACTGTTTAAAGCGGCGTTAAACCCAACTCACTCACTCACTCATTACGATAGTCGTAGGGCTAAGATCGCTTTGTGGAATGGTGCCCTGTATGGGAAGTTTGAGTTATGTCCCTTTATTTTCAAACCATGGCATAGTTTGTAGTTTGTAACAATGTAGATTTTTAAACTTATCCTTTCTCACACTATAATTTTTTCCTCTTTCTTTTTCAATCCTGGAAACGTGCTTGAACAAAGTTTATATATACAATATATTGGAAAATTTCCAAATTTTAAGATTTATCCTTTCTCACTCTATTCATTTATCCCATGGTTGGAAGGTAGGGCACAGATACCCTAGCCTGTAATCAGGGTATGAAACTCCCAAAAATTTCAGCCAGACCACAGGACTGGCTAGCTGAAATACTTGCCAGCCCTGACCAAAACCTGCCTGCCCACTATAATCATATGTTTCTCAGGATAATTTAATTAAAAATATGAAAACTGATTGCTTGTAGCATAAGTGCATCGCTAAATGTTAGGTTGTCTAAAAGCTAACAGGGTTTCTTTTTGGTTACATTTTATCATTCATCTTTACATTTGAATTAATGCTTATCATCGGGAAATATTTAGAATATTTTCACCTATGAAATATAACCCGACTGTCCGACAGGGGGATTTGAAAATCTGACAGCCCGAGTTGAAATCAACCCATCTCGGACGGTCGGGCAGGCAGATATTTCGAACGCTGCTGTAATAGATTACAACTGTGAGACTTACACCAGGAAGCTGGTTCTAAGCAGTGAAATAAAAAACAATTTGAAACACCGCCTAGTGTCGTAAATGGCAATAGCCTGTGAATGGTGAGTCAAATTACACGTAGAAATGTTTGATTAGTGACAAACTTGGTCTGATCAATCTATTAATCTAGAACATTGTTAGTCTACGGTATTGAATGATATACAGTGGAATGTGCTAAACATGGTTGGCTGGGCTTGTTTTGTAGGCTTCACCCCTGATGTCAAAGTATGGGAGGTGCTCTTTGACAAATCTGGAACATTTAAAGAAGTCAAGAGAGCTTACGAGTTGAAAGGTCATGGCGCAGGTGTCCATAGCTTTTCATTCTCAAATGATTCTAGTCGGTAAGTGGAAGAGGTTTCTTGATTCATTTTGAATAACAATCCATAATGCATTTTACCACGACTGCATTGAATATATGATGTACAAAGTAATTTCAAAGCAAATTGTGTGTTGTTTGATGATGTGATACAAATCCTGAATCTCCAAGTAGTATTTCTATTATAGTACTACTTTGGGGACCGATCTTGACATGTCACTGCCTCCGTGGTGTAGTCAGTATGCTGTGTCTGAGTAGGGTGTCCGTGTTAACTTGTGGCATCATGTCTAAGGTGGACTAGCACTATAAAACCAGCATTATTCCGGACTAGTAGAACGGCCACACGCACAGAAACATGCATGCACTCTTATATGTACCACCTCACCTCACCTCACCTCACCTCACCTCACCTCACCTCACCTCACCTCACCTCACCCCACCCCACCCCACCCCACCCCACCCCACCCCACCCCACCCCACCCCACCCCACCCCACCTCACCTCACCTCACCTCACCTCACCTCACCTCACCTTGGCATGTGTATTGTTGTAATTAACTGAAACATAAGGTGAGATGTTCTTGTTTATTTCCAGGATGGCTTCAGTGTCTAAAGATGGTACTTGGAAGTTTTGGGATACTGATGGTAAGAAACACAACCTTCTTGAATTACGAGTTAATGAACACCTCACTGTAACCATGGTAACCCAAACATGGATTTTACCATGAATTTGGAAAATACTTGATTTTGATTGGTCAGTCAGAGGGTTCAAATCACAATACTGGTAAACCCCCTCTGATTGATACAGCCGATTTGATGGCCGCATCACCGTGAAAGCTTATATTTTTAGAATAGTACTTCTTTTACATTCATTGTCAGTAGGCATATTTAAATAATTATATGTACAATTATGGACTACAAAATGTTATGTTTTTGTTTCTATAATATACAAAGGATGTATGGCAATACATTTGTGCAGAAAACACAATAGAAATCTACAAAGTAATCTCTTATATTTTACGTCACAATGAGCGAAAGAGTTCGTGTTTTATTTTGTCATGGTAGAATGGAGATAAACTTACTGTGTTTTCAATGTAGAGCTAGGTTATCTGTTGATTTAACCGGATAAATTTGACATTTCGCTTTCGGTTACAAGTTGTAATTAGCTTAGTTTGACCATTGGTTTTGCTCCCCACTGTTATTCCAAGGTAGAGCTGGTCCCCGGCAACCTATGCTGGTCCTGAGCAGGAGGCAAGAGAGTTGACTAACTATAAAAGTCCAGTTTCCACCTTTGCCGAACTAGGCTGGCATTATGGAGTTACATATTGGCTGGACTAACGAGTGTATGCATAGTGCAATCAACATTGCGAATCGAAATCGAAATCCGGTTCATAAACTGTCGTGCAGATTTCGGTCGATTGCAGGATTTGCAAAGCATGTGCACCGTCAACTCATTGTCAACAGATATTTTCCAAATCTTTTCATGTTTTTACTCAAAGTGCTCACTTGATTTGATGCATTTCGCGATGTAAGACCAGTTTCATCACAATACAAATCTTGATTATCTATCAGATCGTCCTGACTGCGCGTCATCATATGTTTGAAGCAAATGCAAGTGATACAAGAAGTGGAAACTGATTGGTAGCTTAGAAGGGACATAACTTGTAGAAGCCATTGGTGGCGCTACGATCAAGCCCAGGAATTCCAGCCTAGTTTGGCAAGGGTGGAAACTGGACTTTTATAGTCAGTTAACTCTCTTGCCTCCGGAAGATGGTCCTTAGAGGCAACCAAATGGATTGGGTTGTCAGAATTGGTAACTTCATAGATGGCATCTTACCGTACCCTGGACGTGGATCGCTGTTCATAATATCAATTACTGAATTGTCTTGTGCCGACTTGATTATTGACAGACTGCCATCATGTAGCTGGAATATTGCTGAGTGCAGCATTAAACAAGACACAAGGAAAGCCTTTGGTTTGTCTATCCCAGGTCCCATTACACATTGCAGGACCCTGGGATAAAGCTGTGATATTGGTGACTATGACATATCACAATACCAGTCTTATTCATTCACTTCCATGTGTATGGGAGATAGTGATCTGTTGTGGGCAATGTGTAATCAAAAGCAAATTAATGCATACTCAGATGAGATTGTACAGGTTCTAAGTGGTCAACTATGCTGGTCTGAATGATTTGTTACTCATGCTGAGATATGGGGGCATGGTTGGCCCAGTCATCTAAGGCGCCGCGATTCGCACTGCACAGTTGCATCCCTTGGGCACGCCAGAAACCTATAATTGTGGGTTCGAATCCCAGTTTGTCAGCACCATACCTGTGCTCATGGGTTTCAAGGAAGTTATAAAAGCCTGAGACCTGCATCACTTCAGGTTTTCCTCCCACATTAAGCTGATACGCCGTGATATAACTGGAATACTGTTAAAAGCGGCGTTAAACCCAACTCACTCACTCATGCTGAGATTGTGAAATATGCTTATTGTATTTAAAATCTGTTTTAGTGCGATACGAGTTTGACCAGGATCCCAAGCTGTTATACACTGGCAAGCTCAGTCATCCCAGCCTCCATTTGATAACACTGTCGCCAGATGGTCGGTCTGTTGCCATTGCTGGTGATCTGTCAATCTCTATATGCAGCACAGTCTCAGGAAAAGAAGAAGAATATTTTGAAAATGTCCATGCAGGTGGGTAACTCAAACTATGCTTGAATGACACAATGACACCAATGAGTGGTTAAAGTGTTCACTATAACTATTAAGACCATTGATTGATTCTATACTCAGAAACAAAAGGGTGTGAAGCCCATTTCTGGTGTCCCCTGCCGTGATATTGCTGGAATATTGCTAAAAGCGGTGTAAAGCCAAAACTCACTCACTCACACTCACTCACACTCACTCAGAAACCAAAGAACCTGTGAAGTGTTTTATGATAATATAAAAAATATCTGCATGTGTTGAGGCATTGTAGAAATCATTTATTCAGACAAGCAAGAGACATGAGTCACAACTGAAAATGTTAATGGCAAGAGGCCACTCAAAGCACAATGACGTCACAAAGATGAAGAACATAATTATAATTTCACAAGTAAGTACAAGGTGGGGCCCAAAGAGCTTGAATGCTGGCATGGCACCTGTGTCTCCTTGAAATGACCTTAATCTAGAGGAATGGCATTCCAGATGAGCACAAGTGTGTTCCTTAACTCCTGCAGTGTATCTGGTGTATGGGGTAAATGTCGAAGATTTTGTTCCATCTCGTCCCAGACATGCTTGATGGGTGACAGATTGGGGGAGCAAGCAGGCCATGGTAGAACATTAATGGTCTTCTGTACAAAGGTCTGCTGTACAAGGTCTGGAGTTGCCATGCTGGAACATCCCGCCAGGGTCACAATGGTAGAAACTAACATTTTTAGTCGACCAGTTCTTATAATGATAACATATAGCAAAACCCTTAAAAATGGCAAATTTCTACTCCTCCTTATGATACCTTAAATATTAGGCAGTTTGACAAGGACTTCAGGACTAGTACCAGTTTCTAATGCTGGGTCATGTTGGTGAAGGAAGGGAAGTACCACAGGCTGCATTATCACATCTCTGTACCGTTGGGCATTGAGATTTCCAGCAATAACCACCAACTGTAATCATCACAATGGTGCTGTTATCCCTCCCCATACCATAACACTTCCCCCATTGAACCGATCTCCCTCCTGACCGCCTCTGTGGTCTAGTGGTAGAGCGTCCGCCCGGAGAGCGGAAGGTCCGGGGTTAGATCCCCGACTGCGTCATACCAAAAGACGTTAAAAGATGGTCCTTGTTGTTACCCTGTCTGGCGCTTGGCATTAAGGGGCTAAAACAAGGACTGGTCGGCTCGGAGTCAGTATACCGTGTCTGAGTGGGGTATTCATGTTAAACTGCGGCATGGTATCTCAGTGAGCTAGCACTATAAATCGGCATCAGTTCGGACTAGTACAAGCAGCCACACACACACATTCACGTGCATGCACGTCGCTATATAAGTGCAATAATCTTGGACGCGACGTAAAATCCCATTTCACCTCACCTCACCTCCTATTGACATAACGTTCACCACGACATCTGTACACTCGAATACTTCCATCAAAACGGTGGATGTGAAACGGAGATTCGTCTGTAAACATCACCTGTTATCACTGATTAGCTCCAGCCTAAACGTTGTCTGCACCACTGTAAACGAATTTGACGATGATTATTAGTAAAAATTGGCCGTCTTGCTGGTCTCCAAGCAACGATGCCATTACGTCGTAAACAGCATCTAACTGTCTGTGTTGATATCCTACGGAGCCCATGGATAGTGTTGGCAGTAACAGTAGCAGGTTGGAACTGTTGTCAGAGGTGGGTGGTTTAAATCCACCTGTCTGTCTCCTACCTGGTTTTGTTGTTGACAATGTTGCCAAAGATTCCAGGTTGTGAACGTTAAAACTGTCATACCACCTCATGTTGAGATGGATTATGTTTCTAGGTTTGTCAGCACCATACCCGTGCTCATGGGTTTCACCGAAGTGGTAAACGTCTGAGACCTGCATCACTTCGGGCTTTCCTCCCACATTAAGCTGACACACCGTGATATAACTGGAATAATGTTAAAAGTGGCGTTAAACCCAACTCACTCACTCACTCCATTCTTTCAGACGCAATATCCCAGATAGGGTTTGATGTGGGCAGCAAGTTCTTGCTCTCCGCCGGAGACAAACATGTGCAGGTGATCCACAACGTGACGGGGTACCGGGCCACTATCGCTGACCTGGAGCAGAAGGAGAAGAAGGCCAACACAGAAGCCATGCGGGAAAGAATCAGAAACCAGATAAAAGATGCAAGGTACAGCCAAGAACCCATTCTGTGTTCTCATTGTCTTCTCCTTTTTGTGATCAGGTGACAAGGACACTCTAATGGACAGAATGCATAAGTAGCCACAGTTCTGTATATCATGCCTACATCTCAATAAGTACACAAACTCTACAACCCATGAAAATCCGGGGTAGAATAGGTCTTCAGCAACCCATGCTTGCCATAAAAGGCTTGTCGTAAGACACAACTAATGGGATCGGGGGGTTAGTCTCACTGATAGGTTGATGCATGTCGTCGTATCCCAATTGTGTGGATCGATGCTCATGAGGTCAATCACTGGATTGTCTGGTCCAGACTCGATTACTTACAAACTGCCATCATATAGCTGTATTATTGCTGAGTGCGGCATTAAACAACAAACAAACAAACAAACAAACAAACAAACAAACAAACAAACTCTACATTCCATGAGTTCCAGCTGGTTACTGACAGTAGGTTCCGTGTCCCATGTCCCATGTCCCATGTCCTGTGTCCCGTGTCCCGTGTCCCATGTCCTGTGTCCCATGTCCCGTGTCCAGTGTCCCGTCCCATGTCCCGTGTCCTGTGTCCCATGTCCCGTGTCCTGTGTCCCGTGTCCGGTGTCCCGTGTCCTGTGTCTCGTGTCCCATGTCCCGTGTCCCGTGTCCCGTGTCCCATGTCCTGTGTCCCGTGTCCTGTGTCCCATGTCCCATGTCCCGTGTCCCGTGTCCCGTGTCCAATGTCCCGTGTCCCATGTCCTGTGTCCTGTGATTAGCAATAGTTAGAATTGCAGGTTAACTCGCTGACCGTAATATTGACTATTATCCAGTGTGTTTATTGTGATGGATACCCTAGACCCATATGTTGGCATAACTTTGTTTCTGAAGTGACATCACAATCTCCACGTCTCTCATGTGACCCACAAGTGTAATATGATTGGACGCTGATTTTTATTACTAGGTAGACACTGGATAATGGAGGATATCAGGAGCTCTCCTTTAAACAACAAATAATATTTATCTCCTAATTATAAGCGCATTACACATTCTAATTGGTCATTTAACAAGTATCAACCAATCAAAACACAGATGAGGTGATCCTCGAAACATAATCTCATTGGTCATATTAATATTTGGTTGAGGTAACAGATGCTAAGAACAGAGCTACTAAGGATAGTTTACTAGAGATATATACTTTGGTATATACTTTTCCCTGAATGATTTTAACTCTTTGTATGGTAATGTTTATGTATTTATTTATTTGTTTGTTTGTTTAATTATTTATTTATTTATTTATTGCAAGAACTATTCTGCTAGCTATTGTATAGGTAATGAATTCATGACACAGTTACTATTATATTCTATAAGATATGATATATATTTTCAGATCCTCTCTCTCAGTGATTTTGGGAACAACCAATGGGCATGCAGACAGCAAGTAAAGAAACAGCCAATCAGCATCCTCGTTGTTGTTGCTCAAGGAATCAGCAATGAAAGGCAGCATCTCACTGCAAAATATTTCATAATCATTTCCCCTAATTTTGACATGTGTAATCTTACGCTGAACATGCACTTGCTTTTCATCCTACTTTGAAACTTAGGAGGAAGAAATTATGACTGAAACTTCTCATAATATTAATGCTTGGGTAAATGTCTACAAAGTGCTCAACCTTCTTAAAGTATACTTGGTCAAATTTTCTGTCTTGCAAGTTTTAATACACAAATGTATCATTTGTTTTGTCTTAGAAAATGAAAATTGATTATTATTATTAAATAGAAGAAATTATCCAAATCTTTGGATTAATGGACAGTATTGGCTATACCCAGTATCACCTTGGCAGAAGAATCTGTTGGTGGAGGTTATCGATGAGAGGATTCCAGTAGTGTCAAGTAAACGATAAATATGTTTCCTCATGCTTCGAGCAACATTAAGTCTTTGAAATGGAAACATTAAACATAAATTGTGTTACATTGTGTTTTAATATATAACTGAAAAGAGCACTGAGAATTATGTTAACTGAAAATAATCTAGACTTGCCAAACCATAATAGACTAGCATGGGAATCTTTGATATTTTTATTTCAGGGTCTGTATGACAGACTAGTTCATGCTCTGAACGGGTTGTTTCCAAGTAGATACACATGCCATTTGTTACACAAGTATTAATGCAGCCTTGCACATGAAGGAATGTCGGGTAGCCAAGTGGATAAGGTGCTGGCTCATCACACTTAAAACCCAGGTTTGGTTCCCCAGCTGGATACAATGTATGCAGTCCATCCGATGTCCCTTGCAATCTGATATGGCTTGATTATTGGTAGAAGTGGCATAAAAGCCGTATTCCCTTACTCATACTGTACATAGATGTGCCTGATCTGTCAAGCTTTTTTCTGTTCTGGTGTTTCTGTGAGTTAAAATCAATTTCCATTCTTTTTCATTATGGTTGGTTGGTTTGTTGTTTAACGCCGCACTCAGCAATATTGCAGCTATGTGACGGCGGTCTGTAAATAATCGAGTCTGGACCAGACAATCCAGTGATTGATAGCATGAGTATCGATCCACGCAATTGGGATCGATGACCTGCATTAACCAAGTCAGCAAGCCTGACCACCCGACCCCGTTATCGCCTCTTACGACAAGCATAGTTGCCTTTTACGGCAAGCATGGGTTGCTGAAGACCTATTCTACCACGGATCTTCACAGGTCTTTTGTCATTATGGTACCAATATGCGTTCAACGATGCCCCTTGGTGTTAAAAGGGGTGTAATAAATGGCATGTGTAGCGATTTATCATGTGTCAAAGGACAAAGGCAGGATGAGACCCTCTTTGACCCACAGTGTATGCATAATTTAAGAATTGAACAACAGTTTGTAAAATGTGATTAATGTTTTCAGAAAGTTTTTAATGGATGAGACCTAAACTTTGTACATTTCAACAATTGCATGTTAGAGACTTACGACAACACTAATTGCATAAGTAAGGATAAAATGTGTTAAAAAGTCTGATTTCAGAGGTTTTAATGAAGCGTTTTTCTAATGTTTACAAATGAGCAAGTCTTTGACCCTAGTTGATTTTCATAGATGTACATGAAAACATTACAAACATATGGTAAAAGGTTTTGGGTCAAGGACTTGTTCATACATTTGAAGTGCCTTTTTCACTCATTTTGGCTATAATGGTGTATTGGACCATGTCAGAAGTCCAAAATTTGCAAGTGCAATAAGGAAGAAAGGCTAGTGGTCAGTTGTTTGAATTGTCTGATATTTTTCATGCCAATACTTCAAAGTATTAAACAACTTTAAATTTGACATTTCTTGTGTACCAAACAGGCCCTTATCCTACCTCCTTTGCGGATACCAAAAAGTCATTTGTGGTAACATCCATTTTTAAGAGCAAGACATATCCTTTGTCCCATTTTCTTTTCTGTAAGTTTCTTGGTGATGTGCTTTCTTACTGATCAGTTACATGAATGACCTATTTTTCTATGATGATAAAAGTGTTATCTTACCAAGACATCTCTGTACTTCATTGGATTTTCTCTGGATGGTGATGGGAAGGTGGAGAGAGCTTCTAATAATTTTCATAAACCCTTTGATATATGCATGAAATCAGCTACATGGTAGGACTCTGGTTCATGTCAGATTCTCAGATCTGTGGCATATTCTGTTTGAAGGTAGATATGACTATATAATTTTGTATGTGAACACCCATAATGCTCAGTACAATTAACACAATAAAGTTGAGTATTCAGAAATATAAAAGGGTATTATCAATCTCAATGAAAAGGAAGGGGGCAAACTTTCAAAATTACAATTGCTTATTATCTAGCCTTCATAAATGACATTTGATGATAGAACAGTTCAGTCCCCCATAACTAAGGGTCATCAGACCTGGTCACCCATGACTTGACAGACATCAGTCAGTCAACCATGACTTGACAGACATCAGACTCGGTGACCCACAACTTGACGGACATCAGACTCAGTAACCCAAGGCTTGACGGACATCAGACTAGATCGCCCAAGACTTGACAGACATCAGACTTGGTCACCCATGACTTGATGGACATCAGACTCGGTAACCCAAGGCCTGACAGACATCAGACTCGGTGACCCATGACTTGGTGGACATCAGACTCGGTCACCCAATACTTGATGGACATCAGTGAGTCACCTATAACTTGACAGACATCAGACTTGGTCACCCGAGACTTGACGGACATCAGACTTGGTTACCCAAGACATGAGGGACATCAGACTTGGTCACCCATAACTTGACCGACATCAGACTCGGTAACCCATGACTTTACAGACATCAGTCAGTCACCCATAACTTGACAGACATCAGACTTGGTCACCCGAGACTTGACGGACATCAGACTTGGTCACCCAAGACATGAGGAACATCAGACTTGGTCATCCATAACTTGACAGACATCAGACTCGGTAACCCATGACTTGACAGACATCAGACTTGGTCACCCATAACTTGATGGACATTAGACTCGGTAACCAAAGACATGAGGGACATCAGATCAGTTCATCCATTACTTGACGGACATCAGTCAGTCACCTGTGACCTTATGGACATAAGACTAGATCACTTAAGACTTGAGGGACATCAGACTTTTCACCTATGACCTGAGGGACATCAGACTAGGTCAACCATGACCTGAAGGACTTCTGACTTGGTCACCCAAGACCTGAGGGACAGCAGACTCGGTTACCCAAGGCTTGACGGACCTCTGACTTGGTCATCCAAGACCTGAGAGACAGCAGACTAGGTCACCCATAACTTGACAGACATCAGACTTGGTAACCCGTGACTCGACGGACATCAGACTCGGTAACCAGTGACTTGACGGACATCAGAGTCGGTAATCCGTCACTTGAGGGACATCAGATTCTGTAACCCGTGACTTGACGGACATCAGACTAGATCGCCCATGACTTGACCGACATCAGACTCTGTTACCTGTGACTTGACGGACATCAGACTAGATCGCCCAAGACTTGAGAGACATCAGACTAGGTCACTCATAACTTGACGGACATCAGACTTGGTAACCCGTGACTTGACGGACATCAGACAAGGTCACCCAAGACTTTATGGACATCAGACTAGGTCACTCATGACTTGACAGACATCAGAGTAGATCGCCCATGACTTGACAGACATCAGACTTGGCTTCCCATGACTTGACGGACATCAGACTTGGTCACCCATGACTTGACAGACATTCAGACTAGGTCACCAAAGACTTGACAGACATCAGACTAGGTCACCATGACTTGAGGGACAGCAGTGGTTGAAACATAGACAATACATACGCCATCTTTGCATTATGCTAGCTGCCAATTCATAGCTATGTACTGTTCTGGTTTTGCTATTTGACTTCCACTGGTCGCTGATACATAATTACGATTCACGCCTCCCTAACGCTATAGTAAGGTCCGATGCTGATTTTGCAAAGGTCTTCATTAACTCTGTTAAAGTGCAAGTTATGTAATGTCATGGAAATTATGGTTAAGGTAAATGTTTGGGAACAAGGGGGTATGAACTGTATATACGATATTATGTAAGTTGCACTCTAACGGAACATGTGAAGGCCGATGTCAACGTTATGAAGGCGTGAATCGTAGCTATGTATTAGCGAGCAGTGGATGTTGGAAGATTAAGAGTGGAGTAGTACAGAGCTACGATTTGGTAGCTAGGCATTATTATGCTCATAAGGTCAATGTGAAACTGTCGCTTCTCTTCACTTACATTGGAAGTGGACATCATGGTATTTCCCTTCCTTACATCGGATCATCTTGTTAACATACTGCCACTGTTTTCCATGCATGCAATTAGTTTTACTGTGGATTCTCTTTAAATATGTTATGCCAGGGTAATCAAGAGGGAGGAAATACCTGCCCTTGAATTGATTTTTCCCAAACATACGAAAGGAAACCGATTAAATGTGATGGGTATGTTTTACACCGTTTGTAGCTGCTTCCAAAAAGCAAATTGTTGAACAAACCTTTGGTTATGTCTGGTTTGTTGACTGATTGCCAGTATGCAATCACGTAAGGCTACAAAAACAAATCCGTCAGTTTGGAATAAGACCTGATTTTCATTTTTTCATTTAGAGAGAAACCTTTCAATATCCCGAATGAACTACGATCCATGTCATAAGTGCGACATTGTGATCAGCTTATTCCAATTTGTTTCAAGATTATTACTTCTTGAAACGTTTTCATGTACCAAACGTTCACACAATGTTTTTACTTCCATTCCGACATGTTTTGAATTCATGAAGTTTGTAAAATGCAGTATGAAGGTTAAATATTAAGCTTGTTCCGACGGGAAATAATAGACTCCAACCTTCAGGCTAGTACTGTAATCTAGTTTTCTCTGGCAAAAATGGAATTTACCCTCACTGATGGGGCCCACGTTCTAATGCAACAAGCAAGAGAACTAGTTCAGTCAAGACCTTCTGAAGGGGGCATGGGTGGCCCAGTCGTCTAAGGCGCCGAGATTCGCTGTGCAGAGTTGCGTCCCTTGGGCACGCCAGAAACCTATGATTGTGGGTTCGAATCCCGGTTCGCCCCGATTATGTTTCTAGGTTTGTCAGCACCATACCCGTGCTCGTGGGTTTCACCGAAGTGGTAAAGGTCTGAGACCTGCATCACTTCGGGCTTTCCTCCCACATTAAGCTGACACGCCGTGATATAACTGGAATACTGTTAAAAGCGGCGTTAAAAACCCAACTCAGTCAGTCAAGACCTTCTGATTTGTTTCTTGTTCGCGCTGATGTAAGCCAATCTAATTGAAGTCAGTTCTTTTACTCCAAAACGATACTTCTCTGCCTCATGATCTGACGACACCTCTATCGAAGTCGTATGAACCCTGAGCGAACTTGGACTGCCCAATCTACATGAAGGATGCGTGGGTTCTTGAGACAATCAGAGGTCAGCTTTCTTAAACGATTTGGTTTCATTTCTCTACCACCTCGTTTCGGTCATATAGATTTTAATAACAGAAAACCCATACAAGACACAAGTATGCCGAAGGTACTCCGATTGGTTTCTATCTCAATTTCTTGATACAGAAATCAGATATGCTTGTCTCATTGCTTCGTGCACTCGTACCGATAATTTAAAAGCCTCGTCGCTGATTAGAAAGTTTACACGACGCGACGTCCTCTGAAGGTCTCCACAAATCTGCTTACAAAGAGGTTGTTCAACGCCGCATTTAGCAATATTCCAGCTATATGACGGCGGTCACAGAGTGGTATCGTATCGGAGTAATAGATCTGATTTGAATGAGATTGGGTATAAACTGGATTGAATCATGTGATGGCCTACTGGAGCTGGTCTAAACTGGATTTCCCCGGTTGATGCTTGTGTCCTGTTGGAGACGGTCTGTGCTTGAATTTACGAGATAAAACCTGTTGGAGCTGGTATGCTGGATTGTGTTTTTGGTGACAGGTGAATTTAAGGAGAGGCCGGAGTACCTTTTTAGTTCTTTTGCATATGTTAACCTGAGAACCCACTGTCAGCTGACTGCCTTGACAATGGCTTTGTTGTTTAAACAAGGAATGTATGAGAATTTTACTGTTATAATATATATTATGAAAATAATGCGGTGTTATTGTCTTTACAGTGTAGAATATGCTAAGCACATTTTTGAGTTGAATCTCGTACATATTAAGCGCCCCATTAAGCTCCACAAGGAGCCCCCTGGCCAATTCCTAGACCAGTTTGTAAGTACAGTCTTTATAAGCGCCCCCTTCTGGGACCGAACATTTACAGTCGGTATTTCCGTGTTTAAAGGGGGCCAGGGGGTTGCCCTGTCGTCTAAGGCGCCGCTAGTCGCTGTGCAGAGTTGCGTCCCTTGGGCACGCCAGAAACCTATGATTGTGGGTTCGCCCCGATTATGTTTCTAGGTTTCTCAGCACCGTGCTCGTGGGTTTCACCGAAGTGGTAAACGTCCGATACCTGCATCACTTCGGGTTTTCCTACCACATTAAGCTGACACGCCGTGATATAACTGGAATGATGTTAAAAGCGGCGTTAAACCCAACTCACTCACTCACTCACTCCATGTGTAAAGTACAACAGTGAAGAAGGGGGGCACAATTGCTTGGTAACTATATTTTAGAAAAGTTTTAGTTTAAAAGACGTTTGAACTAAGTTTGTTGACTACTGCTTGATCTCTGAAAACATATTTATCAATCAATTTTTTCAAAGATCGTACAGTTAGCTTTAAAAATTGTTTCTTGGCCTATAAGATAATCAATGAGCCTCCGTAAAGGCGATCGAATTCACCTGAGCAAACTTATCAACACGTAAATATTTTTGACAGACAGTAATCATAATCGTTCAGGACAAATCTATAAATCTATACATTCTACATCACAGGTATGTGTTCATCAATCATCTGAATCATTAATATTAAACATAAATAAAATAGCAACTGTATATTGCTTAGTGGCTGTAGTTTATTGCACGTAGATTAAGTACACCAGCTGGAGTATTCTCATGGTTATAACATCTTCATAAGAGTGGAAAAATTATACAAAAAGAATAATCGATCTCTCTTGGTTGGCTGGTTTGTTGTTTAACGCCGCACTCAAGGCGTTCTATTGTTCGTTTGTGTTTAACGCCGCACTCAGCAATATTCCAGCTATATGACGGCGGTCTGTAAGTAATCGAGTCTGGACTAGACAATCAGGTGATTAATATCATGCGCATCGATCCACGCAATTGGGACATGCATCAACCAAGTCAGCGAGCCTGACCCGATCCCGTTAGTCGTCTTTTACGACAAGCATTGGTTCTGAAGACCTATTCTACCCCGGAAATACACAAGCATGTCCCACTGATTCTTCTTGATTTAGGATTTTCGGGTAAAGAAAGCACTTTGTCTCTCATATGTTACGAATATGAACATACATGTATTTTCGAAAGCCTTGTATGGTTATTAAATCTACATATTGAGACAGACACTCTGTAGCAGTTCCCAGACAGAATAGGCACTAGAAACCAGTATAGCCCCTTGCGTATTGAACCAGAAGGTGTTCGGTGCTTGTAATGTAATGTGTTGGAATGTGACCTCCTATTGATCTTCCGTTTATCAGAAATCAGAATGTTTTTAGCCCGGTTTATCTGGGTTGTTATACTTACTTGTGACATATTTTAGCTTTGACCTGTGTCTGTGGTAGCATCTGTCACAATTTTGCGTACTTCAGTCCCGTGACTTTCTGATAATTGACTCCGAGGTTCACTACTCCTTAGCATTGAAATGGACAAAGTGAGTACAGATCACGTTTACCTTAGACAGTCAATCACCCACACTATTAATGCACAATGCCACAATGAAGAAGTTTCAGCGTGAGAGAGTGAGTTTGGAAGATGGCCCCGCTTTGGTCGACCCACCACTAGCGTCATAAAACGAAAACATTGATGCCGTCAACAACCGGGTATTGAACAATAGGCGCCTTATACCCCAGGAGACCACGGACTTCTAGTATGGGTGAATCGAAAGAACCTTCCATGAACATGTCCATATGTCAAAGGTTTGTGCCCTATGGCTACACTGATCACTACCTATCGACCAGATATAATCGCAACCCTGAAGATTTCGTTTTAGGGTGATGACAGGAGGGGGGATCTGGGTCCATCACTACGATCTCAAGAGGAAACATGAATCCATTGAATTGAAACACTAAGGGTAAAGGGATCGGGTGGTCAGGCTCGCTGAACTGGTTAATGCATGTCATCGATCCCAATTGCGTGGATTAATGCTCATGACATTAATCACTGGGTTGTATGGGCCAGACGATTATTTACACACCGCCGTCATATAGCTGGAATATTGCTGAATGCGGCGTTAAACAACAAACCAACAAACAACTAAGGGTTTCCCCAAAACAAGACGTTAAAGCAACCAAGTCCACTAAGAACGATGAATGGCCTCCTTCTCTTCTCTTTGGACAGCAAAGGCGTACTACAGTACTCATCGATTATTTACGATGGGGAACAACTATGAGTGAGTGAGGTTTTACGCCGCTTTTAGCAATATTCCAGGGAATCGAACCCGGATCTTCGGCGTGACGAGCGAACGCTTTAACCACTAGGCTACCCGACCACCACAGAACAACTATGAATGGTGACGACCTTGTCATCTTTTTGAAAAGATTGGGCTCCGCTGGGATCCAGGATGAGACTTGTTCTCCGGCAACCTGAGCCGGTCATAAGAGGCGACTTACTGGATTGGGTTGTCAGGGGGCTCCGTGACTTGGGACCCGTGAAGATCCGGGTTAGAATAGGTCTTCAGCAACCCATGCTTGCCGTAAAAGGTGACTTTGCTTGTCGTAAAAGGCGACTAACGGGATCGGGCAGTCAGGCTCGCTGGCTTGGTTGATACATGTCATCGATCCCAATTGCGTGGATCGATGCGCATGATATCAATCACTGGATTGTTTGGTCCAGACTCGATTATTTACAGACCACCGTCATAGAGCTGGAATATTGCTGAGTTAAACTACCAACTAACCAACCAATCCGTGACTTGTTTTTTTCCTCTCATCGTAGTCCGACTGCGTTGATCGTTGCCCACACTGATATTATCGATCACTGGTCAGTCAGATCCAGGCTCCACTGTTTCAGGCCGCCGTCAAATGGAATATTGAACATCCGAACAAACAAAAGATTACAGGCGTTAATCAAAGAGAAGCCCGCGCGAACATCGACGTGGTGATCTAGTCCATCAGGACAAAGTTCTGGTTCAAACCAGTCATGTTGCAATGTTTGGTTGCTGATGTGGAGGGCAGGTATACTGGCCAGGATTTGACCTTGTATCAGAAGTATAACTGACATGTACGGTGGCCCATAAGGGACATGGAGTCTGTTTTTCAATATTTTGATATTTCACTTCCTGTTATCGTAACCTTTTGCAAATTAACACGATTTGTCCAACAAATATGTGATAAATCATACCGGGCCACCGTAGACATGGAGGTGAGGTGAGGTGGGTTGAGGCGAGATCAGGTGAAATGAGGTAAAGCGTGGGATTCGAGATTATTGCGCTTACATAGCGAAGCTCAGGACAATATTTCAGTTCTAAGTATGCTAGCCTTAAAACTTTTGTGACACCCCTCGTAGATGGGTCTTCCGAGAGGTATTTAAAAACAAGTGGACGCTCTTGTCCAATGAAATGATCTAACGTTATTTCCCTCGCATAGCGACGTGCATGCATGCACGTGTGTGTATGGCTACTTTTACGTTTCAGTCTTAGACCAGTTTTAAAGTGCTAGTGCACTCCGAGTCGACCAGTCATTGTTCCTCTAGTATATAAAATGTTGTCTTATCTTATCACTTACACTATACGCAGTGATAGGAACGTGGGGGAAATCCACGTCTGTATGCAGGTCATGCGAAGCAGATAAACCTTGACATAAAACTCCGCCACTTGTTTATGAGAAACAGACGAGCAAGCAAACATGCAAACCAAATAAACAAAGCTGCACATTGTTGACATACATGACAAGACTGTAATATAAGATGTCACAATAAAAAATTGTACATGACCTGATACAGATTAAGCCCAAACTATGTATAAAGTAGTACGGCTGGTACGAGTCCAAATCTACTACCTATTTCCACCCTACTACCCGACTCTACCCGGGTACCCACCACCCTATTACCCGACCCTACCCGGGTACCCGCTGTATATATGTGAGGTGAGGTGAGGTGAAATTGGGTTTAACGTCGCGTCCAAGATTATTGCACTTATATAGCGACGTGCATGCACGTGTATGTGTGTGTGTGGCTGCTTGTACTAGTCCGGACTGATGCCGATTTATAGTGCTAGCTCACTGAGATACCATGCCACAGTTTAACATGAATACCCCACTCAGA